TATTTTGTGATACATAGATAATAAATGAATAAATGTTAGAAGATTTAAATAATGTTTTAAATTCAGGAGATGTGACTGGAATATATTAAGAAAAAGACTTTGAGGATATAACATAAGCATGTAAATAGGAATGTATAAAGAGATAAATACCACCAACAAGAATGAATATATTTACTTAATATCTGATAAGAGTAAAGAAGAACATTCATTTAATAATTGCAATGTCACCATTAGGAAATCAATTTACAACTAGATTGAGAATGTTTCCATCATTAGTTAATTGTTGTACAATAGATTGGTTTACAGAATGGCCAGAGGAAGCATTAATTGGTGTTGGTAAGGGTTAATTAGCAGATTATGAATAAGAATTAGCAATTGAAGGTAAAATTCCAGTTTTAGTTGAAATGTTTAAGAATCTTCATAAGAGTGTAGAGAAGTTATCTTAGAGATTTTTGGCAGAATTAAGAAGATACAATTATGTTACTCCTACTAGTTATTTAGAGTTGTTATAATTGTATAGAACAATTTTATCAGAGAAAAGAAGAGATTTAAATCAATAAATATAACGTCTAAAAGGTGGATTAGATAAATTGATAGCTGCTAATGATGCAGTTGAGGAAATCAAAATAACATTGAAAGATATGCAACCTAAATTAGAATAAGCTAGTATTGATACAATAAAGATGATGGAGAAATTAAAGGTTGATAAATAAGAAGCAGATGATACATAGAAGATTGTTGCTAGAGAGGAATCAGAAGCTACTAAATAATAAGAAGAAGCTACTCAATTAGCTACTTAAGCAGAAGCTTCAGTTGCTGATGCAAATAGAACATTAGAATTAACTATTGTAGAAGTTTAAAAATTAAGGAAAGAACATTTAGTTGAAATTAAAAGTTTAGGATCTCCACCTAATGCAGTTAAAGTTACATTAGCTGGTGTTGTTATTTTGATGCAAGATTATATTAAATAAAATGGAGGTGAAATTATATTAACAATGAAAGAAGGATAAATTGGAGGTAAAAAAGAAGAAAACTTTTTTGAAACTGCAAGAAAATATTTATTAAGTGATCCATAAAAATTATTAGATTAATTATTAAAATATGATAAAGATTCTACTAATCCTGCACATATTAAAAAATTAGAAGAAAAAGTTATTCCTTAACCTGAGTTTAATATAGATGCTGTTAAAAATTGTTCTTTTGCTACTAAATTCTTATATATGTGGGTGAAAGCTATGTATGATTATTATAGAGTATATACTGAAACTAAACCACTAAGAGATTAATTAGTTGCAATGAGAAAAATAGTGGAGGAAAAAACTGCTGAACTCAAAATTAAGAAAGAAGAATTAGAAAGAGTTAATGCTAAAATACGAGAATTAGAAGAAATGTATAATCAAAAAATATTAGAAAAAGAAGATTTATAAAATAAAATGAAAGAATGTGAAATAAAATTAGAGAGAGCATAGAAATTAACTGAAGGATTATCTGAAGAAAAAGAAAGATGGGGAAGAGATATTAAATCTTTATAAGCAAAAGTAGAATTATTACCTGGTGATTCAATTGTAGCTGCTGGTATGGTTGCATACTCTGGTCCTTTTACTTCTCATTATAGAACTTCTATGGAAGGAGATTGGGTTTTGAAATTAGGAGTTGTTGGAGTTGCTCATTCTGAAGGTGTTACTATGAGATAGTTTTTAGGAGATGGAGTTAAAATATAAGCATGGAATATTGCTGGTTTACCTAAAGATGATACTTCTACTGAAAATGGAATTATCATTGACAAAAGTAGAAGATGGTGTTTAATGATTGATCCTTAAAATTAAGCTAATAAATTTATTAAAAACATGGGAAGAGATAATGCTGAGGGAATTGATGTGGTTAAAATATCAGATGTCAATTTAATGAGAACTCTAGAATTAGCTATTTAATTTGGAAAATGGGTTCTATTAGAAAATGTTGGCAGAGAATTAGATCCTTCTCTAGAACCTATCCTTAATCAATAATTAGTCAAATCAGGAACATCATATACTATCACTATTGGAGATAAATAATTAACTTATAATGAAAAATTCAAATTGTATCTTACAACAACGATTCCTAATCCTCATTATTCTCCAGAAACATTTGTTAAAGTCACTATTATCAATTTTGCAATCACAGCTAGTGGATTAGAAGAATAAATGCTTGCATAAATTGTTGCTCTAGAAAATCCTGCTTTAGAATAAAAGAAAATTGAAATCGTTAAAAAAAATGCTGCTGATAAAAAATAACTGTTAGCCATTGAAGATTCTATTCTTAAGTCTCTTTCAGATCAAAAAGGAGATATCTCTGAAATACTATTAGATGAAACACTTATTAATAAACTATAAACAAGTAAAAGATTTGCTGCTGAAATCAATTAAAGAGTTAAAGATTCCAAAATTACAGAAGCATAAATTGATGAAGTTAGAGAATCATATAGACCTGTTGCATTCAGATCTTCACTTCTATTCTTTTGTATCACTGATCTTGCCAATATTGATCCTATGTATTAATACTCATTATAATGGTTTACTAAATTATTTGTTTTAGGAGTTGAAAATGCTTAACCATCTACAGTTATTGAAGAAAGACTTAAAAATTTAAATGATTACTTCACTTATTCACTTTATGAAAATATATGCAGATCATTATTTGAAAGACATAAATTATTGTTTTCATTTATGCTTTGCGTCAAAATATTATAAGGAGCACAAATGATGGATGATAAACAATGGAGATACCTTCTTGCAGGTCCTTAAGGTGATATTAAGATTGCTCATAATCCTACAGCTTGGATTTCTGATAATGCTTGGCCTGATATATATAGATAGATTAAGGGAATGTCAACTCTTGATGCATTTAAAGGATTTGATCAATTTTTCATTGATAATACAGATATGTTTAAAGGTATTTGGGATTCTTCATAACCATAAAAGGAATAGTTACCAGAACCATGGCAAGGACAATTGACATAATTTGAAAAATTGATTTTCTTAAAAGCTCTCAGACCTGATAAACTAGTGCCAGCTGTTTAAGATTATATAGATTAATAATTAAATCCTAAATTTACAATTCCACCTACATTTGATTTAGAGAAATGCTATAAGGATTCATCACCAATGTCACCATTAATTTTTGTATTATCAGCAGGTAGTGATCCAGTTGCAGACTTTTTAAAATTTGCTGATGAATAAAATATGGCTAAAAGATTTGATTCTATATCTTTAGGATAAGGTTAAGGACCTAAGGCAGAAAGAATGGTAAAAGATGCAATTCAAAGAGGAGGTTGGGTACTCTTGTAAAATTGTCATTTAGCTATTTCATGGATGAATGATTTGGAAAGAATTTGTGAGGAATTAAATGAAAATATCCACAAAGATTTTAGATTATGGCTAACTTCAATGCCTTCAAATTCATTCCCAATTCCTGTATTATAAAATTCAGTTAAAATGACAATAGAACCACCGTAAGGTATTAGAGCTAATTTAATGAGAACATATAAAAATTTAGATGATAAAGAATTAAGTGATTGTACAAAATAAGACATTTTTAAAAAATTACTTTTTGGTTTTTGTCTTTTCCATGCAATTATTTAAGATAGGAGAAAATTTGGTGCTATTGGATGGAATATTCCATATGAATTTACAAATGAAGATTTGACTGTCTGTAAAAGATAATTAAAGATGTTATTAGATGAATATGATAAAGTTCCATATAAGGTAATTTAATATTTAGGAGCTGAAATTAATTATGGAGGTAGAGTTACTGATGATAAAGATGTACGATTGATAAAGACTATTATTAAAAAATACATCTGTCATGAAGCATTAAGAGATGGATATAAATTTTCTGAATCAGGAATCTATGTTTCTTTAGCTTCAACAAATTAGGAAGGATATTTAAATTATATTGAATAACTACCATTAAATCCTGATCCAGAAGCATTCGGAATGCATGAAAATGCTGAAATTACTAATTCTTAGAATACAACAAGAGTTTTATTAGAAACTGTACTTTCAATTTAACCAAGATAATCATCTGGTACTGGTAAATCAAGAGAAGAAACTATTGAAGAAATAGCTACATTTGTTTAAAGTAGAACACCTGAAGTTTTACCATTTGATGATATCTTTAAGAAATATCCAACTTCATATGAAGAATCTATGAATACTGTTTTAGTCTAAGAAGTTATTAGATATAATAGGTTATTAGCAACAATGAAAGAATCCTTAATAAACGTTAAAAAAGCATTAAAAGGACAGATTGTCATGTCTGATGAACTTGAAAGTCTTGCAAATTCACTCTTTGATAATTAGGTTCCTCTTATGTGGGCTGATAAAGGATTTCTCTCTTTAAAACCTCTCTCTAGTTGGACTAATGATTTATCAGCAAGAATTAATTTCCTTCAATCTTGGATTGACAATGGAACTCCTAAAGTTTTTTGGATTAGTGGTAATTTATTTTGTTTAATTATAAAGGTTTCTTCTTCCCTTAAGCATTTCTAACTGGATCATTATAGAATTATGCAAGAAGACATGTTATTGCTATTGATAAACTAAATTATGAATTTAAAATTCTTGATACCCTTTCTCCCTAAGATATAGACGAGAAACCTGAGGATGGCTGCTATGTTTTTGGCATTTCATTGGAAGGAATTAGATGGGATTACAAAAAACATTACATTACTCATCCAAGACCAAAAGAATTATATTCAGAATTACCATTGGTTTGGTTATTACCTTGTATTGAAAAAGAATACCCTAAAGATCTAGTTATTTATTAATGTCCACTTTATAAAGTTGTTTCAAGGTAAATTCTAATATTTATTATTTTAAGAGCTGGAACATTGAGTACTACTGGGCATTCAACTAATTTTGTCACTTTTCTTGAATTACCATCCAAAGATTCTGAAGAATAATGGATAAGAGCTGGTGCTGCTGCATTCTTATCATTAAGATATTGAATAATATATAAACAAATATCATTTTATTAAAATTTATTCTATCATTTTTATTCTTAATTTCTAAAGTAATTATTATAATATAATTCCTTATGTTCTATGACATAACATACGCAAAAAAATTATGGTAATTATAATTTCTATTATAATAATAACCATAATATTTATAATATATAATTAATCTCCTTAAACAAATTGTAAATATCACAATACTTTCAATTCTAACTTTCATTATGAATGAAAAACTCCAGAAACTAAAACGCTGTCACTTAGTTGATGTTTATATAATTAATTCTCTTCCTTCATCATTTGTTATAAGTTTCCGATACAAAAAGGTTAGAATCTGATGAAAATTTCAGTGAAACAAATTCTAAAAAAACATTAACTACTTGATTAAAACAAGATTTAAAAATTTAATTCATTAGTCATATGTATTTTGAAAGAATAGAATTACAATTTAATCATTCATTTATAACATAACTTAGTTATTAAAAGTTCTTGAGAAATGTATTCATATAAATAAGAATAAATTTAAGATTTTAATCCAATATTTAATCATATTTGGGGATTTTAAAGAAACAACTCTATTTTAAAAAACGAAAACCAGTAATTTATCATCAATATATTTTATGAAATAAGTTAAATAATTATAGTTTTTCCTAATGAAGATAAAATATAATAGTTTTTCCGAATGAAAGATAAAATATAATAAAGTCATAAATTAAAACATCAAACATTATGAAAAAATACAAATTAAAGATTAAAGAGCATAAAGATCATTATTAACCCTTAAATGCTCTTTTCATAAAGAAATAAGCAATGAAAACTTATAAACTTTTGATAAATTACGCTATATTCTATATTGATATATTAATATGATTTATGTCTCAGAAACACTTTCTGTGAACAATGGTTGGGCCGCTTTCGTCGTATTCGCTTCTTGTAATCCACATGGCTTAGAATGTAGATAATGATGATAAGATTGATCCTCCAATCCAAACTGAGAATTTTCTTTCAGGTGGTGCAACAACTTTAATTTTCATTGATGATGGTGCAAGTGATGTTAATTCCTTGCTCAATCTTTCTGGGATTCCTGGGAACATAGTAGTACCTCCAGACATGACAACATTTCCATAACTAAGATATAAATAAAAATGATTTACAGATCTTTTCTAACATCAATATCGCACTTCATGATAGATTTGAATGTTAATTCATGGATACCTGATACTTCAAGACCAATGAAATTTGGTTTGAAGAGTAATTCAGGACATCTGAATCTTTAATTTTAAATGACTACAACATTTCCATCTGGTAATTCATATGGTCTGTTGTTGGCAGCACTTTCCTTATATTTTTTCATTTCTTCTTCATAGTCAAGAGCAACATAGCATAATTTCTCCTTCATATCTCTAACAATTTCCATTTCAGCTGATGAGGTGAATGAAACACCCAATTCATTCAAAATGGATACTAAATATTAAGTACAAGCTCTTCCTGCTAAATCAATTCTGAGAACAGCATGTGGAAGTGCATAACCTTCATAGATTGGGACTGTGTGAGAGACACCATCACCAGAATCTACAACAATACCTGTTGTTCTTCCTGAAGCATAAAGAGAAAGCACAGCTTGAATAGCAACATAGAATGATGGAACATTGAATGTTTCGAATAAGATTTATGTCATCTTTTCTCTGTTGGCCTTTGGATTCATTGGAGCTTCAGTCAAAAGAGCTGGGTGATCTTCTGGTGTGACTCTCAATTCATTGAAGAATGCATGATGCCAGATTCTTTCCATGTCTATATAATTTATATACATATTCTATACCATCCCAATTATTGACAATACCATTATCAATTGGATACTTAAGTGCTAAAACACCTCTCTTAGCTTAAGCCTCATCTCCAACATAGGCTTCCTTGCTGTCCATACCAACCATTATTCCTTGATGTTTAGGTCTTCCTACAACTGCAGGGAAACAGCATCTTGGAGCATCATCTCCTGCTATACCGGCTTTGCATTATCCTGATCCGTTATCAATAACAACTGCTGGGTGTTCTTCAGACATGTATTTATAGATAAATAAAAGATATTATTGATTCACATTACATTTCTCTCACCTTTTTCTAGATCAAATTAAATCAATTAAATCTTGTCACGTAAATACCCCCAAAATATTTATTAATTATAACATATTATATGTATATCACTTTCTCAAATATACTCCCTTCACTATTACATATATTATTCAACTCTCTGTTTCTTTGTTCTATATATCTGTTTTTCATTTTATAAAAACACTTTTATTCTTTTAATTATAATTATTAAGGATTTTATAATCATATCAAAAATTCATCATTCACTCTCATTATCTATCTCTCTTTTACAAAATTTGTCTTTCAAATTATAAATATATAAATATTTTGAAATATCAATCATTAAATAATGGACTTCTATAATTAGATGAAAATATCATTAAAATATTCATCTTAATGAATTACATGTTTCACTATCTTCTTTTACGCTTCAAACATTTAGTCTAACTATTTTTATCTATTTTAAATCAAACATTCATTATTAACTTTTCTCAATTATAAATTAATTGGAGACGATTATCTTTTCACTGTTTATCTGCTTGTTAAACTCTAAAGCTATTTATTTAACTGTATCAATCTCATCTATTTCTCATTTCCCAAAGACAATTTAGGTATATGAAATCTAATTTATTCTTTTTACAAACAATCATCTTTCAAAGCTCTAAGAGATAAATTTGTTATTTATTTATTTTTTTCGTTAATATTTTCTTAACTACTCCAACAATAATTATTCCTTTTACTAATTATTTATCTTCTATTTTTTTACGATATCTCAGTACTAATTCTCTAAGTTTATTGTTATTATAAGGAATTCAGTATCTATTTATTACAATTTGAACTGATCCTTTTTTTAGGTATGTAATAAAATTTTTAGTTTGTCTATTCTTCTTAACACTTAGTCATAGCTTTTTAACATAATTTCTACAATAGATTTATATGTAACTTTGAATTTTATTACTAATTTAATTCTTAGTTCATAATTTATTAATATTGAACTAATTTTACAAAATACTCACTTTCATCTTCATTTTTTTATTATTATAGCTCCACTAACTTATAAATTTAGTTATCAATAATCAATACTCATGATTAATTATAAAATTTTAGGATAATAATATTATGTAATAATTAAATATAAATCTAAAAAGTACTACTTACTAAAACTTGCAAAGAATAAAGTCTCTTGATTTACTTAGCCCTGTATCACAAAGAGTTTTGGAATAGGTTCGCATTTAAGAATTTAAAAATATAAGATTACCAAAATAAAAATGTAACTCATAATTAAGAGAAGTTTTACATTTGGATGTCAATAAAAAACCAAATATAACTCATTTACCAAGCTTAAATTAAATTCCTAATTAAGATCAACATAATATTAATAAGATATCTAAAATAAAAATAAAAATTGTACCCAAAGAAGAAAATGAGTCTAAACTAAGTTTCTAGAAATTTAAATTTAATGATCGAAATACTCTAAGGCCGAAATAAGTATTTATCAAAAAAAAAGAAATTGATAATCAGTAAAAGAGAAGTCAAAGCTTCAATAATAAAACACATACAAATAAAGTTTAATATTAGTTTATGGAATAATTAAAAAATCTCTCCTCAACAATCTTATATCATCTATCTTAATAAACAAATTAATTAGATCGTTAATTTGATCAATTAGAAAATTAATTATCTTTTTGATTAATTAATGTATATAAAAATATCATGGTTTAATAATTTTAGAGGCCATAAATTATTTGAGTTATATATTAATTAATTTATTCAATAATAAATGAAATCTCGATTGATAATTTTTTTTTTAATATAGAAAATATTGTTTAGCTTATCCCTTCTTAATGCAAATTAAAGAAGGAATCCTATAATATTAAAATTTTAATCTTGAATAAGCTCAGATAATTTAGAATTAATTTTCTATAAATGCTAAAATATTAAAAATCAAATACTTCTTCATATAAAGCTATTTTCAATGCCCTTTAGATGTAATGTGATATATTTGGATAATTACCTGGATTCACTATATTAAAAAAAGAAAGATTTTCAACTAGTTTTGGAGCTTTTTCGACTTTAATTGTATTTGGATTTTGCCTATTGTATTTATGTATTGAACTTGCTAATTTATTAAACCGAAGTGACCCAAATGTTATTCAATATGATACCCAATTAATGGAAAGTAATGTAAGTTATAATAAATATTCATAGGGGATTCCTTTGATGAATAATAATTTCACCCTAGCTATAACTCTAACTGGGTTAAACACTTAACCATTTAAAAATATAAATAAGTATTTTATAATTAAGGTGAATACATGTAAAAGAGAAAGGGTGTTTAATAAAACAGAAAACACAACTAAAGTTATTTAATAGTAAAGGTTTTTTAGTATTTTAGATGTAAAGAATATCCAATAGAATCTTGCAGACTAGACCATGCAGTGACAGATAGTTAAAAAGAGTATTTTGGAAAGCTTTAATTAGGAACAGTCTAATGTTTATAAAAAGATATTTGGGAAGCAAACCCACCAGTAATTATGATTAATAAATATTTTTAGTAATTATAGGGTGTATTGCAGGCTATAGAATTTTAATATCTATAGATATTGATTTAAACATGCCATAATACTACAACCTTTAATGAATGTGCTACAATAGAAGAAATTCAAAATTTAACAAATGCTGGATTTTATGGCATACATCTTAGCGATAATTTATTATAATTGAATGAGTTTTAAAAGCCTTTTTCATAAATTTAAAGTGTACAATAAGCTTCATTCTCTTTAAAAACATCTCGATCTATCTATTAGACATTAAAGCAAATTCATATTGTTACAGATGATGGATTTATTTTGGAAAATCAAAATTAATTTACAGGCCTAATTTAAAATTAATGGAGAGAGGAATCATCTAGTTATAATAATATGTTCTTAATAAATCATTTTATTTATTTAGATGCAAAATAATCTACTTATTCCAGAAGTTATATCAAGATTCAAACTATTTTGGGTAAAATTGGAGGATTTTGGAATGTAGCAGTTTTATTATTTAAAATATTTGTTACACCTATAGTTCTTACTTTAATGAATGTGCATCTAGTAAATAAGTTATTTCGATTTGAAATCAATGAAAAATCTTAATTATTTAAAGATGAAATCAAAGAAGAATCTATTTATGAATTAAATAAAAGTTCAACTATTTATAAAGAAAAATCATTAAAATAATATGAATTTGTAAATTCTAATATTAAAAGAAAAAAAAACAATTAAGTAGAGTTGAATCCATAAAAATAATCAGAAATTAAAAAATATTTAGCATATTCTAAACAGCAGTTGAATTTAGGAATAATTGATTTATTTTTAGTTTCATTTTGTTGTAAAAGAAAAGTAAAGGAGCAAATTAGATATGCAAAAACCAAATGTTCTCAGAAATTAGATGTAGCTTTGATAATAAGTAAAATATATGAATTTGATAAATTAAAATATGTTTTGTTTTCAAATGAATAGTTGAATCTATTTAATTGTTTGCCAAAACCTATAATACCTGCTGATTTATTTGATCGGTAAGTTTCAGATAAAATTAAGGCTTTAGAATAACAAAAATAGTATTTATTTATGCTTGAAGATGAAATGCCTATGAAACTTAAATTAGAGTAGGCTTTTTCTAGTTACAAAAAACTTAAAAATAAACAGGATAAAACCTACACTGATAATTAGTTAATCGAATTTTTAGATTAGGATTTAGTAAATTTATTTGAAAATCTATAAAAAAAAGAAGATTTGTCTTAAAAGGGAAGTGATGATGTAAACTTATTCTCAAGCAGGGATAAGTAAAATTGTAACTCTTCTTTTAGATAGTTAAATGTTTAGCTTGAAATAGATTAAATGAACTCTTCGTGATATTATAAAATAATGAATTCGATTTTTAAAATATTATTCATCTCTTAATCTTTGAAGTTTCTAGAAAAAAAATGAAATAATTCTTTTTAATTTTAAAGAATTTTTTAAGTTAATTTTAATTAAAATAAATTTTTATATAAATTTGATGAATATTGAAGAAATTTATAGTGAGTCTTTAAGAGTAATTTTTAAATTAGCCGAATCTATTCAAGAAAATGTTTTTGATTAAACATTTATAGTGTGCATTTTAATTGGAATAGCATCATTCGTAATTGGGAATTAGTATGGGTATTTAAAAATTTTACACTAATAGAAAATCAAAAATACTAATTTCTAAAAAATAAAAAGAAAAGTTAGAATAATGTTAGAATTTGAAAGCATAAACTGAAAAATCAAAAGACAGTTTATAAAAAGAACAAAAAAAATTATCAAAACTTACTTAAATATTTGTTGCTGTAATTATCTTTATTAATTTAATCTTGATTTTACTTGAAATAACTATAGTAACTTTAGAGATACGATTTGGGCTAAGCCTCCTTTTAGTAATTATACCTTATTCATATAAAAAATATGAGAATTTTAAATTAAATTCAATTAAGCATAATTTAGAGTAAACTGAAAAAGAAACAAAATAAATTATTTTAGACATTTAGCATGTATACATTAAATCAATTCATATTAGAATTTAGGAAATAATATAATTACTCTAATATAAGGTGAAAAAATGAAAGAAAAAATGGAAGAAATGAAAAAAAAGATGTAATTAGAAATTGGGGCTACTCGGAAAAATTTAGAAAAATTATTTGAAGATCAATATAAAATTTAGATTGAGGATTTGAAGAAGAAAATTAAGACACTTGAAGATAAAGAATTTTTAAATAAAACAGAGCTTCAAAATTTTAAAAGAAGTGTATAAACTCATAAAACAGAACCTATTTAAAAATAAGTTTAAAATAAAAATGAAGATGAAACATAAATTTTAAAGCAAAAAATTTAATATTTATAAAAAGAAGGCTAAATTTAAAAGGATATGATATCAAAGGTGATTAATTTGAAATGGTGTGAAGAATGTTAGGGATTGAAAATTCATTGCATAGAGTTATATTTTGAGAATGCAAGAAATATAGGGGAAGAATATAATTAGAAATTACAAGAGTTAGAAAAGGAATATTAGGTTAAAAGTTGAGAATTAGTATTCATTAAAATATTTTAAAATCATTAAATTATTATATTTATATAAATGGAAATCACCTTAACAGCCACAATTTTTAGTTTTTTTGGATGGAATGTTTATTTATTAATAAAGAAATATAGAGAAAGAATGAGATAAAATTATTTACAAAATTTGATTGATCAAGAATCTGACTATCTTATAATGAATGTAGCACCATACAAAAAAATAAAAGTAAATGAAGAAAAATAAACAATAATTAAAAAGACTACATCAGAGGAATTAGAATCAAGTTCAGACGATTTTGAACTTATGTAATATAGAAGAAGAAAAACTGTATTAGAAGAAGTAAAATAAGAAAAATTTTAAGAGCAAACTTATATTGAAAATACAAAATCCTTTGATATGTTAACTCTGCCAAGAAGAAAAGATCGAAAAAATCATAAAACTAATAGAGATTTCTCTTTCACAAGTTAGAACTAAGAACTAAAAGAAGTTAAAAGATATAGAAAAAATTCTAAAATTATTATGGATGATTCTTTATTAATTGAAAGTCCAAAATAAACTAATCAAAAGTCTAGCAATAAGGTGTCTGAAAAAAAGATTAATTAATTTGAATTTTCAAACTTAAAAGATCAATTTGAAATCTAAGATTTTAGATAAGAATTCGAGAATTGTAATACAAATTTAGTATCTTAAATTGAATTGAAATAAGATAATTAAAATGTAGTTGAGAATTAAAATACTTCATAATTATTTCCTTTGTAGCTTTTGAAACCTATTGAATAAACAAATGATAAACTTAATTAATAGTAAGAAGAACCTTCAAATATTTTTGGAAAATTCATAACTTAGACAAAACCTTAATAGGATTAATAATAATAAGAGTAAAAATAATAATCTCCTTAAAAATCATAAACATAACCATTATAAAATAATATTGGATTATTCTCAAATGAATTAAAAACTGTTAATACAAGTTTATTTCCATTAAATAATGAATAACCAATACAATTGTAATTTAATCAAATCCAATAAAATTAAAATAATATCTGTTAACCAGTGAATAATAAATAAGTAAATGAATAATAATAACCTCAAAAATAAGAACCATAAAAGATGAATCTATTTTAAAGTTTTTCATAAACTAATGTAACAGTACCAAATTTTAATTTAAATAATTAAAATTAAGATAATATTAATTAAAATTCGATAAATGAAACCAAATAGTCAAGTATAAATTAAGCTAATATTTCTTAAAGTTTTACATTTGGAAATAACTCAAATATTCAAACAAATTCACAAATTGGTTTATTTAGTGGATTAATAACAAATTTGACAACTCCAACAAATCCACCTCAAGATTAATAAAGTAATAAATAAAGTTTGTTTTCATAACCTCCTTAATAAACATAGAGTAATCCAGTTTAATCATAACCTAATACAGGAACATCCTTATTTGGAAATTCAATATTTTAATTTCCATAATAAAAAGAATAAAGCCAATAAAGTTAAGCAGGAGGTCTTTTTAATTTTAGTTCTAATATTCAAACTGGAACGGGTTTATTCTCAAATTTAAAAAAGAACTGATTTTGATTTATTTTATAAAATTAAAGTTGAGTTCTATGATTAATACTTAAAAGCATTTATTATAAAATTATGAGTGAATAAGGTATATTACATTTCAGCATAAATAGAAGTTCAAAATGAAGCACCTAATTAGGATTAGCCTTAGGAGAACTAAAAAAGATTCATGAACCTATTTAGTTTGGTGAATTATGTATTAAGTTTATGATATGAAAATTTAGATGATTGGAAAAGGTAAAGAAGATCCAATAGATTTAGTAGAATTTAGTGTGCATGGCAAACTATTGGCTGTATTTGGATAGTTATAAATATTAGTATACAAGAAAATCTTTAAATTTATTTGACGCAGAGAACAAAATTAGATTATGGGCAATATGGATGATAGAATGGATGTATAATAATTAAGATTAAATTCATATTAGTTGGTTTGATAGATTCATTATTACTGTCATTTTATTAAACTCCATTTTATTGGCAATATAAGATTACAGTTGGAGAGAGACAAATTTGGAGGCACCAAATAATTGGACAGACAGTTTCGAATATTTATTTACTGCCATATTTATTATAGAGTTCTTTTTAAAAGTTATTGCTATGGGATTTTTATTTGATAAATAGACATATTTAAGAGATGGATGGAACTTTATTGATTTTATTGTTGTAATAACAGGAATTATTTCACTTTTCATTTCTGCTAGAGTTTCAGCTATTAGAATTGTAAGAATAATGAGACCACTTAGATCTATTAATTCATTAAAAGAAATGAAAGTTCTTATTATTACATTATTAGATTCTTTACCTGCTTTAGGTAATGTAGTTATATTCTTACTATTTATTATCATCCTTTTTGGAATATTAGGATTATAAATATTTATGGGTGCATTAGAGAATAGATGTAGAATAACAGAATATCCTATAGGAAATATTTGGAAAGCTTCGAATTATTCAAAATTATGTTAGGATTCATCAAATTGTCCAGAAGGAACATATTGTGGTAATCCAAATACTTATAATTTACCTTAATAAGAATCTGATGATGAAAATTTTAATTTTGGTTATACAAATTTTAATAATATAATTTCAGCTACATTCACTATTTTTTAAGCTTTAACAACTGAAGGTTGGACAAAATTGATTTTTATTTATTAAGAAGCCTTATCTACAACAATAGTGTTCATATATTTTTTATTACTCATTTTTTTGGGATCTTTCTTTGTTGTAAATTTAATTTTAGCTGTTATTAATGATAGTTTTATGGCTGCTTAAATGAAATCAATTATGAAAAATTCACAAATTTCAGCTTCATCTTTATAATAAGAAGAATAAAATGAAGATATTGAAGAAGGAGATTAATAAATTGATCCAATAGCTTTAACTAGCAATATTCATAATGAAGATTAGACATAAAACCATCAATTTGAACATGATTAATAAATAAATGAACCAATTTAATAAAACATTAATGAAACAAATGCTATAAAAAGTTAAGATATTTTAAATAATGGTGGATTAAAATAAATATCAAAAAGTAATAGTGTAGAATAAGTTAATTAGCCACTTCGATAATAATCAAAATAAAGATTCTAAAAATAAAAACAAACTAAATTTAAAGAATTTTAATTGATTTTAATAGTCATTATAGAAAATAAGTACTTATATATAATAATAAAGGTATTTTTTGTCATTTATAACTTGTATAATTATATTAAATACAATAACTTTATCTTTGGATAGATATCCAATATCTAAAACTGAATATGAAATATTGGATATAGCAAATTAAATATTTACTGTAATTTTCACAATAGAAATGTTATTAAAACTAATAGCATTTGATATTAATTATTTGAAAGATTCAATGAATATTTTTGATGCAGTAATAGTGATTCTATCATTAATTGAATGGATTCTTAGCAGTGCTGGTAATGATTCAAGTGGAGGAAGTTTCTCTGCTATTTAAGCATTTAGAACACTTAGATTATTTAGATTATTTAAATTAGCACGTACATGGAGTAGTTTTAGAAAATTATTAACTGCTATTGCAGCAACGATAGGTGGAATAGCTTATTTTATTATTCTCTTATTATTATTTATGAGTGTGGCAGCACTTTTGGGCATGGAATTATTTGCTTATAAAACGCCGTATAGATATAATTTTAATAATTATTTAACATCAATGTTAGTAGTATTTATGTTATTGACAAATGAGTCTTGGAATACAATTGCTTATACTTTTATGTATGATTTAGAATCTATATACCCAGTTATTTATTTTGTGGTAGTAATTATTTTTGGAAACTTCATTCTACTTAAATTATTCATTGCGATTTTGATAAATAATTTTCATGAAGCAAATATTGATTCAAGTTAATATCTTGAAGAAAATCGTAATCAGTAATCAAGCAAACATGAATAATCTATTGGAGATAATTTATAGAGTATTAAAATCAATTAAGTATCTCCAGAACAGATTTAATAATCATTTTAGATTATAAAATCTTCAGCTAATTAATAAACAAATAATAATACATCTTCAAGATTTAAGAATCTATCATTATAATTTATGACTACACCAACAGTTTTAAATAGTACTCTTAATTAGTCAGTATTAGAAGGAGTTTCTTTGTATATATTTCCCCCTTAAAGTAAAATTAGATTAAAGGTTAGTAAATTAATTAATCATAAATATTTTGAGTTGTTTATTTTAATTATTATTATAATCTCTAGCATTTTATTAGCTTTAGATGATCCACTTTCATCATCAAATAGTGTAGCTTTAAATGTTGTAGATGAAATTATTACAGTCTTATTCATTTGTGAAGCTTTACTTAAAATAATTCATAAAGGATTTATTATTAATGGTCCTGATAGTTATTTGAGATCTCCAGGTAATATATTAGATCTTATTGTTATTGTTTTTTCATCTTTAGCTTTTGATGAAAATTAAGCATAAACTTTTTCAAAAATAAAGATATTAAGAGTTATTAGAGTTTTAAGGCCACTTAGATTAATAGTTAGAAATGAAGATTTAAAAATGTCAATAAATGCTTTATTCAATAGTTTATCTTAAATGATGAATATTGCTTTAGTTTGTCTAATTTTCTTTTTATTATTTGGAATATTTGGAGTGACATAATTTAAAGGATCTTATTATTATTGTGATATATATGAAGTTAATGATAAATTAGAATGTTTAGATAATGGTGGATCATGGACAAATAAGAAATTCAATTTTGATAATGTTTTAAATGCTATGATTACTTTATTTGTAATATCAACAACAGAAGGATGGATTAATTTAATGTCTGATGGTATTGATAGTAGAGGAATTGATCTTAATCCAAAAGAAAATAATGCATATGGATGGGCATGTTATTTTGTTATTTTTATTATTGTTGGTTCATTTTTTATAATTAATTTATTTGCTGGAGTTATTGTTGAAGCATTTTAAAGTGAAAAAGATAGATTAAGTTAAATGAGAGAAATATCTAAATAAGAATTAGAATGGTATGAAATATAAAAAAAGATTTATTCAAGTAATCCAATAGAGAAATTTAAAATCTCAAAAAACAAATTAATCAAAAAACTCAATGAATTTATATCATCTGATAAATTTGAGATTTTTATTTTAAGTGTAATCATTTTAAATACTTGTGTAATGACGATTTAATATTTAAGATCCCCAAAAGAATTAACAGATGCTATATAAATATTAAATTGGATATTTTTAGCAATATTTTCAATAGAAGCGATATTAAAATTAATAGTATACAAAAGATTTTATTTTACATTTGGTTGGAATGTATTTGATTTTACAGTTGTTCTTTTAACATTATTAGGAGTAATATTAGAATAAAGTGATGTATTAAGTAATGTTGGAACAGCTACATCTATATTAAGAACATTTAGAATTTTTAGAGTATTAAGACTAATAAAAAGTGCTAAGAATTTAAGAATTATATTTGGAACATTTCTTGTAACATTACCTGGTTTAGTGAGTGTAGGAGGTTTATTAGGAATTATGTTATTTATATTTGCTGTTATATTTATGAATTTATTTCCATATGTAAAAAGAGGTGAAGGAGTTACTGATAATTCTAATTTTAGTTCTTTTGGAGTTAGTTTATTTACATTATTTAAATGTTCAACTGGAGAAGATTGGAATTTAGTTATGATGGATATTGCTAGAAGTTCATAACCAAATGATATTTGTTTGGATTTTAATGATTATGTTAATTATACAGAATATGGATTTATGGATTGTGGTAATTTTGCAGGAATACTTTTAATGATTATATTCATGATTATTGTATCATTAATTATGTTGAATTTATTTGTTGCTATCATTATTGAAGTAAAAATCAATTTAATTATATATATTAATAGGGTTTCTAAAATACTAGTAAAGAAGAGAATGCATCAATTAAAAAATTAGATGTAGAGAATTTTCAATAATTATGGAAAGATTATGATAAAGATGCTACTGGATTTATATAATGTAAATATTTCACCTAATTTATGATATCATTACCACAACCCTTAGGAGTAATTATTATTTTATATTTACTAGTGGTTGAAATTGAAATATTCACCAGCATAATAAAGAATACGAATGGCTTAATTAAATTTACCTGTTTATAATTTAAATGGCAAAAATATGTTTTATTATTATCAAGCTCTTATTTGTGTTGCTCAAGATTATTTAGAATCAAGTGGATTTATATCTAAGTATATCATATTACTATTATATAGTTTTGATATCTCTAAAGATATTGTTAAATTAAAATTACAACCATTAATAGAAAAAGCATTTTCTCAAGTATCAAACTTAGAAACTGAATTCGATAGTAGCTAATTTATGGCTGCTGTTCTAATCTAATAGAATGCTAAAAGATGTTTTAAAAAATTAAAAAAATTAAAAAGTTCTCTAGTTGTAGCTTAATATACTAATGATGATGAAGTGCAATAATTTGTTTCTTGATGATATATATTTTTTATATTATTCTATCTTCTTGTCATGTATTAAATATGTCTTATTTACTATATAATATTTATTATCAGTTTTTCATTTATTCAAGAATTTAGTTGTTAAAAAATAATTATTAAGATGAAATCAATTTCATTTTAAGGGAACATCTCTATTCAAGATTTATACAAAAAAGGAATTCAACAAAATGTCGAACTTAAACTTTCTGATGATTAATCTGTTCGAAATATTCTGCCTTTAAGAATTCAAAATTTTGAAATCAAACGATTAGAATGGAAAGACTTTATTGGAAAACCAGATGAAGAATCACCTTGGATTGCTCATTGTTATTGGAATAATTCTTATGAATATTACTTTATTTAAGATAGAGAATAAGTTAATTATAGAGAATAATCTCCATTACGTTTACCCAGAATACCATTACAATAAATTAATCAAGTTAATTAGTTAAATATTAAAACTGAAAATGTTAGGACATCTAGTGCTAATAAAATTAAAAGATTACCTACTCCAACCATTAATCATTCACCTTAAAGAACAGTTAATAGAAGCAATTCTAGTTCTGCTATAAGAAAGTAATCTCCTAATGGTCATAAAATTAAATTAAGTGTTAAATGTAAGTTCCTTGAAAAATCTTGGGCAAAATCTAAAAAAGATGAACTATTATTAGAACATGAAACTGGACATTATTTAATTGGATGTCTTTCTGCTTTAGAATTTAAAAAAAAAGTAGAATCTTCTGATGTGACTAAGTCAAATAATCATTAATAATAAATTAGAAATATCTTTAGACAGAATCTAAAGGAATTTTTAGAAATTGAAAAAGATTATGATGATGAAACTAATCATTTTAAAGATGTTGAAAAATAAAAAATGTGGAATAAAAAATTAAAGGAACAATTACTATTATATGAATGTTATTTTAATCATTGAAAAAAATAAAGATTTCATATTAAATCAAGACTTTTCTGTATACTCATTTTCAATTAATATTTCATTTAATTCTGTTTTAAAACTTTACAAATATTCTTTTAAAGATTCAATATGATAATCATATTATAATGAAAGATGATTTATAAATTCTAATAATTCCTACGTCAATTTTCTTTCTTTATTTTGTCTTAAGCGATTTCTAAATAAAATATCATTCAATGACTTTTAACTTTAACCTTTCGTTAAAAATATTGCTTCTTTTAAAGTACTAATTTGATCTTAAAGTATGTCTAGTACTTTTTAATTTTCTTATAATTCTATTTCAGCATTCATTAAAGTTTATCTTTATTCATACAAAGAAGATTAACAACTAATATAAATTTATAATAATTTACTATTAGAAATTCTCTTCTATTTCATTATAACCAGCTTCCACTACCTTTTTATACTCTTCTTTATAATCCTAAAAGTGATCTCCTGATGTTTTAATCCTTCTTCCACATAAAAGATTCTTAAATCGAGAACTCTTATGTTAAACTAATTACTATTTTTTTTCTAAGGTATCAACTAAAAATTTATCATTAAATTATTCAACTTCTCTAGATATATTCCTTGATCTTTCAGTGGGTAATGAGAAAGTTAATTGTTTTTTTAATGGGTGCTTTATTGAAATTTTAAGTAAATTTTGAGGAGGAGTTTTTAAAAATTTAGACTTTTCTTTGATAATGGTATTTTTATTTAAGATAAATGATTTCAATTAAGTACTGTCAGTCATAGTTGTACACTTATCATCTTTTCTATTGACAGAATCCATTATTAAGTATAAAATAAGTTTTAGATAAAATAATTTAATAAAAGATTCTGAGGACATCTTTTCTAATAGTTTAGAACATTTGCTTATTAAACACATAAATGAAGTTAAATTTTAATTAATTATCATATCTTTCATTTTTTTTAATTTAGAAGAATTCTCAGGCTTTTTCAGATCTAAGAATAATTATGTAATCATATACAAATTAAGTGCATTAACTTTCTCATTCAATAGTAGATCTTCATTCTCTACTGCATTCAATTATAAATCATAATAACTGAAGAAACTAAATTTTCTTGATTCTTTCATGGTTACTTTGTAAGGAACATCAGGAAGTAAATCAAAGAAATTATCAGAAAGATTGATGCAATCTGTATTACTAAATACATAAACATATTTAGCATATGATTTCGATAAAAAAGTGATTGTATTGGCTTGTAAAGTATAGGAAATATCAGGCTTTTAGAGCTGCCATTCTTTGGGTCTTCCAAAATTATATATGCCTTGATAATCACAATTTTTTTGATCGCAATAAAAACTATTAATTAGTTTGTATATACTTCATTTACAAATATAAGGATTTATATGTTTGATTGTAATTTTGAACATAATAATTCAATAGTTTTTTTGAAGCATTTTAAGAGATTTCTATAAATTTATAATCCCAGGATTTAAGAATAAAACCATTATATTATTTCAATTTTAAGGTAACATTACCAGTATAATTAGATACATTATCATTAACTAAAAAGACTTCTATCTAATCTTCAGTTTATTTAGGGGTTAAGATAGGATCAGAATGATACTTTTTAGCAGCATAATGTCCTGCTTTCCAACAACCATAATAATCAACAGATGCCCAAGATATAACAGGCCATACATCATTAATTTACCAATAAAAGGTGCCCATATTATATGGTTTTGCAGATCTTAATGAGGAGATAGCAGTTTGCAATGATAAATATTGAATAATTTAGGAGCAATAAGTTAATTATAAGAAAGAGTGAATATTTGAATTATAATTAGTATAATTTTTTAAGTATTCTTTGATTAATGGAATCCCTATTATATGTCTTTCATGGATTTGAAAAATTGGAGAATCAAAATTCAAATCATATAATTTGGGTACAACCTTTTAAAAATTATTGACATCAATCATAGCTTGCATTCCATACTCACTATTAAATCTACCAATAAATATAGTATAATTTTCTATTTAATGTTTGGAAGCCCAAACTCCCCAATAATGAATATCTCCAAATCCTAATTATGATGCATTATTGACAGAAGTAGATGGAGATGTAGGCCAATAATATCTATAGAATATATAGATTAATACATTTCTGGTTGTATTTCATTGAGAACATTAGGAATGGCATATAAAAATAATAAATCATACCATTGTTAAAGCATAGTAATTTCTTATTCAACTCTATTCCTTTTCCAACCCCATTCTTTCCATCCTATTTCTACTTCATTATTTCCATTCCATAAAACAATAGATGGATGAATTCTAAGTCTTTTTACATTATCTTTTAATTCTGCTTAAACATTTGCAATAAAATCATCAGTTCCTGGATACATAGCACAAGCAAACATTAAATCATGCCAAATGATAATACCATATTTATCTGCTAATTCATAAAAGATGTCATATTCAAATTAACCTCCGCCCCAGAATCTTAAACCATTATAACCTGCAGCAATTGAATCTTAAAATATTCTTTCATATATTGAAGGATTCTTCAAGGCTCTAGGCAAGGACATCTCTGGAGGTATATAATTAGCACCTTTTAAATACACATCCTTTTTTAAATATGAAGATAATATACTCTTCCATTAATTCTAAATTTAAATGATTGAGTTTATTCTCCATCTTTTTCTTAAATCCACTACACAACCCTAAAACCTGTTGTTATCTTCATATAATCAACATATGAATCATTTTTTATTAGATATGCTTACAATTGATATAACTTTTGTTAGCCTTATCCAATTGGCCACCACAATTCAATATCACTTACATTATATAAAAACTTAGTGTTTATCGAATTTAAAGGGTATTGATTATTTATAATAATTTCATCCAAACCTTTAAATTGCACTTCAATTATGTAAACACCAACATTTATTAAATAAGTTTCAATATTAATTTCAATAACAACGCTTTTTTCATAAATCTTCAATGCTTTTGCGTGCATACTTACAATTCTTCCATAATCATATTAATCTAAATAAACATCTTTCCATATGCCACATGTCACAATTCTTGGTCCCCAATCCCATCCATAATGATATGCAGCTTTCCTCGAATAAGTATAATTGTAAGGCAAATTCAAAGGACTATCTTATAACTATTTCATTAGATCATGTAAAGCTGCGGAATGAAAATAAATTCTTAATGTATTTTCAACTTATAAATTCTAAATCATCACTCTCCAAGTTCTATGTTAATTATTTGCTTTTAATATCTTCCTATTACTCTGCATATACATACTTAGATATCATTTAAATACACATCAGCGTGAGTGTCTAATCCTTCAAAAACTAATTCATTAATATCATAATTGGATTCATTATTTGTAAATTCCAATTTATATTCCCAATCTTCTAATTCCAATTCATACATACTCAATAAATTATCCTCTAACATTATTCAACTTAGTTACCAAAATAAGGATCCCCTATTAATTTGTTGTCTAATAAATCCATATGAATCGTAGATGGTACATTTGCAGGATACCATGTATTATTATCAGATCTTCTAAATTTCCATCCTTTATTTAGATTTGTTATCAGACGTGCAGTTGTTACTGTAATTATAAATAATATGAGCATTTTTATATTATTTTTATTAAATATATAGTAAATATAAAAGAAAGTACGTATTATTTAAAAATAATGAATAAGATTTACTTTAATTCAATTATATTTAAGATTTAAAATACACTAATCATTTCTATTTCACAATGTTCTTGATTTCTCTCCATATTTCATCTACTTATCTTTCAGCATTGATTTCATGCAAAATGTTTCTCCTAAAATAATATACATCAATTTATACTTTCTATAATAATCAACAATTGGAAATGTTTTGCTCTAATATACTCTTAATCTGTTTCTGATAGTACTCTCTTTATCATCTTCTCTTTAGATTAATTCTTCTCCTGTAATATCATCCTTTCCATATTATTTTGGAGGATTAAACTTATAGTTATAAGTTCTTCCAGAAGTAAGATGGGTCCATCTACCTCCTAATCGATCAATAACAGTATCTTCTTTGACGTTCATGAAGATAGCTTGATCAATCTATTATCCACTCTGTTTTAAAATTTCATCCAATTTTTGAGCTTAAGGAATAGTTCTTGGGAATCCATCTAAAATAGCTCCATTAGCACATGCAGGTCTAAATTAAAGAAAATAATTACTTGGCTAACTAGTATTTGATTAGATTACACATAACTTCATCCTCAATTAACTCTCCTCTATCCATAATACCTTTAAGACGCTTTCCAAAATCACTTCCAGACCTAACTTCTTCTCTAAGAAGATCTCCAGTTGATAAATGGCACATACAAAAACGTGCAAGCATTTTTGCTGAATGTGTACCCTTTCCTATAAATCTAAAACGTAAACTTTACCTGCTCCAGGCATTCCCAGTAATATAATACGTTTCTTCAACCCTTCTTCTTAACAACGATATCTTGTGTACAACTCAGAAATTAGAGCCTTCTCAGAGATTTCTGAGTATGCCTTAGTATCCATTATTAATGAAAAAATAATTTTGCCAACTAATTATTATAAAATTTCATTAATCAACATCTTCTTCAACAATTTCTTCTTCTAACTCATCTATTACTTCTTCACTTTCAGATGCTATTTATTAGATTGTATAATAATAATACCTGCATAATCAGGATTTTAATGATTTTTTAAATGAGCTGTAAGATTACTTGATTAACTGAATCGCTTTTAGCAATCAGGATACTTACAAGAATATGGTTTTTCTCCAGTATGAGTACGCATATGAGTTTTAAGATTAAAATCTAAAGAGAATCCTTTTTAACATAATTCACATTTAAAAGGTTTTTCACCAGTGTGTACTAATTAATGTCTTCTCAATTTAGAATTATCAAAGAATGTTTTTTTACAAGTAGTTACAGGACATACATAAAATTTGGGAACAGTAACTTTTTTTATTTTTGGTTGTTAAGCAACAGCTTGCTAGTGAGTAAAATAATTGAATTACTTTTTTCATTTATGTCATTTTTTGTAATAATTGACTTAATTCTTAAGTATTAGTAGTACTATTGGCTAGTAGTCTTTATAATTCTTAATGTGTTCTATTGATAGAAGCTTAATAATTAATTCTTGGCTTTTATTGTTTAGTATCATAAATATCATTGACTTTGACCCATTTTTTAATATAGATATCTTTAGCTCCTGGAAGAATGTTAGGTACTCTAACTCTTTTAAATTCCCAACATTTTTATGGTAAATTAAGAAAGTATTCATCAGCATCATTGAAATATTATTATTCACTTTCAGAATCGTGTTGCATTAATAAAAATTATATATGTAAAATAAGGTGACTTTTAAGATAGTAAATACCTCTGATCCAAATTTGGCATTCAGGACAGTATCGTAAATAAATATTAAATAATAAAAATAGAGTCCCATAAGAAGCTCCATTTAGTGCTGTTGTAAAATATGTAGCAGAAGAAGTAAATGAATATTATAATAAAGAATAGTTTAAAGTGAATCCAGCTACAAGTGCTATAATAACAAATGCAGGTACAGGAGTGTCACTTTAATAAACATCTGGAAATGTGTTTTTAAAACATGGTTCAGAATTGAAGATCATACCAAGAGATCGTGTAGGTTATTGTTGATATATATATCATAAATACAATTTTAAATCATCCCATATTCCTTCTTTGATAGCAGCAGCAATGTTTAGATCATATAAGGTTTACCAACAGATTTCAGCTACTAATTATTTATTAACTAGTTTATTATTATTTGGAATGTTAAACTGCAATCCATATTTAGCATAATCTTGATTGGCTACAGCAAAACGATATTTTATATGTTTGACTGGACCATTAATTATAACATTATATAGATAACATTATTAAATTGCTTTTATTGCAGCATGAGGATAATGCTCTAGAAATTTCTTTCTTTATTTAATATTTCTCATCAGATTTAGTAGTTTCAAATAGAAGATTATTTTATAGAAATCTTCTGGTGTTATAATTTCTGTGACTGTTTCAACTGAATCATGAGTAGCTAAATGATCAACAGCATCCATAAGAATTTTAAAGTATTTTCTCATTTCTTGATACAATTCATCTCCACATTCATATCTCACAATTAAAAGAAAGATTGAAATTGTTGTATCAAGCATCTCTTTTATAAAGTTACGACAATGCATTTCAGATCCCAATTTAGAATGTAATACATGTAATTTGGCTCTGAAATAAGTACAAAACATATTGAATCTTTATTCTCGTGCCATCCTTCCTGTAAATTAAAAACAATATGACACACATCTTAATTTTCCTATTTCCCATAGTTTTACTTTATCTGGTTTATTCTAATTACATGGTGTCTTCAAAGCTTCTCCACCAGGAATATAACGTGATAGATCAAGTTGTTAAATATATTGCATGACATCTCATAATTAATTATGCATATTATTATAAATGATAATTATTTTGCTACTTTTTTATTTCCAAAAATGAATTTTTACTTAAGTAATTTCACTATTACAAATTATATTGCTAATCTAGCTATATAGTTTTGTCTATCACCTAAACTTGAAAGTCGAATATACTCTGATGAATATATCAAAAGTCAACTTATGATAATTAATACTTAATAAAATGGATCTTTTAAATAAAAAATATATTTTAAAATAGATAAAACTTACTATTTAATTCTGTAGTTTTCATCCTTTATATATTATTTTATGATAAAAACTACTATCTAGGCTCAAAATACCCTATAAGCATTTTCTTAAATTAAACTTTCTCTATATGTAACTTTTTAAATTACACCAAAAATCTCATTTGAAATTGATTCCAATCCTTTATTGATGAATTTTTTGAATATTAATTTAGTTACAGCCCATCTTGTAAAGATAGTTTATGGTTATTCGTTTTTTCAATTACTTTTATTTGGTTCATTTTAATATCTTATTAAGAACCATTGATTTTGATATTATTAACATATGATAGTGATAAAGGTTTTTAAGTTCATTAAAAAAGAGTATCTTACTATTGAATGTAGATTTTCTAGTATAGCTAGCAGTTATTCCTAATTTAAACTTTTACTGTTCATTGATTTAGGAAAGGCCATTTGTTATTAATTTTAATCTTTTTACGCACATTTTAAATCTTATTTTAAATTCATTAAGTTCTCATGGAAATTAAATAACAAAATATTATACAAGCATTTTTTGATAAATCTTTTCAACATTTAATATTCATTTTTTAAGACAAAAAGTATCAGCCAATTAATATTTTTCTATTCTCTATTAAAAAAAGTTATAATTTGGTAAAAAATCATTTTAGACTAAATAAATCAAAAAATTTCTTTTCAATTTAAAGAAAATCAAAAAAATTATTTAAGGTTATGACATTTGATAAAATGAAAATAAAAATTTAGTAATTTATTTTTAATGCAATACTATAATTACTTAAGTCATTCGGTTATAGGCTGTCTATCATCTCCAATTTATGATTTGATTTTACTGACAATAGATTTAAATTAGAATAATTTTTTTACTTTAAAATGCAGAATAAAATTATCAATTTAATATACAAACTTACAAAACTGCATTATTTAAATACATCTTTCAATAGTCGAGTATACCTATATACTGAATTTAAAAATAAATTTAAGATACACAACTAATAATTCTACAATATAATAAATAAAAGCAGCAGATTTAATTGGCATTTTAATAACCATTGTATTAATATTATAATGATAAAATAGTCATTCATAATATTTATTATTATTATTGTTATTACATTCTTACTTTTTCATCATGTTCATCTTCAAACTATTAAAGCATCTCTAAAAATTATCTTTATAATTAATCGAAAACAGGTCGATTCTTTGTTATTGCCTCATTTTCTTATTCTGGTGTTATATCATTTAAACCATACAATTTTCTGGCTCTATTTTTTAGAACTAAATTTATACCTTTCAATATCATCTTCTTTATCATCAATATATATTTAACAAGCTAAAATACACAAGCATGCCTATCTTAATAAATCAAAACTCAAATAATAAGATGCTGCCAAAACTTTATCAAATAGTTCATCTGATAATTATAAAACTTGAACTGATTATAAGTCCAAATTATCATTAATCTTATTATTGATGATTGGTTTTTTAATTTTTATTGCTTCTCTCTCGTAATTATGAACTTCACAAAATTTCTTAATTACATTCAAAACTTCTAACTATAGTTCTAAATTGAATTCTTTACATCTATTGCAACTGGTAATGGCTCATCAATTTCTTTATCTTATAATAAATCACATAAGAGTGATAATTCGCTTTTAAATTTCACAACTTAATTATCAATTGTGTGAAAGTGCCATTCCTGTGTAGAATTCATAAAAAATTATTAATAATATTTTATATACTTTAATTCTGAGTTAAAAATTGTATATTTTGCATTATATTGAAATTGTTCATCTAATCACAAAGTAATACAGCTTTATATAATAAATTAAATTAATCAAAAGTCATCATTATTATGTTCACTAATTTTTTTATATAGACGAGAATAATCATCAATTTATTAATTGTTCTGCCTCAATTTCCGCATTTGAGATTTTAAGAATTTTGTCACATTTTGTTAATCATCATTTGTTTCATAAGTTTGCTGTGTTGTACCTCTATCACTTTCATCAAATGATATACTTTATTAATATTAATTCTATCGTTTATGTTCGAATTTTATTCTATCTTACATAAATGAATTTTAAATGAATTGTGTTTTATTTTATAAATCTCTATATTTCTTTTTCAATTTTTCATTGATATCATTCAATACTAAATTTTTTTATCTCTCATCTTCCAATTATGAATGGATTTCCAAAATTTGCTTTTTTAATAACTAATTCTAATATTTTTGAACTTTAAAATTTTATTATGCCATCTTATATTTCTTATTTAATTCTTCATGTTTTTATCTAATTATGTTAAATTTTGCAAATAAGATATTTTCTAATTAACTGTAATTTTCTGAATTCAAAGTTAAACAATCAGAACTTTCATTTAAAAAGTTTATATAATCATCCATAGCATTCATAAAATTTTTAAACTCCCCTTATTTAGTTGATTAATATTCATCAAATACGAATTTCTTTTTGGTTACTTCTGTTTTTTAATCAGTCTTATCTTAAAATGTGAATGGGTGATTCTTAAAGTCAATTTAATGATCATCGCTTAATTATAATATTGAATTTTACAATTCTAATTGTGATAATTGATTCTTAAAGTTCGGTTTAGTTCTTTGAAGCGATACGGGAAAGGATTCTGTGAAAGTCTTATCCTTTTATACTTCACAATTATATACTTAAGATAGTTTGTGATATTGCATGAAATCGGTGTTTACAGATTGTCTTCTCCCAGTTTTTCTTAATTCTTTAAATATGGTTAAAATACATTACAGGCATAATTTATGCTCATCCTTAATTTGATTTTAAGGTAGTTAGTATATTAAAATAAATTTATAAAACATAATTTGTATTTTAATCAACTAATTGACTTATTGAAACTTCAACGAACTTTGCATCTTTAAGTCCAATAACCAATTTCTTGTTCTTATTATTGAATTAATTTATTTAGATTAAGTTTAATTTCTAATCTACGCAATGGTGAAGGAGCCATAGATGGATTAGAAAGTGATCTAAGTAACATAGAAGGAGAACAAGTACTATAATAATTTTAATCTCATACTTTTACACAGTTGTTGGTGAAGACATTTAAGATGGATTTTTCTTAATTTATTTTGGCTATCCTAATAATAACAAATATAATACCAAATAAACTTAATATTTTTTCTTTTTTTCATTTTCCTTTTCAAATGTACATGATTAAGTAGGTCCATTTTATGCTTATTGTATGACACTTTTATAAGATGCATGAAATTGATAGTTATCAGATTTATTTTTAGATTTTTTCATATTTTAAATAAGTTTTAGTAACATTTCATCAGTAATTTATTTTTTAGAAGATCCACCTTCTCCTCTAACAGTACCAATACCACAACTGGAACCATAACCAATACCATAACGAGTGTCATTACGTTCAGTAAGGATTTCTTTGACTTAAAATCTTTTTTGTAATATTTAATCATATTTTTTCATTAAAGATTAAATGCTCGTTGATTTATTATTATTATTGTTAGGAGCTGTAGTTGTTGAAGATTTAGCACTTTCTTACAATTTTAAAGGTGGAATAGGTATCTTAGGTTATTGAGATTATAAAGATGATGGGTTCTTTTTAGCATTTGCACTTGATGGTATTTTCTTTTTTAGTGGTATTTTAGTAATAGTAGATAATTGTTTTGATGTCTAAAGATTAAAGTCATTAAATAAACTATCAAGTTCTTAATCATTTTAACAATTGAATAATTTATTATGATCTCCAGATGTATTAATAATAGAACATTATTATGATTAAGTTGGTTTATTTAATGGTAGTATTGACTTCTATGCTTCACTTTATGATATCTCATAGATATTGTGAGATTTGCTGTCCCATGAAATTTGTTCCTTCGGATAGGAACTAAATAAGTATGTCGATACTACTCTGATACAGATTCAACATAATTCTCACTAAAAATATGATCTGGAATCATCTTTTTTGTGATAGGCTGTTGATTCTAACTATTTTATGCTTTTTATTGTAATTTTATCAATTTATTCTATCTCTTCTCCATAAACTTATGAGCATTAACTTTACATAAATTAGGTTATGTTATCTATTGTTGTATTATGTTTCATATTTTACTTTATGTTACTCAAAATAGAAATTGCTAAGTAATTTTAATCTTGGATCTTATTCATCCCTCTAATAAAAACGTTTCATATATTCGTTTTCATCATGCAAGTACAATTAATCCTTAAACAAAATTACATGATCTACAGGAACGTTTGCTAATATTTCTGTTATAGGTTTAGCAAAATAAAAGTTGAACTATTCAAAGTATCTATTGAATCATAACAACTAAATACTTTTCGTGTATTTCTTTTTAAATAAATTTGGTTTATCTTAATTTACAGAATTGACAGTTCGAATTGTGTTGATGGTTATTCATTAAATTCAAATATAAATAATTAAATTTTACTAATTTTTCTTATCAAATGTAATTTATTCAAACCTTCTAAAACTTAATCGTCTTCATTTCTTTCTCTCTTATTTCTTTTTCAATTTCTAATTTTCTAGCATTCTTTTCTCTTTCTCTCATTGTCTCTCTTGCATCATTCCTAAAATCTAAATTATAAATTATACTCAATCATTAATTATCTTTATCTTTACTCTTCTTCTAAAATTTATTGCTTTCTTCTTTTTAATTCTTATTCCCATTCTAATTAATTTAATCTCTAGTTAATCTCTAACTATTTTATTAAATGTTCTCCTGCTTTCTCCTCTTAGAATATCTTTAATCTTCTCTCTTTCAATCTCTAAGCCTAAGCCTAACTATTCGATCTTCTTTCAAATTGATACTTTATCAATTATTCTTTACTGGCATCCTCTATAGCTTTATTCTAACATCATACTTTAAACTTACTATCTAAAAATTATGCATTTTATCTTCTTTTTCTTTATTAATCTTATTTTAATATTCTGAAAAGGCTTTCTTACATTTATCCATATAACTTTATTATTTCTTTTCTTTCTCATCAAATTTCTCTCGTCTTTAAATATCTTATGTTGCTAATATTTACTATTATTATAAACTAATTATATCATACATTGGCTTTCTCTATCTTTTATTACTTTATATCTGCTTATTTTTACAATTATTACTTTGTCCATTATTTTGATTCTTCTATATATTTTAATTTCCTATAATTTTCTAATTCTTTTTTTTCTGATTACTCTTTTTAATATTAATTAAATTTATCTTTATCATTCAAAGCACCCATAGACTTTTAAAGAATTTTAAAAAAGTGTTCCTCTTTCTTCTATTTCTATTCCTCATGAAAATCTTGTAATAATGACATCTATTTTTATAGTTACTTTTCTTTTCTTTACATCTTATCTTCTAATACAGCTTATCTATATTATTAATCTTTTAACATTCTATCTTTATGTAATTGCAATCTCTTCGAATTTAATTCTTCTTATTCTTTTAATTATCGAGCTTACCATTATTAATATTCCTCTAAATTCATTTCAGCCTTCACTTACTTTGCTTCAATATCTAAACGAAATTTCTAAAACTCTTTTTCATCTTCTATTAATTTTCTTTAAATGCTATATTATTTCTCTATCCATTTTTAATTATGTGATTAAATCTATTAATCTCTTTAAGCGCGATAAAATTGAAAACTACTTTTATACATTCGAGTTTATCCATCACTTGTACTTGATAATAAACCACCTGTTTATGTCATTATATCAGTTGGAGCAGTCTCTGGTTTTATATTAGGTTAACTTTATAATCTTAAGAATCTCTATGATTTTTATTTCAACTACTCTAATTTATCAATCTCAAACATTATTGAATTTATATGCATATCAATGTCTTTAACCAACTTCTTACAATTATCATTTTCTGCTGAATGTGGCTCCACATCTCTTCTAAGTAAACCAAACTAAACTATTTTTTTATTATTACATCTTAAACTAAAGTTATTCTCTTTTCTACCTTAGATTATGAAATTTTATTTATTTTCTTTATTTTATCCAAATCATCCCACTTAAATCCTTCTATGTACAATAAATGAGTTATTGATTTGTCATGTTCTAATTCTTCAGAATTGCGTTTTTCTAATTCTTAATATCGTTCAAGCAGTTACTCCATGAAAATGGCTTATTAATATATAAATATAAAAAATTATTATTGATAATAAATCTCAATAACTAGTTATTTTCATTTTTTAAATAATTTCCACTTTTACTAATCTATTTATTTACAAGAATTTATGCTTTTTTTTTTTATCCATCAAATCACAACCTACATAACTTCAATAATTATAAATTCAACAATCAGATTATATCGCCTTCATCCTTAAATTTGAAAAAATTAAATAACAAAATCTAATTACTTCAGCATTTAATCACCAAATTTATATAAAATAGATTCTCAAGATTTAAGATAAAAATAATTTTTTTCAAATAGATAGAAATATAAAAATAATATATTGAACATTAATAGATAATGAATAAAACTTCAATTTAAAGTTCCTTAATGAGCATGTAAATATTTAATATAAAAGTTCATTTTTTCCTAATTATTTTAAATTAATTCTTTAAGTATAATAAGATATCTATATAAAAGATCCATTTTTTTTACCTTATTTCTTCAATAATATTTTTTAATAGTAACTTTTCATCGAAGTTTGTAAATTAAAATTAATCTAAAATAAATTTACATGATACAATGATCTGAATTCTTCAAATATTGCTAAACTTTAAACTGAGTATTATAATTGATAATTTAGTATAAATGAAAAATCCAGGAAATTCCTTCAAAGATTTAATTAACTGATATAGTATATATTATGGAAGATATTAAAACTGAATATGGATTGGTACAATCATAAAATAGAGAAAATTAAGATAACTTTGGTAAATTTTATTTTTAGCTCTAAGTGCATTAATAGAACCAACATCAACCTTCATGAATTTACATTTGCTAATAAGTTATTTATTATTGAAAGTTAAGAAGCTTTTTTAGCAACATAAAGTTCAGATTTCATAGATGAAATTATAGAAGATGAGGAAATCATCCTAGTCAAAAATAGTTATTTATAGAGGTTCCTAATGATTAATTCATGAAAGTTGAAAATCTTATACAAGTAAAAGATCTTGGAATCTAAAAATAAATGAGTAAATCTGCTTTTGTTAAGAATTTTGATAAAATTATTAATCACAAATAAATGATTTAATTATTAAAAAAAGAAAATAATATCTTTATTTTCTTATGAGAGATATTATTATCATGAGTTTGGGATGTAGAAAAAAAGAGAAACAACTTATAAATTTGCAACTGAAAAATTCATGAATAAACTCGATACACCAAATTTGATTTCGAAAATTTATGAAATAGCTCGATCAAAACTAATTCTACTTCATGAATAACAATAAAAACTATTTAATAATTTACCTAAACCTATTTTTCCTGAAGATATGTTTGAGATGATTTCTAAAAAAAATAAAAGTAGTTGAATTCAATAAGCTTAACAAGTTATTTTGTAAGATGAAAAACTCGAATTTATGAGATTACAAGAAGCATTCCTAACACACGTAAAAAGTAAAAATGCAACAAAAAAATGAGATTTCAGAAGATGATAAAAAAATAATTGAAATTATAGATGATAATATTTTAGAGTTATTCAAGCATTTGCATTGTATACTTTGAAATTAGAAAAAATACTTTAATTATAATTTTTTGATATTGAATCTCCAAAATCTAATTTTTAAACTGATTTTGATGAAGATAGCTTATTAATACCTTTTTTACCTGTCAAGCAGAAATCTTAAGAATGGAATGAAGTTATTAAAATAAAAATTAAATTAACTTATTCATTATTTTATTTACTTTTATATTACTTTTAAGACATTCATTTATTATTATTATCATGAAAGTTTTTCAGTAATTATTTATTTTATTTTAATTTTTTATAGCAAATAAATTAATATTATAAAATTCGAGATTTTAATATCAATAAAAAAGTTGTTTCTTAAGATATTAATTCATTTTACAAATTATTTTAACATTTAATACAGACCTTTTATATATGACTAATTTTCTAAAAAATCAAAAATTTTTTTAGGAAGATAAAACCTTCAGCTTATCTAAATCAATTAAAAAAGAAAAAAGAAGAAATTAATATACGATAGAGTTCAAATTTGGTAGCAATATAGATGTTTCTAAGCTTAAGTAAATTATTCAAGTTAATCAATAAATACCTGCTTACATCCCTATAGATATAACTTTTAGACTTGAATCAGATATTTTAATTCCATTTTAATGGGATGCCAGTCTCTAATTAGGTGCTTTAGCTATAGATCCTATTTCTTATAATTATAGAATAGTAAAGTATGATAAACAATAGAATAACTATATATTTTATTTCGAGCCAATTGATAGGCCTTTTACTCCTCTTTAAGTTGTAAAAAATACTTTGGAGAAATATCATCCATCTTTAGGAGAACAATTTGAGTTATTTCATTATAAATTACTATGTAAAGATTAAATCACCGTTGCTACTGAGTAAGAAATTTAAGAATATGAAAACAGCATAAAAAATTCTTTTGCAGTTTACATTTAAAAGAAATAGAAAGGCAGAATAACAACTTTAATAAAGTCCATTAATTGTTAATACTTGTAATTAATGGGAATAAATGAAGAAATATTGCAGGATTATTTAAATTAGACAGGACTGTTGCCTTGGTGTTTTTCTAACGATAATTAATAATTTATGAGTTTAATTCGAGGAATGTTCCAAGGTGCTTGTCAATAGGTTAATAGTTCTATGTAAGCAATAAATTTTAATGGATAAAAATTTGAAGTAAAAATAACTCCTAAAATATTTCATACATATAATTAAGAGGATGATTCTTATATATAATTTATGTTCTTTTAATAAGAATATAATTACTAAATTATGTCTTAAAATTAAATAGCTCAAAACATGAGTGAGTATTTTAATTTAAAGCCTAAGATCATTAAATAGGATATGATAGAAGATGATATAAGTAAAAGATGTAAATATAGAAAAATTTGACAATTAATAAATATATTTAATATAAACATTATATAGTATTACAAAAAGTCTTGAATAATATATCCTAATAATTCTTAAATTCTTAATTAAAACTTAAAAAAATAGTTCTAAAATAGAATTTATATATTTATAATGAATAATTTAAATCATCCAAATATCATTAGTAATGGAGCCAAAAATGGACAAAATATTGTTACTCCTAACTTTATGACATTCCATAATATTCCTTTACCCAGATATAGGCCTATTCCTGTACAAATAGTTTTTGAATATGGCATATATTATGCCAAAAGAGATATAATAGGAGCAGCAATATATGATGCTCTCTTTAAAGAATTGATCAAAAATTTAACTAAATTTTGGGCAGTTTATGCTTGAGGGTTTGAAGTTGATTTCAAAGCAACTTTAGCTGTCTTTAAAGTTGGCAACACAAAAGGTTATAAAGCAGATAAACTAGTGTATAAAGGAATCGCTATATAGGCAAATTTTGAAATAAACCCAAGGGCTGACATAAGCTTACTTGTATAAGTCTTAAATTTCTCAACAGCCTTTTCCATCCAGTGTTTAGGTTTGTAAATTACTTCTATATAGAGTGGCTCATAAGCAAATTAATATTATTATTCATCTTAGGAAAACATTTGGTTATTAAAAAAAATTTAAAAGGATTTCACATTCTACTTAAAGAACTCGCTAATTTAAATTAAGTTCTTTGGAGTCTTAGAATTTGGGTTCACAACTAGATCAACAATTTTCTGATTTATTTACATAATTTTACCTTGACATGAATAGTTTCATCTGAAGTTAGTATTGTTTATCGAAAGTCAACTTCATAATATTAAGTTAAATCTTAAATGCATATTATATCCTAAAGATGTTCATTATCACTTTAATGAACTTAATTCTTTATCAAGGCTTTATCCTTTCGTATTTTTTATTTTGCAGTCATAAATTCAATATGAATGACATTTTGTTAAACTTTATTGCTATTACCCATTTTCTATAAAAATATAATATGTTTATAAACAATAATAATATGCTTATAAATTCAGTTTATTTTTTTTCTTAGCATTAGGATATGAGGTTCAGGTTTATAAATGTCATAATTTTTCCAGCCTTAAGATCCTTTAATTCCCAATTCTCTCCATTCATTTTCAGTTAAGAGCCTTCCAATTTTCTAAACTTTCTTATACAATTCAAGAGGTAAAATGACATGTCTATATTCATATTCATCATCGCGATATTTGTCAGAATAAATAATCTCAACAGGACATCGAGGCATTTTAGTTTTTATTATTTTAATATAAGGAAAAGATAAAAATATTATTTCTGTTGCTAGTGAAATTTGTCATTCTTACTAAATTTAAAGTTAATAAAAATTTAATTTAAAATAAAAACTAGTTGGATTTTATATCTTTCAATTTAACTAAAGTTTATATATTTTACATATATTACAGAGTATAAAAATTCTTTTCAATTTCGTATGATTCATTAGAAAAAAAGTTCATCATCTTTAATTTTCTTTTTATTAATCACTTATTTCTTTTAAAATTGACAGCTTATTAATTAGTTAAAAATCTTTAACACTATGAACTGCCTTCCAAAATGTTTTTTCTCACAATTAATTCTCATCCTCAAAAATGTATTTTTTCTATTACATAACTAAGTGAGAATCGAAATAGTGCTAATAGATTTTTTATAAGAAAAATTAGAGTTATTTTTAAATATTTTGTTTATCCCACATTTTCTTCTAAAGATTTAATATTGATTTTAATGTAATTTTATTTACTTCGAAATTCTTTTTAATATTGAAATTTTTCTATTGAATATTTCATAAATTTTATTTTGAGAATCACTTATTCATGTTATATAAAACAAATGCTAATCAAAAAATATTCTTTATCTGAGTAGAATCAAGCGAAAAAAGAATGATGTTCCAAGAAGAATAAATATTTAAAGAAGTTGTTGTTTTTGACTAAAATAAAAGAGTCTGATCTAAAATAAATTGTTTAAGGACCAGACGGACATGTAAATTTAAGTCTAAAATTTTTGAAAAATTAGAATCATCTTCTTCAAACAATATTTTTTATTGTAAAGTAATTTAAAAAAAATAATAATTTTATTATTGAGCTAAATAATAGCTGAAAATTAAAAATTGCATCATCAAGTATTGTATAATTTATATTCTAAAAATTAAAGAGGATATATATAATATTGGGTTCTTATAGTAATAAAATTGAACATATTCATTATTAAAAATAAAATTTTAAAATAATCATCATGAAATAGCAAAAAAAGATAAGGTAATAATAATTAATATTTCTAGAAAGGCTTAACGACGCATTATCCAAGTAATATAAATTATTAAGGAAGATTGCTTAGACTCCTGGGTGAATACTAACGAGTATTTATTAACAAAGTTCAGCACACCTTCTTGTGGAATTTTTCAAGCTCCTGGATCTATGCTAGAGGTTCTTTTAAAATCTGAATGAATTAAGCTTCTACTTATATTTATTTAATTAATTAAGAAAAAAAAACAACTTGAAGAAAGTGGATAACTAAAATTAAATGTTCAAATGATAGTAAAAGCATAAGAACAAATAGGAATCCATTAGCTTTATTTTAAGATTATGTATTCTTGGCTTAAATTTCTAATATAAATTAAATATAAAATTATTCTATATAAATTTTCTTATTTGATGATTGTTAACAAAGAGAATGATGCTCATTTAATTTTAAAAATGATTTTGTAAAATTAAAAGAATTGATTTAAAAAGAAAAAGGAAGGAAATCCATAGAATAGATTTTTAATTTTATGAAATTTTTTGGGATTGATTTATTTTAACTAAAATAATTAATTACATTAAATTTTGTAGTGGAAATAAGCGTGAAATAAAGGAAAAGAAGTAAAGAAATAGATTGGGGAAGTTGAAGTGAAAAATGAAATTTTGATAATTTGAATGAAAAGATTAATTAAAAAGGTAGTGATAGAAGTAGAAATGAAAAGAATAAATGATATAAAAAGGTTTTATATTAAATATATTTCAAAATAATAAATAAAATGAATAATTTCGAAAAGGTTGATGCATTCGGATAATTGCCATAAGCAAGATTTGGACATACAATAACATATATAGCAAAGGGAAAAGCAATATTATTTGGTGGTAAGTTGAATTGAATAATTGAAGGTGCAACTGGGGATACTGGGAAATACAGTATAACAGGAGATACATTTTCATTTGATATGTAAACAAAATAATGGAAAAGGGTTGAAGGTATAAAGAAAATAAAAAATAATTAGTATAGGGGACAGCACCAAATCCAAGAGCAGCACATGCAGCAGTCTGTGTAGATATAAATTAAATAGTAATATATGGTGGAGCAACAGGAGGTATTTATATAGATTTGATAGATAATGATAGGTGGTAGTTTAGCATCGGATGATTTATATTTGTTGGATTTGAGATCATCAGATGACATAGGATAATGGACTGTAGTACCAGTAGTAGGGACAACTCCAGGAAGAAGATATGGACATACTTTAACATTTACTAAACCATTTTTAATTGCATTTGGAGGTAATACAGGATAGGAAGCAGTGAATGATTGTTGTATGAATTAATCATTTAAAAATAGGGTGTGTTAATGTGGAAAAGAGTCCCATTACCTGGGTTAGATTGGAATGCAAATCTGAATAACCAATAGCAAGAGTCTATCATTCAGCTAGTATATGTATAAATGGAAGTGCCAATGGAATGGTTGTAGCATTTGGAGGTCGTTCTAATGATTAATAAGCTTTAAATGATGCATGGGGATTAAGAAGACATAGAGATGGAAGATGGGATTGGGTGAAAGCACCGTATAAAATGGATAAAGAATAACCTATTGGAAGATATCAACATACAACTTTATTTGTATATAGTATGCTTGTTGTTATTGGAGGAAGAACTGGAAATGTTGGAGAAATGCTTACGATTGATGTTTATGATACTGAAACTTCTGAATGGTCTAAATTCAATAGTATACAGAGATTTAGACATTCCTCTTGGTTAGTTGACACCAGCATATATGTTTATGGAGGATTTGAATTAGATTCACCTAATATACCTACTGATATCATTTCTAAAATCAATCTTAACAAATTACTCTTGCCAAGTGAACCTTTAACTAATAAATTAGCTTAATATTAACATGCATAAAGAAAGTACTTCATTTTCTTTTATTTAGTGTTTCCCCTTAATCACTTTCTCCATAAATGAGTCCTGCTTCAACAGATACATCTAATTCTTCGTTAAATAGTTCTTTAATGCAAAAGAAAGGTGTCTAAAATAATTAAATTAATACTCAAAAACAATAAAAACCATTCATGCAAAATCAAGTTGAAAAACCTTCTTTTAAGTTTATTAATTAAGCTATTGTAGCTGAAGAAACCAGAGATAATAAAATTCCTAATAAAAAACCTAGACTTCCCTAATCTGCTCAAGACAATAATATTGCTCATCTCTTTATCACTACACTCTTATAACCTAAGACATTTATAAATATTCAAGAAAATGCTAAATTTTTATTTTAAGCATAACATATCATCATGTTATGTGATTAAGCTGAAGCTGTTATAAGAGAATAACCTATGGTTTTGAGATGTAAAGCACCAATTAAGATTTTTGGAGATATTCATGGATAATACTCTGATTTAATGAGATTTTTTGATTTATGGGGTTCTCCTTTTGTAGATGGAAAAGATAGTGATATTGAAGCATTTGATTATCTGTTTCTAGGAGATTTTGTTGATAGAGGTAACCATTCTCTTGAAACAATTTGTTTACTTTTGGCTTTAAAAGTCAGATATCCAGAATCTATCCATTTAATTAGAGGGAATCATGAAGATAAATGGATAAATAATGGATTTGGATTTTCAGAAGAATGTGCTTAAAGATTAGGTGAAGATCCAAATGATGATGATTCTGTTTTTGCAAGAGTTAATCGTTTATTTGAATGGTTACCATTAGCTGCAATTGTAGAGGAGAAAATAATTTGTTTACATGGTGGTATTGGGAGTTAATTAAATTATGTGGCTGAGATTGAAAATCTATAGAGACCTTTAGAAGTCATTCATGAAGTGACAACACCTGAATAATAATTAGTTGTAGATATTTTGTGGTCTGATCCTACAGATTCTGATTAAGATTTTGGAATCTAACCAAACATTATAAGAGATCCTGCTGGTACAGGGAATATTGTAAAATTTGGTCCTGATAGAGTTATTAATTTTCTTATAAAAAATAGTCTCTCTTTAATAATTCGTGCTCATGAATGTGTTATGGATGGATTTGAAAGATTTGCAGGTATTTATTATTTTTCTAGTTAGGTGGTTAATTATTGACAATATTTAGTGCTACTGATTATTGTGGTAGACATAAAAATGCAGGAGCAGTACTCATTTTAAAAAGAAACTTAGAAATCGTACCTAAATTAATATATCCATAAAATTTGAATGCTCACAATTGGATTGAAGATGAAGAAACATTGAAAAAAAGACCTCCAACACCACCTCGTTGGAAAAACTAAGGTTAACGCAGAAGTTACGAATGATTAAATTAATTAGTTATTAAAAAATTTTCAAATCGACAATTTTAATTTATAATATATATTTTATAATCAAAATGAAAATATTTCTAATAGAAATTATGGGAAGAGTAGTATTTAGAATTTTTAGATAAAAATCTTTAGATTTATAATAAAATTGATTTATATAAAATTAATCAACATTCATTTTTTGAATGAAGGTGAACAATATTTTTCACTAAGATCAAATGAGGAATCCTTTCTAAGTAATTAAGTATAGAAATTATTAGTTTTGAGTTGATTCTCATTTACTTTATTTAAAATCTCCAAAAATTTACTAGGCTAACTATTTGATCTTTATTTATCAGGTGTTTAATTTGTTGGTGTTGTTACTTGTGTAGATTAAGGTGACATTAATCTTGATACAGACTATCCTTATTATTGTTCTGTTTTCAACAAAGATGTTTAGACTATTTTAATTTCTAACTCACTATCTTCAAATAAACCTCCTAAAATCTTTTAATCTGTTGACTTTTTATACACCCTTCCTAAATAAATATTTTATGTTTCCATTTTAGCAAGACATTATTAAATATCTTACACTCTCTTATTATATTGACCCATAATTTATTTGTAAGGTAGCAATTCAATTTATAGGATTATATTATCAAGATTAACTTCTATATCACTATACATCTATAATAGTTCATTATGGTTCTCTTTAATTTCTTATTATTTTTATTCAAACATAGTTAAGGCTTTTCCTTACAATTCATTTAAATAGTCAATTTATTCTTTTAACTTGTGATCTAATGTGGTTGTCATAATATGATAGTGCTCTCGTACTTTATCCTTTTACTTTTCACAAAATCGAATCAGATCATCCTTTTTCTCAAGAAGACTTTGCTCACTTTGGTCTATTGTTAAAAATGTTTGTGAAATTGTTTCAAGAAACTGTTGTATTTATTCTTATCTAACCTATGTTTAATCTGATTCTATATCATCAACCTAATTCTAAAATGAAACTTACTTTATAACCTTAACTAACAAGAGCAATAGCACATTTCGAGCAAATTAAATCAGTCAAGTTAAACTTTGGTTTAGGATATGGAACACCAACTATTTTATATTTTGCCTACTTTTTAAGCTTCTTTTACCTTTTTATTTTGATGAGCTTTGCAAATTGGTTCAGGCAAATTAAATACTTCATTTTCTTTATTCATCTGTTAACGATTAAAATTAATTGAAAATACTATTAAATATTATTCAGTAGAATAAACATTATTTATTCCCGCTATTTTTCTTAAAAGCCACTTTAAAGTTACCTTTTATTTTAGAATAATAGAAGACTCTCAATGTCTATAGGATTACATGAAATAATTAACATTTTATATTTATATCACATCATAAACTCTAAGAATTCATTATATTTAATTTATAAGAAGCTGGATCTCTTATGTAAGCTGGAATTTTATAAATGTCCTTTGTCGTAACTGAATATTATTAACATAATTATTAAATGACTTCGGTTGTAAACTCGCTTTGTTAATTATTCAAATATTTCATAAGGTTTTCATATAATGGTTCATAATATTCCTTTGTGAAGGCTATATTAATTAAAATTATTTAATACTTTCTGCAATGTCTAATTATATTTAAGATTTGATTTATTCATTTATAATCAAATCTATTTCATAAAATAAATCATTTCTAAATCCATTTTCATCTAACTATACTATTTATCTCAAAAATCTTTTAAATTAATCCTTAGATAATTAATTATTTTTTTCTCTTTATTACACTTTAAACTTTTATGCACTTTCTGTGACATTTTCAATTTTTAATTTTTAAATTAAATCAGCCAATAATTATTGACATTCTTTTACATAATTATCAATTGTCTCTTCAACTTCTTGAATTTTCATGGCTTATAATTGGTTTATATAAATTTATAATGCATTTATTGAAAATATTTTTGAAGATCTATTAAAACTATTCTGATTTAATTTCATTTGAATTAGCTATGAAAAAGGTAACCAAAGATTTGATAATATCTCTTGTCTTTCTTCTGGTTTACTTTTCTTTAAGAACTCATACAATTATTCTAATTGATCTTTCAAAGGCTAATATGATGAGAATTAAGCTATATTGAATCTTATAATTGATAAATTATGAGACATAATTTAAACACTTTTTATTTTTAATTAAGTACAAAGTTATTGTAACTTAGATAACCCATTTATGCATTGTAATTGCGCATTTGTAGATTTTAAGTTATTGATAATTTATTAGATTTACATATTTATCTCATAAACTAAGTTTATTTTTAAAATGATACTTAAAAAATAACTTTCTACAAACTTCAAAGTTGCATCTAATTATTAGGCATAGTCACAACATATATTATCGATTACTTATGGGAAAAATAAAGGGGCGCTCTTTTCAAATATTTCCTCTGTATATTTAAAAGATTATCTTATTTAAGCAATTATTTTTACTGTATTTCATAATCTAAGGCTTTAAAAAAAGATTTTATTGAGGCTTCATCCATAGAATTAATACCTGCTAATAATGGTATTAAATGATTGCTAAATTTATATCGTAAGACAAAAATAATTTGCTCATTTACTTTATTGTTAAAAAGCTTATTAATTTCTTTTAACTCATCAATAGTAATCATTTCATAATGTTTTTTTAGATGGGCAATAATTTTACTTAATGCAGCTGACCTAATAATGTCAATATTCTCTGTTAATGATCCCCTTAATGGTGATGGTCCTTATCCTAAGGGATCATCATAATTAATAAGTTCTTTTGTTAGATTTTCTTATTCATCTAGGATTTTATATATTTAATAAAATTCTTGATCCACTTCAATTTCTTGACTTATCAAATGCTTATGTTGTTCTCTAGTCAAATGAGATTTTTGATATAAGGAATCAAATTCAACTTTCTCTTTTTCTAATTACTAATTATATGTATTATTATTTTACCTATTTCTTATCTTGCATAGCTATTAACTTTTCAATTACAAATTTATTTTTCCTATTTTCCTTTTGTCTTGCTTCTAACTCTTAAAAAAGCTGTTCATAGCCTTCTATTTATGTAAACATTATCATAATAGGATTATAAAGTTGCTAAAGAGGCAATTAGTATTTCTCTGACATTATTTATTAAAGTTAAAATAATAATACTTTAAAAAAGTTTTTATTCATCCATTTTACATACAAATAATATTAAATATTTTGAGATGAGCTTTTGGACTTAGAAGTCTTTAATATTTTTTTAGAATAGGTTTACATTTTCGTAATAAGTATTGAATTTGAATTGGAATACCTTTGAAGATTATTTTTTATAATCATCTATCGAAACTGACTTAAATCTATCAGGTTTAGGTTTGCTATTTAAATAGTTTTTGATAAATGAAAAAAATTAAATAATAATTAAATTTCTAATTCTATTAAAATTATGTAGCCACCTTAACCACCTAAAGTCCCTCCATAACCATAGAAAGTCATGTGTGACTAAAAAAAAGATTAAGAGGCAAAATATGTTGGTTTCCCATATTAAAAGCCTCCCATGTTCATGTCAAAAAAATACTTTAAAAAGGAAGTAGAAAGCAACAAGAAATTGCTTTATTTTAAATTAGAAGATGTAAATTATTTACTTATATTTATTAGATTACAAAAGATTGGTAAAATGCATTTCTTTACTTTGATAGAGATTATCTTAATCCCTTAAATTATTATTGTAAATATATAAAAGATTAAAGCTTTTTTGTTACCGAGGAGGAGATAGATTAAGTATAAAATATAAATAATTAAAGGCTATTGACAAACTTTAGGAGGAAATTCTTTTCAAAACAGATTAAATGAGAGAAGAATTAAAGAAATAATTAGCTGAACACTAAAAATATTATAAAGAGAAGGTATTAACTTACAATTAGCCTTATTCAAAAATATAAAATAGCTACGAAAATTTTGTTAACTGTTTGTTAACACACAAATATGATAATTTACAATCTCAATAAAATTTAAAAAAATCAGTGACTGACTTAGGGAATATAATAACTAAAAGTCTGGGGGTCTCGGAATTCAAGCAAGATCCAATTGTTGAGAAAACAGACAACTTGAGGAAAAACTAAACTAAATTGTAAAAAATAAATATATTTTCTAAGTATCAATAAAAATATATGGGACCATTATTAAAATAAGATTTTAAGTGAATTAAAATCTTTACAAGATAATTATATTTCTCATAATTCCTTTACAGAAACATCAATTCCAAATTAGGATTACATATTTGAAATCTTCTAAAAAATTAAAGAGGATAAAGAATACAAAGATAATCCTTCATATTTACGACATGAATTAAAAGATAAATTAGTAATGTTATTCAAAACTACAAATTAAGGGTTATTCAAAGAACTTTAGAACCAAAAAGAAGATTTGAAAAATAATATTACAATTGCTTTAATAAAAACTTCTACAGATTAAGTAAAATTAATTATAATTAAACTAGTCGATTGGATTTTATCATAATGGAAAACGCAAAGAAACTTCACTTTTATTTAGCCTTACGAAAAGAATCGCTTTCAATGTTAAAGCTAATCAAGAGCTAAAAATTGCAGATGATGAACATGCAAAAATTTCCTTACAATTTGGTAGAGATTTAGTTATTCCAAATGACTTTAAGGATTGTACTTCTCAATTAGGAGATGCATTTGACCTTAGAGGAGAAGGAGAAAAAATAGGTAATTTAGAAGAATTTCTTGGAAATGGAATTCATTTCGATATTGAATACTTTGAACTTTATAAAGTAAATGATCCAGATCTTGCAAAACAACCCCTACGCCAAACCTATAACCAACCCCCAAACACAATGCCATTCCAACCCCCATACCAATACCCACCACCACCAGGCTCTAAACCTTGATTGTTATATTTAAAGCAACATATATATTAATCTGATTATTTCTGATATGCTCTTCATAATTAATTATTCAAATACTTATTATAAAATATAAATTTTTCAATATTTATGTTTAAAATGATTTAATAATTGAATTGCTCGAGTAATGGTATTGGAGAAAATTCAATTGATTGTTCTAATTAAGAGGTGTGCTTAGATGATATTCCTTAAAAATTGATAGACTATTTATAATCTGGAACCAATCATATATAGTTGATATAACTTTTTATCCCATTATCATTAGACAATTTGAATTTCATAGAGCAATAAACAGACCAAAGGATAAACAGTTAATACTTCAAAATAAAATAAGAATGTTCTGAATTCTAAAATAATTTTTAAATATTATAAAAAGAATAAAAGCAATTACTAATTTAAAAATATAAAAAAATATTTTTAAAGCTTAACAATTACAATTATCCACTTTAAAATAGCCTACTTTTATAATTGTAATTTCCAAACTATTTAAAAATTACTCTTTAAATTTTAAAAAAAATTACAAAAAATACTTAATTGTAGAAAAATATTATTTTATTTATTCTCAGTTATGCTTAGAATAAGGAATTAGAATAACCTTATGTTGAAGTTTCACCTAAAATCCTAAAACTAAGTTAAGAATTTGATAAATTGGATTAATTTTAATTAGTAAATTAAACAAATTTATTGACAAGATAATCAAATGACGAGACAATTATCTAAAATGCTATATGGACAAGATAATAAATGATTTAATGTTTAATTCTGTATTCTATTGTAAAATGCGAACTATTTATTTTAAATCAAAAAACAAAAATCTAAGTCAATTATGAATAGAATTTAAATAATTTTTCTAAACACACTAATATGTGCACATATGATTACTCTTGGAGCGAAAATTGCTTAAGTAACATTAGGGATTTTCATCCTAAACTAGCAAAAAAACTTAATAATCGTTATTAAGCCACGAGAAATCTAGAATCTGCATATAACAAAGAAACATGTATAAGTATATTTAATTATACCTAATCCTTATTGGGATATTTTCATCATAATTATTCATACTCTTCAATGTAATTGAATTTAGATATGAAAAATAAAATACAATCATTAATTTAAGGAAAAATTACAGATTGTGATTTAGGATTAATACTAATTGTAGCGAATGCCAGAATGTTTGTTTAAATTTTATACTCATTGAAATGAATTAAGCTGTTGAATTTTTTTAATTTTATCTATTAAAAGTTTTATTGATTCTATAAAATTCTGTAATTTTTTCTTTTAAAACAAAAAACAATATTAAAAGTAAAACTTAAAATCAAAATATTAAGTTTAGTTTTTATGCTCTTGCCAGTACACAATAATATTCTACTTTTAATTAATTATTTAAGGAAGTAGAAAGCAGAAGGACTCGTCATTGAATAGAAATATATGTTTATTATTAATATTGTTTATCTCATTAATTAATAAATTTTCATAAAATAATGAATTTATCAGATTCAGGATAAGAATCTACAGATGAGAAATCTTTTACAATTCCAAAGCAAACAAAAGATTTGAGAGCATGTTAATTATGCGGATTCATTCTTACATAAGAATAATGGAATAAGAATTCTTAATGTTTAAATGGATGTAGTGCTGATTATACGAAAATATTCACAGGGTAAATATAGATATAATTATAGAGTAATATGTGTAATGAAACCATCAAAGAGTTGGGTGGTTAAGAAGTTAGGCAATTAAAGAAATATTCATCCTGGTTTATATGCAATAGATGTACAAGCAGATTGATGAAGAAATGAATAATGAAAAACATAAGAAATGTACTTATTGAATGTATATTATAACAATGATCATTCTTCTTTTGGTTGTTTTCTTTTTGAGTTCTTTCTCTTTCTTCTTCCTTCCCTTCCTTATCCAAATGGAGAAGTAACTGCAAAATCAACTAATTTTTCACTTTCAACTCTAACAAGGAATGATGGTGAATTTACTAATCTCTTTCCAACTCTATAATATAATAAAAATATCAATTACCTAAAATGTCTTTATCTAATTAAAGTTCTAGCATGATGAATTGAAGATGCTTAATTACTTTTGAATACAAATGTTTATAGTCTTCTTTCCATCATTTTTTAAGTAGTCAAACCCAAGACATAATCTAGTTTTCTTTCTTATTCACTTAATAAACCATAACGAACCATTCTTCTAATCAAAGCTTCTCCTTCAAATAATCTTCTTGGATCTTTTGGATCAAGTGTTAATAATTCTCTAGCAGCCTTTCTAATTCTTGCTAATGTAAGTTAAACTCTCCAAACTTCTCTTTTATTCTTTAATCCATACTTACCAATAATTTGCAATCTAATTAATCATTAACAATACTCATTATCAAGACGTTCTTTTTCGAATGGTTTTCTTGGTGTGTCTGATGTCTTAGATCTGTTTCTATAATTTTTTCCCATAAAAAGATTTAAATATAATTTTAAATTTTGTATTAATAACTATTGTATACAATCTCTCTCTCCTACTTCAAGTTTCAATCAATTTATAAGTAATCATCAATCCAAAAATAATCAAGACCATATAATTATATTCATTCTCAATTTTTTTTTCAAATTTATCCTAAAAATTCTATCCATCTAACCTCTATCTACTAAATTCCGCAAATAATCATTATCAACAGGCTTAAATTATTCTTCTTCTAAAAATATTTCACTTAATTCTAATTTTCATCTCTCAATAAATCTTAAGTTGCATAAACAATCACTCAAATATCTACCTACTTTATAAAATATTTCTTAGTGTAATTTTATTAAATCTTACAATTTAATAGCATCTTTCTTTTCTAAAAATCTGAGTATTCTATAATACTGTTGAATTTATTACTCTTAAAACATCTATTTCAAAATCTTAATAATTTTATTATATTTATATTCTTTTTTTATACTCTACTTGTTCTTATTCTTATCTTAATAATGGACTTAAGTTCATTTTTGAGTCAATTACACTTTTTTCCAATTTGATGAACAATTTTTACACTTCTGTTCATTTACAATAATCAATTCTAATTCACCCAAGAAGTAAAAAAATTATCCTAAATTTCAGATAATCCTCTTTTTTGAAATAAAGATGCTTCATCTTCTTTCTATTTTCAAGATATTAATAGCTTTCTTGTAGTTGTAAGGACTTTTTTTGATTTGATCAAAAATATTCATAAAGTAAAATGTTTGGACTTAATCTTAATTAAATATTGTGATAATAGATCAAATTTACTTACCATAAACATCTTTCTTTAATTAACAATCATTTCAAATTAGCTGAAAAACTGTTTTAGAAATAATTTTTAAATCACTTAAAATGACAAGCATTTTTGTTATTTTTGTAGTATTCTCCTATATTTTCTTTAAATGATCATTATCGAAATTAATAATGAAAGTCATTAAGAGAGTTTTAATAAATATTCTTAAATTCATAATAAATAATAACGAATATGAATTTAATAAAAATGCATAAACCCATTGCTCCTACTAAATCTTAATCGCCTTATAATTCTGGCAAAAAAAACCCAGATTATGTAAATCCAACATTCATAAGTCAAACTGTATTTCAAGATAACATTTAATAAAATAAGCCCTAATAACAAGGACATACAAAATAAAATAGTAATTATTACACTTATTATAATTAATCTTAAAAGTTATAAAATGAAAAGACTTAAGGAACAATTGAAAAATAAAGATATGGTAATATTTTGAAGGTTGAAGAAAAAAGGTTTGAAATTAATGAAAGAAACTATTTCTTTGATAGGAAAAAGTAATTATCTCAACATGAATTAACTCCTGATTATTCCCTAAATCGTATTAAAAGAAATAGTTAAATTGAATTAAATATGTCTTGGAACAATGGAGTTTAGGATCATTAAATAAAATAAGATATTAAAAAAGATGAAAAGCGATAGCTTTACACAGAAATAGAATAGACAGAACATTTAGATTCATCTATCAAAAATATCAATTAATCTGTTAAAGATTTTAAAACTTAAAGCTACTTAAGAGGATTATAATTACAAAATAGACATAATTAATATTTAAAAGAAATAGAAAAGACAAAATAGTTAGAAGAAGAAATTATAAGATCTTAAGAGTTGAAAATCTAAGATTTAAGAAGATAACAAGAATATCTAAGTATAGCTAAATCAAAATTTACTAAATGATTATCATTTATAAAATATTGCATCGTGATAATCTACTGCAAATATTAAATTAAAACTCTATATAAAAACTCCTATAATTGCATCAGCTGGAGATCCAAATGAATTATATAAATAGTTTGATAAAAATCTGTTTCCATCCTGTCCTAATTTGAGTGCCAAGAAAAATCCTATCATCATTGTTGCACTCAATTTTTATTTTGTGCTATCATAAATTAAAATATAAAGTAATGTAAAATGCATGGCTTTTGATATTTCCTATATTAATTTATATATTGGTATGAAATTCTAATTTTAAACATATTCTTACATTTATTTTCGAGGTAAAGTAATTATAACAAATCGAAATTGCAAAATTATTTATATTTCTTAATATCACCACTACTAAATATATTGGAAGTATCTTAAATTTCATTTATATCATAGTCATCAAACTAAGTGATAAAACTATAAAAATAATTGTTATCCATTAGAATTTAAATTAATTCAAACTTAAGAAATTCTATTAAAGTATTGTTTATTCTATTATATCTTCTGCATATCCAAATCCAATCATTGATGAAAATATAAAAAAGAACTTAAATTAGCAGCTTTTTTCAAAAATCAATTGATATAATTTTTTTAATCGCTTACATAATGATTTAATCTTCATATTTGATTAATACAAATCACTTTCAGCTTTAAATTAATATGTATAAATAAGAATAATAATTGAAAATATTGAAACTATGATAAAGTAAGTTTAACAACTATGGAAAATTTCTGTTGTTGCTGTAGAACTTATGAATATAACTGTGTATTTAATAGCTGCTGCAAATTTGAAATTATCATCATATATATAATCAACTATCCATGCTTCTGCAGCTGTCTCTAATATTAAAACAAAAAAAATTTAAATTAAAGCTAAATTCCGAACTAATTCCAATTTTAAGTTTGATATCATTTGTTAATAAACTATGCTAAGTACAATACAATAAATTCCTAACAAAAATAATATTAAGATAATGTATGTTTTTCTTCTTCCAAATTTTTTGATGAAAAATGTATCTAAAAATGGGCAAATTATTATTTTGAGATATTATGGTAATAGTAGCATTTGAAATGCTTTTAATTCAAATGTCATTAAACCAAGAGATAGGAATTGTTTAATTAATGTCACATAGAAATATGTAGTAATTGAACTTGTTAATATAAAAATGCTTGAAATAAATACGAAATCTTTTCTATCTTCTAAAGTTTTATTAATAACAGAAAGACTAGAATTATCATCATTCTAACTCATATTTTGCTTTTGAATTTCTTTTATTTTGAAATTAATTTTATTCCATCAAACATATGTAATTTGTAAAGTTAATAAATATTTATGTATTTCTGTTGTATTTCATAAACTTATGATGAAGTGTCTGATGGCACTACTCTAAGAGACAATTATTAGGAAAATCTCTTTACAGATGTTTATGAGACTGAAAATTAATATCTATAATTAGTTGGTGAAGAAAATTATTCTCTTACTATTAAATCTTCACAAAACATATTTCCAAAAGAGGAAAGTTCATCCTAATCTTTTCCTCTTGAATTATTATCAATAGTGTTTGATAAATCGAAATATATTAGAGAAATTAATAACATTTTTATTCCCTACTCCAAAGATTTAAAACTATTTTCACATTTGATAGAAAATAATCATTCCAAATAAATTTATACTCTAGATAATAAGTATTTACATTTCCCCACAAATTATAAATAAATTAAATAAATATCAAAAGAATGGACTAGTAGATTTGATTTAACAATAATTGATTGCTTTAATAATGATATAGAAAGAATTTTAAAAAATATACATTAGATAAATTAATTATCTAATAATTAAGTTTTCATTTTCAAGTATTGTACTAAACCTAATAGAATTATTAGTTAGATAATGGAAAATTTGTAAACACAAAGAGAAGAATTAATGCTAATCTCAATTGGAGGTTAACAAAGTTATTATTTATTTTTCTATGGATTATTAACTTCAACTAAAAATTATTCAAGATTTTATACAATAAAGAATCTCTTATTAGAAGATATTTAATGTAGAGCTTAATATAATGTTTTAGTACATAAATTATTAGAATATATTTTAGGAATAGGGATATCATTTTCAAAAATTGCATAAATAATTGGAAAAATTAAATTAAAATATGAAGAGGAATTGAAAAAATAATTTTCTAAAAGTTTATTGTAAATTTTCTTAAATTAAATAATCAACGAAAAACCTGTTGATTATAAAATTGTCTAAAGGATATTTAAAGATTTCTTAATACAAGATTAAAATTCTTCAACTCTAATTTTAAATATAGATTAAATATCTCACACAATAAAAAATATTACATAAGACCAAGCAAATTCTTATAATAAGAAATACAGTAATGAATTTACAAATAAAAAGAAATCCAATTCAACAATTGATCTTTGTAAATAATCAAATTGAATAATATATTAATCATAAAACAAAAATTTTTATTTTATTAAGCACAAAAAAGTCATGTCATTCTGTAATAAACTATTCAAGAATACTTTATAACTTAGCTTTTTCTATTGGCTTCATAATGTAGTCGAATATTCCAATTGATTTTAACTCTTGGATTTCTTATTGATTTAAGTTATTACTAACAATCAAATTAAATTTTACCCAGTTAAAATTATAATTTTTTATTAGAAATTTTTTGCTAAAATAATTTTTGAAGCATCAATTCCATTTAATCCTGGCATTTCCATATCCATAAATATTAATGAAAACCCTTAACAGTTTTCATTACACTTAAAAAAAGCTAGTCCGATAGCTTAAGTTCCACTATTTGCTTTCTCTACAGATAGTTATAAGTAAATTTCATTTTAAAAATATTCATTAATCATCATTCCTAAAACAGCTAGATTAAAAACATTGTCATCAACAATCAATATATGGAAACATTTTGTTTCTTTAATTCTTTCAGGACTTAATCTTTATTCAATGCTTGTATATGTGAATGATTTTTTTTTTTATGTTCCTTCAGATGGAATAAAAGGAGAAGATAAATTAATTTATTTTTGGGGGGGTTTATAACTTAACAATTTATGTTATCGATGTGATTCTATTTTAACAGTAAAGTAAAAATATGAACCATGATTTTCATATTTCATTTCTGTTGATTATACTTTGATACCTTAATTGTCAGCACTTAATTACTTTGCAATTTTATTACTAATAAGTAATCCTAATCCAACTCCTTACTAATTCATTGATTTTGATTTATCATTATCCACTTTACCAAAAGCTTTAAATAATTTACTAATATTTTCTTATGAAATTCCTATTCCTGTATCTCTTACACCAATATCTATAAATTAATCATACTGTCTTAAAACTATTTCAATTTTACCATCATATGTGAATTTAAGAGCATTTCCAATCAAATTAATTAATATTTATTTGATTCTATTCTTATCTGATTTAATAAATAATTATTCTGAAGTAGCTTCTAAAGATATTTTTACATTTTATGCTGCAGCTTAAATTTAAAAGGAACCTAAACACAATTATGCTAATTAACAGACATTAAACTATTCATTTGTTAAATTAAAAACATTGTTCTTTATTTAAGCTAAATCAAGTAAATCATTAGCCAAATTTAAAAGATGTTAAGAACTTTCCAAAGCTATATGTAACAATTAATCTTAATTAACTTAAACCTTATGTAATACACTTGATAAAATATTAATAATGCAATTTAAAGGAGTTCTAAATTCATGACTCACATAATTAAGCATGTTAGATTTCTATTAATTTACTTAAAGAAGCTCTTTTAATTAATTCAAATAAATTATATCCCTAGTTATAATTATGATCTATTTGCATTGAGCCAATATACAAATAAACTCTATGGATTTTTATTTGCCGTTATCCTCATAAGTACAAGATAATTTTAATGGTTCACATTGTGTATCATTTTCTACACAAGCTCTATTAGATTTCACATACTAAATCAAATGTTAATAAACTGTTTTGCACTAAGGAATATTCTATTAATTTACTTGAACTACACTATCAGAATTTTATTGTTATTAAAAAAATGGTATTTTTGAGTTAGGGGAAAAAGACTTTTTTTCTTATAGACTAAATCCAAAATTTGATTAAGATACAAATAGCTTCTTTTAATAATCTGATTTATCTTAATGAGGTGGAGAGGTACTAGCATAATTTTATTAGGATTAGCAAGATTCTATTGGAATTTCACACTCTAATGAATCCAAAAATAATGGTAGTTCATCATTTTCCTTACCGAACATTGTTTAAGCGGCTGCATTCTGAAATTTAAAAGACAAATTGCTTATTTTCTCATCTGGTGATAAGAATCTTGCCATTATCACTCCTTCATTTATATTATCCAGTAGTTCTTTCTATCCAAAATTTATTTCAATTCCATGAGATAATTCACAGATTGAATTATTTATTGGTGTTTACAAAACTAATACTTAATCTAATGTTAATTATTTCGATTTTCTCTATGATTATGGATCTAATGATCTATATTCATGATGATTATTTAAGAATTGATAAATAAAGAAAATAAAAATGCAAATATTGATTTTTTAATTTATTAGATCCAGTAAAAAATTAAGGTTTGAAATTTTGTCACTGTCGAAATTTATAGAGGATATGAGCATCATTATTAAAACTGTAAAAATTGTGATAAATTAAGTTAATTTTGTTTTTAATGTATTAATAAAATACATTTCAAAAAATAGTAAAATTGTCAAAATACAATGAGTTGAATTGCTGATTTAATAATAAATGCTTTCAAACTGCGTAATTGAAAAATATATAATCATCATCAATTATAAATACTGCATGTTTAAACTTGATTTTTTTATTATAATTGTTGTAATGACAATAATCATTAATGCTAAAATTGTTATTAAGGTAAATAAAATAGGAAATCCTTCATCCAAATTCAAATATATTGTTCGCAATAATTGATTAAGTAATAATGTTAAAATTGATGAACAAAGAACTAAATTTGAAACATTCATAATTAAATAATTTATTATTTTTATTATTAAAATTTTTTTTTCCCTTAATATTTCCATTAATAATTGGTGTTATATTCTATCAAAAGAGAGAATTATGAAATCATCTAATTAAAACGAAGTAGAAATAAATCACAATTCTTTTCCAATACTGAATTAAAATAAAAAATTCATTAATAATTTTTTTCAATCATAGATAAAGATGCTTTTTAGTTTAAAAATACAAGATCTAAATATTTTGAAATGATACACCATAAGTAGAAACCAGAAATACAGAAAGAAAATAATTACTATTGAAAAAAATATATCTGACAATAGATGAAAAATTTTATTTGATTATCAGTCTTAATTTTTATGCAAAAAAATAGTCATTTAGAAAAGAAGAAGAATATATATTGAATTTAAAGGTTTATTATTTTAAATAAAAATAAAATCTTTATTTATTAACTTATGGGAATTTCAAGAGATAGTAGACATAAGAGAAGACTTACAGGAGGTCGTATGCCTATTCACAAAAAGAAGAGAGCATTTGAAAAAGGAAGATAAGCTGCAATGACAAAATTAGTATCAGGAGAAAAGAGAGTTAGAAGAATTAGAGTGAGAGGAGGAAACTTTAAATTCAGAGCACTTCGTTTATCAGAAGGAAACTTCTCATGGGGAAGTTAAGGAATTGCTAAAAAAGCAAAAATAGTTGAGGTTGTTTATCATCCATCAAATAATGAATTAGTCAGAACAAAAACCTTAACAAGAGGTGTTATTGTTTAGGTTGATGCTACACCATTCAAATAATGGTATGCCAAAAAATATAATGTTGAATTAGGATAAAAAAAGAAGAAGGTATAAACTATATTTGAGTCTAGGATGCACCTGTAGAATAAACTAAAAAATCTAAAAGTCTCATCAAGAAACTTGAATAAAGAACTAAAGATAATGTCATTGATTAATTAGTCTAAGAATAATTTGCCAACTAAAGATTATTGGTTAGAGTAACATCAAGACCAGGACAATCAGGTAGAGCTGATGGATATATTTTGGAAGGAAAGGAGTTAGAATTCTATATTAAGAAGGTTGAATAAAAGAAAAAATGATATTATATTAGTACATTAATGTTGCACATTATTATTAAATATTCATATAAAATTTATAACGATTTAATGTATTATTACTAAAATGCCCCTGTTCACTAATATTCACCAATCAAAACCATTCCAATAATTTCACCAGGATAAACTACAGCAATTTATCCATAACCCAAAGCTTAAATTTTTTAAGCATAATCATAAATACAACCAACATAATCATATTCAAATGTTCGATATATGAAAAACACTTAACCATTAAAATAATCAGCACTTAGCTCCTTTTAACCATATAGACCAGATCCAGAAGTAGAAAAGATCATTTCAAAATATACTGCAACTTCTAGAAATTCTTAAATTGAATAGCCGGTGACTCATTAACCATCAAATAGTATTCACTAAAATCCATAAAACTAATTTAAATAAAAATATCAAAACAACAATGAAGAATTAGAATTCAAAGATATGCATATAGACAATAATACTCCTTTACATTTTTAATTTGATGAAATTAAATAAAGAAAACCTAATTTAGGATAGAAGAACTATTCACCAGATGTCCATGAATTTTAAGATTTCAGTCCCTAAAAATAACAATAAGTTGCTCTTCCAGAATAAAATGATAAAATTGTTAAATTAATAGTTTCTGGTATAATTGTTTTATTAGTTTTATATATCGTATTAATCCTAGTACTTAAATGATAAAATGAATTATTATATTATATATCATTATTTTTAAATTATTAAATTAAGATCATTATTCATTTTTGTTTTTATTTTTCAGATGCAAATAATTTAGAGAAATTATTCAATTTATTCAATGAACTATTAGTAGTAGTTTTAGGAGAGGGTAGATTTCCAAACTGTTCTGTTTTAATTCTCTCTGTAACCTTTTTATGATTTTAATCTGGCATAGTAGTTGTTCTATCTGAACAGATTAAAGCTTTTGATTAATCAACAAACAATTTGAATTACTACAATAATAATTTAAATTTACTTTCAAATCTTATAAAGAATTTTAAGCTTATTACATTGTTTTTGAATAAGAATGTCCTAATTTAGTAGATTAATGTAGTAGTTAAGATGATTTCGTCAACAAATCATGTTTTTTAAAATAATCATAAACTTCACTTTTTCCTGTTTATCTATTAATTCTTTTTCCTTCTTAAGGGGATGCAAGAATTTATTAAGAATAATAATTATCTGTCTTCTATTATTATTACGTTTTCAAATTTTTGTTAGGAGATTATGTTTCAATTAGAATTGATTAATTTTTAAGTAGATTAAAATCAACTTCATTGGTTCTTTTAGTTTTTTCTAGTCCAACTTAAGATTCTCTAGAATAATAAAAATTTTTTAATACATAATTAGCTGTATCAATATTCTAAATATATATATAAAATAAATACTTGAAATTCTTTTTATAAATTTATCTAATATTATTTTCTAAATTCAGCATCTCCTTTATTGAATTCTTCTTCATCAAAATTATATTTAAGTGGTTCTGGTTTATATGGAGTTTTTAATTTTTTATTGACAATAGCTTCAAAATCAACATCTTTAAACCATTCATGGGTTAGAATCTCAACTACTCCTCCATTTTATCCTAATCTTTCTGTAGGATCTTTTTAAAGCAATTATAATATAAGATCTTTTAAGACATGTGATATTGAAACATATGATGGAAATTCAATAGTTTCAGTCAGAATAGAATTATAAATTTCTTGTGTATTATGAGAATAAAATGGGGGTAATCCTGTAACTAATTCATATAGTAAAGCACCTAAACAATAGCAATCTACTAAATAATTATGACCTGTTTTCATCAACATTTCAGGAGCCATATATTCCGGAGATCCACAAAATGAATATGCAAAATCATCTGGTGTCATATCAGGCTTTGATAATCCGAAATCACTTAAAAGTAAATGACCATGTAAATCTAAAAGAATATTTTCTGGTTTTATGTCTCTATATACAATATTTTAGGAATGAAGATAAGCCATACCTATACAAATTTCAACAAAATAAAACTTAGCATCTTATTCGTTCAATCTTTTCAATTTTCTGAGATGATAAAATAATTCACCTCCAGCACAATAATCTAGAACAAATGCTATATAATATTTAGTCTCAAAAGCATAATGCAATGGAGTTATAAATTAATTCTCCATCTATACCATTATATCTCTTTCATTTTATACTATAATTTCTTTCTAATTTTCCAATATAAATTTTTTATCTATCAATTTCAAAGCATAAAATTTTCCATTATCTCTCTTTCTTACCATATAAACTCTAGAAAACCCTCCAACACCTATACATTTAACAAGAGTAAAATCTTTTAATCCTACTCTTTTTGTTGTAATTGGTTATTAATATAAAGGCTAAACCTATAATGTGATTCCTTTAAAAACATCCAGTGTTAATTCAGGAATGGTTAGATAATAATCATAAGGAATATTTTTTGCTACTGTTTAAAATTAACATATCTTATTTAATTCTAAAAATTTTGAATTTTTATACCTTATTATATTTAATCTCCTTCAGTCGAACCTGTTCCACTTCCAAGCTTTGTAAATGATCTTTCTATACAAGCTATTTATTGAATCAAATAATTGTACAAATTATCAGTAGTTTAATTTTTATATTCATATAAATAATTGTATCTATGAATTTAACAATCTTTTTTACTTTTATTATTTATAATAGAGGATTATTTATAATTGTTTACTTGAATCATATTACATATTTTCCTCTTTTATTTTTTATTTTAACAATTATTAATTAGATGTTGATGAATATTCAGTTTTTATATGACTTTAATTCGTTGATTTTGATTCACTTTCAGTTTTTTTAGTCTTCTAAGTTTGAAACTATATGGATCCTTTCAGTATTTTTTGATTATAAAGCATATCTTCAATAGATTATCTATGATTTAATGAAGTATTCGATTGAATTGATTATTTATTTTATTTTTAATTTAAATAATTCTGATATTCATTGTTACAAACTGTATTTGTTAGCTAGATTTAAATAAAAATATACCAAGTGCATATCAAATAATAATTGATCTTTTTATTTCTAAATAGGTATCTTAATTTAATTTTAAGGAGATTAATTATAGGATTGTTTAGTTGTTTGAGGTTATTTTAATAACTAATTTTTCAACATTTTATCAATATTTTGAGCATCTAATGAAATAGTTGCTAATGATAAATTTTTTTATTTTAAAATTTATCTTTTAGAACTATTTCCTTCATCAGTTTAAATACGTGCCTCAGCCTATTTAGAAATTAAACACAAAAATACATTAAATTAACCAGTTTTTAAGCGCTCGCTCTTCTAACTTTATTGTTATAAATTATCAATGCTTTTGCTTCCTTATAATGTCGCCTTTGAAGAGTTAACAATTTAATTTAAAGTGTTTCTTTCTTTTTTGAAATACTCAAGTAAATCATTCTTCTATGTCTTAGAATAAGGCCTTTCTGTATTTGCAGTTCTAGGTTTACTTTTATTTTTTTTTTGATCATTTGTGAATGGTTAATCTTATAAGTTATTTTTGTTCATTAATGATAACATCTATTAACTAATTTTCTTCATTAACGATGAGAATAATTTATTTAATTCAAATTATATATTTTGTAATAAACTCTGAAATTAATAAATAAATTGAATGAATATTTCTCATTATTATGTCTACTAAGTTGGTTACTATAGTTCTTCATCTTTCTCTGTTATATACTTTTTCATAAATTTCTTTATGCCTCCATTAGCCTCAATCTATTTAAATGCTTCTTAAAAGTCAGAAGATGTGAAATCATATTTTTTCAAAATTTTATTCACTTTATCATCATAAAGTTACCTATTTTATTTTTAAAAAGGTTATGCAAGCAAAACTGGAATAAAGTAATATTTTTTTAATATTCCAAAAAAAGATGATCTTATTTTATATTGATTTTTATATACCTTGCTGTCAAAGCATATATAGGATTTCTTATTTTCAATATCAAACAGAAAGTAAATGTCGATAGTACTGAACAATATAAAGTAGTTGAAACCCTTGATCTATGTTCTTATAATGCCAATTTAAATTCAGCAGTATCTCCTTACTTTTTTAAACTTTTTATTTTACTTCAATTAATTGTTAAGGGGCTTTAACTTTAGAAAATATTGTAAAAGCTAACAATTTATTTTGACATAGTTCATCATATGATAATTGCATATTTTTCATTAAAAATTATATAATCTATCTAAAAAAGTATTTTAACAATTAACATCAAGAAAATAGATTAAAACTTTTTTAGAAACCATAATTAAAAAAATATTTTTTAAAATCAAATTTTGTATTATAAGATTTTATAAACAATACTTTGAAATATAATCAAGTTTTTCTTTCATTTGATTACTAAAAGTAAAATTATCAAAACAATGATTGCTATAATCAAAATACCTATTACTATATAATACTTTTTATTGAATAATCGTTTCTATTATATATCAGCTAGAACTAATTCTTTAGTAGTTACTTTTATATTAGACTTGACAGTGCTCTAATTTTATTGTGCAAAATCTAATTATAAATTTTATTAATCAAGAGTGCTTCCCATCTAATTTGTTATTAAATTTAAAAAGTATGCTTCTCTTTCAATTTAATCAATTTCTTTTTATCTCTCATCTATCAAAATATTTTCTAAATCTATCATATCTGCCTCTATAAAATCTTAATCAATAGAAATCGTTTTAATTTATTAACCATCTCCAAGATTTACTTAAGAATAATTTTTTTATTCTTTTTTCTCCGAATTTCTATCATTTTTAGAAACAATTCTCACGTAATTTTAATCAACAAAATATTCTAATTACTCAGTTTAAGTTTCTTAACCATAAGCTTTAGATTATCTTATTATTGATATTCGAGAGAATCTCTTTTCAAATGTTGAATTAATGATGCTTTTCAAAATTCTTTTTTATCTTTCAATCTCTTTTAAATAAGCTGCCTTTAATTTATTTAAGACATTTTTTTTTTCATTCCCTTGTGCACTTTTCTCTAAAGATAAGGCTATTTACTTAATAACATCAGCTTTAGTTTTAAAAGTTTGCTTTGCTAATAATATCTTTGAATTTTATCTAGATTATTTTAATATTCTCATTACTAATCAGATATTTGAGCTGTTTGCAAGTTATCATTAATTACTTTTAATTATTCAATTAATTATGTCATTTGCTTCACAATAAATTTTTAAATACCTCTGATTATTGTTGAAACTAGGTTTTAATTGTTGAATTTGGTAGTAAATTCTCTCCTAGTTCAGACATAAATATAATTCAAATTTTTATTATCATTTCTTATAATAATTGGCTAAATATTTATTAATCATAGATTTCAAATAATTTTTGCAATTCCAACATAGCAATTACATGATTGTTTAAATATATTACATTTTATAATTTTTATATCAATGGAATAATGTTAATAGGTAATCTAATTAATAGAATAAATTGGTTAAGGCTTACACTATTCTTGGGTCAGAGAATGAAAATGAAGAAAGAAATTATATTGTATTTTAAAGAAATTATTAATATACAATACTTATTTTAAATTTCTTAATAACATAAAAGAAATGCTTGAACGGTTTCTGATTAACTAAATAATATTAATAGATATTTGATATCTAATTTTATCTAAGGTGGATGCACTTATGAAAACAATCCATTTCAAATATAAATGAATAATTGAATCAGGATGTTAATGAACGGATAATTCAATCTTTTACTAACTAATTAATTTTGAAATTTATAGAGTAGTATTCATTTATTAATAATTAATTTTAATCAAATTATTCTAATTAAGGCTAATAAAATTCTTACAATAGCTCTTAAATCATCAGATAAAGAAGAATATCATTTTTTGATACTGATTATAATTGATAAAATATTTTTTTGTGAGAAAAACCTTTGAAAATCATCAGAGAATGCACAATGAATTAAATAAATTAATTGTTTTATCTTTGATTGTTTTCAAAGGAGAAAATTTGATTTAATTTCTAAAATACTAAATTTAGAATAATAATTATAATTAAATTTATTAATGAAAAAATGTGCGTTTTACAATGCTATTAATTTAAACCTCTTCAAATCACTTATTGATAATAAATTTTAGTGAATATAAATAATGCCTATTCAATTCTCATAAGGTTTTTACACATATGAGTTTCTGTACAACAATATTTAAGTAGATATGAGAGGTTTATATTTAAATAAAAATCATTTAGAAGTGAAAGAGGAAGAAAAATTACTTAATTACACATTAAATTCAAAGCTTTGAATTTTTTTACAAACCGAAAAGAGTTTTATAATTTATCTTAATTTAATTGGAATGATTGTGATTAATTAATATCACAAAATTATTAATCATATTAGAAATATAATTAAACTAATATTACTGAAAGTAATTAAAGTCCTATTTTCATTTAATATCTCGTAATGCTCTTTAACAAAATACTTTGAAATAACATGTGTTATGAATAAATATTATATTTTATGCTTATAAATTCTAACGTCCATTGATAAATTAAGTGAATTTATTAACTAGAGGTCTTTATTTCTAAAAGATCTATTATTTTAACTGCTCCTTGATTGAAGTGCTCGAGTAAATAAATAGTGTTTAGATACTTTGATTTTTAGAAAAAATATGCAAGAAATAAGCTTAAACATTGTTTAGGTAAAAGATTTAAATTTAATATAAGCCTGTTTCCATAATTAGATTGTGAATACTTTAATAACTTAAGAAAAGCTGAAAATTGTGATATTTAATAAGATGTAAATGAATGGAAATTTAAAAGAGTCGTGTTGTATGAAGTTTAATTATCGAATTAAATAAAACACGTGTAATATAAATACATGTTGAAAATGATGTTTATTAAAGTTTGAAATATCTAAAGAGATGCCTAAAGTTGAGTGTATATATGATATAAATATATAAATAATACAAATTTTCAATAGAATAAGAGAATGTCTAAAAAACGGGTGTCTTAGAACCAAAAGCATAGAGTCCGAGGCAGAATTAGCGCTTTGTAAATTGAGATTTTAGTTAGAGATGTTTGAATTTGAATCAACATAGTTAATGAAAATGAAATATAAAATATCTAATTGTTTTTAAATCATGAGAATTTTATAAGCTACCGTTAAAGCAAAGTAAATGGAGAAAATAGTGATTAAGATAGATTGAGATAAAGACAATAAATGTATCTTGGATGAGTTTCTTTACACTTTAAGAGGGGTATAAACTTTTTTTAAAGTTGATAATTTATTTAACTTATAATCACGTATGATGAAGATTTTGATAACAATAAGTATTTTAATTCTGACTGCATCTACTACAGATGTAGCAGTCTCAGATTAATGTAATTGTGAGAAACTTCTCTCTCAGGCTGATTGCAAATCGAAATAAGGATGCAATTGGTCCACAACAACATCTCTCTGTTCAAAAATGGATTCTGGAAGCAGTTCCACTGAAGGATACTGTGGATTAATAAGTGATGGTAACACTTGCGCCAAGACAAAAGGATGTGCTTATATAGACTCAGTATGTTAAATATTTGCTGGCTGTACAGCATATAAGGGGGCATCAGACGCTGAATGCTAGGCTATATCAAAACAATGTAATTCAGATGGATAAGCATTTTGTGTTGATCCTGGAACTTGTACAACTTATAAGACTTAAGAAGATTGTACTGGAAAAGGAAGTACTGGAGGATCAGGAACATGTGTTTGGGATACATCTTGCAGAGAGCAAAAATGTACTGAAGCAGATGTTTCTTTTAACTAAGATGCTTAGTGTAATAACTTTATCAAAGGATGTGTTACAACAGGAAAAGGCTGTGTAAGTTCTTTAGGATTATGTTCAACTTATAGTGGAGATATAGAAAGTTGTGAAGGATTGAAAGGATCAGATGGCTATTGTAAAGGAGTAGAAGGAAAAGATAAGTGTACGGTAAAGGTATGTACTGATGCTGAGGTAACAATAACTACAGATGCCGCCTGTGGTAAGTATTAGATTGGTTGTGTTACAAATGGTTATGGATGTGTTAAGTCTCCTTTAGGATCATGTTCTACTTAGACAGGAGATAATGTAGTATGTGCAAATAAGATTGGTTCAGATGGTAAATGCAAAGGAGTAGCTGAAGGTAAAACATGCAGTGTTGTTGAATGTAAAGATGCTCCAGAAACTTATTCAAATGATGATGAATGTGCTAAGTATAAGACTGGATGTGTTACTACTGGTAAAGGATGTACTACTCAAAGAGGTGTTTGTTCTTCATACAAAGGAACCTCATCCACATGTGATGGATATATTGGATCTGATGGTAAATGTAAAGGTGCATCAGATGCTGAAGCTGCTTGCTCTGCTAAAGTTTGTAAAGATGCTGATGCTACTTTGGATACAGATGCTAAATGTGATGATTATTAAACTGGATGTAAAACTACTGGTAAAGGTTGTGTCTCTACTTTATCAAATTGTTCTTCTTATACTGGAGATTCAACAAGTTGTGATGGATATATAGGTCTTGATGGTAAATGTGCTGGTGGAGCTAGTAGTGGTAGTTGTTTCCCTAAAAAATGTGCAGATGCTGCTGCTTCATTAACTACCAATGAAGATTGTTCTAATTATTAAACTGGATGTATTGCAACTGGAACTGGTGGTTGTATGGATGCTGGTGCTTGTAGTACATTAGTCAATAGCAGTCAATGTGATGGAAAATCAACTTGTTAATGGACACCTTAATGTGTTTAAAATTCAGCTTGTGTTGATCTTAAAACTGAAGTTTTATGTAAGACTGTTACTTTGTAAAATGGCAACACTTGTTGGTGGGTCTCTGGTGCTTGTGTAGATAGAACATGTGTTTAAGCACCCTAATCATATAACACTGATTCTATGTGTGATGGCTTCTTGAAGGGATGTTTAACAAAGAAAACTGGTTGTCTTGCTCCTAGTGCTGCTTGTACTAGCTATTAAGGAACTAAAGCAACATGTGAAGGATTCACTATTAAATGTACTAATACAAATGTTGCTACTGATTCAACTGATTGTACTGCTCCTGTATGTTCAGATAATAAAGATGCTACAACTGATGAGGCCTGTAAATCTTATCATATAAATTGTTTAACAAATGGTGCTGGATGTATTGATTCGAGTGCAGCTTGTTCTGCTTATCCAGGAAGTAGCACAGATATTTGTGGAAAATTCAAAGGTGCTAATTAAGTAAATCCTTGTTGGTGGAAAGCTGGATCAAATTGTGTAGATAAAGCATGTACCGATGCAGACAATACTAATACAACAGATGAATTATGCGACAAATTCTTGAAAGGATGTGTAACAACAGGAGCAGGATGTGTTCCAAGTGCTTAAACTTGTCCTAGTTATTCATTAAATTAAGCCGGTTGCTTAGCATTATCAAAAGGATGTGCAAGAAGGGAATCATGCAAAGTTGAATTAACATGTGCAGAAATCACAAGTCCAACTAATTAAGGAAGTTGTGATGCAATATTACCAAATAGATGTATGTTTGTTGGTACTGGATGTGTAGCAATAGGAGTTTGTAGTACATATGATGGTAATAATACGGATGCTTGTAAAAACTTAGTTAATACAACAGGAGGTAAATGTTTTTGGAAAACTGGTACTAAATGTTAAGATTTAACATGTGCAGATATAGCAAGTCCAACTAATTAAGCAAGTTGTGATGCAGTATTATCAAATAAATGTATGTTTGTTGTTAATGCATGTGTAACAATAGGAGCTTGCAATACATATAATGGTACTTCATTAGATATTTGTCAAAATTTATTTGATACAAGTGGATATAAATGTCATTGGGTAGCTAGTGCTACTAAATGTTCAGATTAAACATTAACATGTGCAGGTATAACAAGTCCAGCTCCAACTAGTTAAGCAAGTTGCGATGCAGTATTACCAAAAAAATGTATGTTTGTTGGTAGTGCATGTGTAGCAATAGGAGCTTGTAGTTCATATGATGGTAATAATACGGATGCTTGTAAAAACTTAGTTAATACAACAGGAGGTAAATGTTTTTGGAAAACTGGTACTAAATGTTCAGATTTAACATGTGCAGAAATCACAAGTCCAACTAATTAAGCAAGTTGTGATGCAGTATTATCAAATAAATGTATGTTTGTTGGTAGTGTATGTGTAGCAATTGGAGCTTGTAATACATATAATGGTACTTCATTAGATATTTGTCAAAATTTAATTGATACAAATGGATATAAATGTCATTGGGTAGCTAGTGCTACTAAATGTAGTGATAGAACATGTATTTTAAAGACTGATGGAAATACAGATGCCATTTGTTAAGCATGGCTACCAACTTGTAAGACTAATGGAGTTAGTTGTGTGGATGTAACTGCAGCTTGCACTACTTTGGAAGGAACTTCAGAGAGTTGTTAATAACTAACTGCAACAGTTTGGGGATCTAAATGTTAAAGTAATACCTCTGTTATTGGAGCCTGTATTTCAAAAAGATGTTAAGATAATGGAACTGCTACAACTGATGCAGATTGTAAGAAATTTTTGGATGGTTGTATTACAACAGGTAAAGGATGTATTGATGGAACTACTAAATGTAGTGGTTAATGGGGTAATTAAGATGGATGTAAATTATTAACTGGAAATGGTAAACCATGTTGGAGTTTATCTTTAACTACCAAAGGAGCATGTATTGATAAAACTTGTACTCATAATACTACTGCTACTACTGATGCTGATTGTGCAGCCTTTATGAAGGGTTGTGTTACCAAAAGACCAGGTTGTGTTGATGCTACAGCTGAATGTTCTGCGTATTAAGGGGTCTAAGCTGATTGTGAAAAAGCAGTAGGTAATGGTAAATCATGTACTAATGATTCAACTGCTACTGCTACAACTGCTTGCAAAGTTAAAGATTGTACTAAATTATCTGCTGATTCATATACTGAATAAGTTTGTCAAAATTATGGTATTTAATGCCATTTTAATGGAACGAAATGTGATGTTATTTAAGCATGTGCTTAAATGAAGGGTAACTTTATCACATGTGCATAATATGTTGCTTCGGATGGACCTTGTGTTGGTACTGCTCTCTAAACTGAAACACCAACTAGTTGTTCTGCTGCTAAATGTTCAGATGCTCCTCTAACATTAACTACTGATACTGAATGTGATAATTATAAAAAAGGATGCAAAACTAATGGTCGTGGATGTGGAACTGCTATTTTGTGTGCAGATGTATAAAATTCTTCTTCTTGTGCTGCTGTTAAAAGTGGAAATAATCCTATTTGTACATGGGCCTCTCAATGTAGAGATGTTCAATCATCATGTAGTAGTTTCACAGCTAGTGGATAGAGTGTATGCTCATCATCAGAATCTACATCAGGATTTGGAGTTTGTGTTTGGAAAAACAGTGCGTGCACAGAAGCAAAATGTGAAGATTTACCTTTAACAGTTAGTTCAGAAACAGATTGTGTTGAATATTCTACAACCTGTACTTATGGAGGTGCTGGTTGTGTTACTAAAGGAGCATGTACCAGTTATACAAAAAAAGAAGTTTGTGTAGCAGCAAAATCTACAGATTTAATTGGAAGTTGCACTTGGGATGAAACAGTAGTAGCAGGTACTTAAATAAAAGGATGTAGAGCAAAAGATTGCTAAGATGCTGCGAATACAATAACAAATGATGCTGATTGTGAGGCATTCATATCAGGTTGTGTTAGTAATGGTGCTGGATGTATGAAATCTACATTTACATGTGATATGTTTAAAACATAGGCTAAATGTCTTTAAGACTCATCATTATAACCATGTCTTTGGAACAATAATGCTTGCTAATAATATTATAAATGCGCAGATTTGTCATTGAAAACAGTAGCAAGTTGTTAAGCAGCTTCTAGATATTGTACAACAGACGAAAGTAAATGTACTCCATTAAAGACTTGTGCAAATTATACAAAATAAATATAATGTTAATCAGGTACTGATGGTATTTGTGGATGGGTAACATCTACAAAGAAATGTCAACTCTTTACTTAATGTACAGATTTAGTTTCCAAAGTACTAACAGAATGTTCAGCCTTCAATTCTAAATGTATTACTAATGGAACAAACTGTATAGAGATGGGTGAATGTTCGGCTTATGCTGATAGTGAAACGGCTTGTAAGACTGGGGGAACTGATGGTACTTGTCAATTTGATAAAGATACATCATCATGTAGATTAAGACAATGTTCTGATGCAACCACTTCTACTTCAACTCATAATGGATGCTTTGGATATTAAATAAATGCAACTACTAAATGCACAACAGATGGATCAAAATGTACTTCTTTGGCTGACTGTGCTTCATATACAAAATAAGCTGGTTGTGTCCTTGATAGTTAATTTAAAGCTTGTGTATGGGATACTACAGCCAAAACATGTAAAACAAAGACTTGTTCAGATACTAAAAAGACTAAAAGTTCTGAATGTGCTGCTGCATTATTTGGATGTATCTCAGATGGAACTAAATGTATTGATTAAGGAAAATGTGCAGAATACACAACTAAAGAAGCTTGTTCTGCTGGTGGAACAGATGGTGCTTGTGCATTTACTCCAGCCTCAGGTTCAACAACAACTGGAACATGCAAATTATTTACTTAATGTTCAGATGCTAATTCAGATCAAAATGCTTGCCAATCTAAATCATTAACTTGTAAATGGACTGCCGCAGCTGGTACTACAGCTAGCTCATGTTCCAATCATACTTGTGATTCAGCTGCTAAAGGAACTGCTAAATGTGTCACTGTCCCAAGTTTTGATGGTAAAAGATACACTGTTTGTCAGGTACAAGGAGGAAAATGTGTCACTGGAGATCCAAGTGCTTTGACATAAGATACATGTTACAAACTGAGTTAATATACCTACAGTTGGAATGCTAGTACTAAAAAATGTATTGCCTGTGGAGCCGGAGCCACAAGTACAAACAACAACACCACTGTAGATAATAATTAAACCAACGTAACTGATCCCGTTACTACTGAATATGGATCCTATCTATATGCCTTGCCCATTTTGATTTCCTTAATTTTCTGACAATGAAAATGAAATTATGCATATCAATAAAAATTATCAAAAATTTCCCTCACCTCTTAATTTTTACATTTTTTATAATCATATTTCCTTTTACTTTCTTATGGCTAATATTTAAAAAAATTCATCTATCTTATTATAAATTCTAAATAGAAGGAGATATTAATTTTAGCGTTATCAAATTTAAATTGAGTTGTTCAATATCAGAAAAAATTGTTTGAGCTCAAATAATGTTAAGATCTTGATAAATTTATGAACATTTATAAGAATTAAATATTGATCATGTTGATGATAAAAAATATGAAACATAAAAATACAAAAGTATGATTTTATAATAAGAAAAATTGATAGTTTGAATAAATTTAATTTTATGTTATAAAGAGGCTGAGATGATGGAAATTAAAAAAGAAATTTAATAGATTTGCCAACAGATGCAATTAAAACATATTATTATAGAAGAGATTCAGATCTAGAGTCATACGATTATAAACGATTACTGAATGCTTTTTATTTAATGTTAATTATTTGAAATATCAAATTAATTCGTAAATAAAATTATAATTAATTTCAATTAATTGTATTTTTTTCTTCTAAATAATTTGGCTATTAAAAATGCCTTTTCTTTTAAAATATATCTTTTTTTTATTCTCTAAAATTCTTGCTTTATCCATGAATATAATTTTTAACTATTTAATTTTACGGGTCTTCAGTTGGTTAAATTAAATTATGCTAAACTTTGGATAAATATTTTCTCCTTTTTTTTTCATAGAATTAATAATTTAACTCATGATTGGGAATAAGATTCTTAAAAAATATAATCATCATCAGAGTTTATAAATCATAGCCACTAGGATGATTAAATTTATATTGCTAGCGTATTTTGTCCTTAATCTTTACATCTCTTAAAATTTTATCACCTAGTTGATTATCTTTTTAAAATTTGTATTTTATTCAAAACATTTCACCCACTTTTTCCAAAGCTAAAAATGAGTTTTGATAATCTATTTTTTATTTTTTATTTTCTCAATATTCTTGCAACCATTCATCCTATAACATTACTTAATTAAATTAAAACTCTTTCTAAATTTGATTTATCTTATGTTTAAGACCGATCTCTTTTTATTTGTTTATCTCAAAGGATCTATTTTTTACATATTATCTTTATTAAAGTCATCATATAAACCAAATAACTACTCATTTGTCATTTGGGGTTCCTGAACATCTTTAATTAATAGGGTACTTGCATAATTTATTCCTTGCTTGTTTGACAACCATTGAAATAATGTTAAATATTTATAAAAATTATATTAAATATTATATATACTAATCAATTTACTTTAATTTCGAGATGTTTATCTGACCAAAGATTAAATTCTTAGTCAGAATTAAAATATTTTATTAATTTTTTAAAGGCTTTGATAAAAATTAATGATAATAGATATTATAAATTGTATTCTTTTGTCTTTCATTTTAAGCATTATTTTATACAATTAATATTTATAATAAAATGGATGATCTAAAGTCAGAGAAATTAAATAGAGTTGAATCAAATTTGAGTTTTCATGCTAATATTAACAATACTAACCTTCTTAATGAGACTTAAGAGTAAATTCCTACTGCTTCAAAGCTTTCTCCATAAACACTATGTGGAATTTATGTATTATGCTAATTATTGCAATTAATGATTGGATTTTCACTAGTTTAAAATATTGATGCAATTACAATAGCTACATAAAGATGCATTGTTAATATAATCATGACTTTGATGTACATTCAATTTTTTGACAAACGTCTTTTTCAGCTAGACTAATCATGTTTCAGAGTTATAGCTGCTATGGCAGGATGTCAAGTTATAGCTTCCTTAGTTGGATTTTGGGCAATGTATAATGATTCTCTATTATTTAGGTTTTATTTTCCATTTTCAGAAATATGCGCTTTTCATTAATTAACTCCAGGTTATATATAAGTGTTTAATCATTTTCTATATTAAGCAGGAAATCAATTAAATTTAGTCATTTCTTTGATGTAAACTCTATCAACTTTACTATTCGGTTAAAACTTACTATTTGTTTTCGTTTGCCTTCTTTAACCAGTATGTTTGGCATTCTCTCATGTTATTAAATTTCTGATGAATAAACAACTTCCTTTTTTCACTTTGATGCTTTACTAAAGCCTTTTTGGTTTACCTGTATACATTTTATTAAATCTTATGGCTCAGGAAGTGTAAAACATTTTTTCAGGCGCTTATTTTCTGTAAATTATTTAAATTATTTTTTTTTAGAGAAATAACGTTTATGACTATTTTATAAATGATTGCCTATGTAGCTTAAAATGAAATTTAGGCTTAAAAGACAATAAAGATGTGGATTCTTCCTGGGGCAGTCACAATATTATCTTTATTTGTTTAACTAGGATACCACTAAGTTGACTTGAATTACGGTACTCTTTCTATCATTTTTATTGTGTTTACATCAATTAACAATGAGAAATGAATATTTTTATAAAATTTAAATATTATTATATTATTGCTTTTTTAATTTTATAAGTTTGAATACCCTTAAACCTTATCATTTGAATTTAATTATATAATTCATTGTTTAATTACATGATTAAAAATTGTTTAGAGAATAGTATATTCAATTTTTATCAAAGGTAATAATAGAAAATTTCAATTTTCAAAAATAATTAAAAATGTCAAAAATTCAAATAAAAGCATAAAATAAACTTTGAATTTAAAAACTTGACTGACTAAATCTTAAAGCATGGATATTGCTGTCATTTAAATATACAGATATTTGCATTGGTCTTCATTTTAAAAAGTAGAAAGGATTTTGTAAAAAAAAATTAAATTATGAACTCAAAAGTAACTCTATCTCCATTTCTAGAGCTAAAATTAGAGGATAATGTTATTGATTTATACAAAATTTTGCTTTTAATTAACAGTTAAAATTTAAAATATAATAATGTAAGACTATAGGGGGAATTTCAAAAGAATAGAATTCGGTATATAATAGACTCCAGCCAAATCTACAACAAATATCAATGATTTTCAATCATCTTAAAAATTGAAATACGACTAAATGAGTAATAAACCTTAATCATAATCTGTCAATATCAGCTTTGTTAATGCTCCTGTTACTGCAGTTTCTAAAGAGCTTTTCACTTTATAAATTCCTGTAAAAGTGAAATAAGTAACAGATGATTGGAATACATAATTAACTTTGAAAATGATAATGCAATAAAGTTAATAAGCTCATGGTTACATATTAAGGATTGAATTAACAGATGATAACAATTTACAGTTTTTGTATATACTTGATTTGACAGAAGGAGAATTTTTAACATTAAAAAATGAATAAAGTTTGCATGTAGATTTTGCCACTTTTCCAATGAAACTTGCAGATCTATTATAATTGTGTATTAATAGTTAAAGAGATGAAAAAGTGAAGTAAAAAATGTGAGATTATTTAGTTTTTATGTTTGTTTGGAAACTAAGAATGGTGAATCTATTCTTGCTGTAATTGAAAATAACGAGTTTAAAAAATTGACTCATCTATCTTTAAAATTAAGAAGTGCAACAGATGATGTTATAAAAGCATTTTTAGCAAATAAATTAGCAATAGAAAAATAAGATAATGAAGAAAATAAAAAAAGAAACAAGAAATTATCTGAACTTTTAGATGAAAAACATTGGGAACTTGAAAATTTGAAGTCTCAAAATAGAAAACTAACAGAGGATAAAGATTCAAAGGCTTAATAATTATTATTAGAAGAATAGAAGAAATTTAATGATTTTAGAGAGTAATCTTTAAGTAAAGAAACCAATTTTAAAAGAGAAAGTGAAAATGAAAAGTAGTTTATTATTGAAAAATATGATAAAATTGTATTTGAATTATAGAATAAATACACACAACTATAATAGATCAATACAGAATTGTCTGAATAAAGATCACAATTAATTTAATCAGAAAGGGAACTCAAAAATAAATTAGCCATACTTCAATAAGAAACTTTATAATTTTAAAAAGAGAATTAAGAATTTAGATTATAAAATAAAGAATTAGATACTCTAAAATTTACATAAGAAAGGTAATTGATTGAATTAAGAATTTAAAAGGAGGGTTTCGAAAAATTAATCCGAGACAAGGAAGACTTTTTGAATAGTAAATAATAATTAGTAGATAATGAGAAAAAATAAAATGTAAATTATGCTTTTAATTTTAAAGTTTATTCTTGAAGAATAAGTAGCAAATTAAAAAAAATAAATTGAAAAACTTGAAACCAGAATTAATGTTATGAGTGAAGAAGTAAATAAAGGAAATCAGATCATAGAAAAACTGGAAAATGAGCTCAGTAAATAAAAAGAAAAAATAAAGCTAAAAAATACGGTTGTTCTTTAATAGGAGTAAACTGTATAGTAATTACAAGATGCAAATGATTTAAATCATAAACAAATCAATGAATGTAAATAGTTATTTACTAAAAATAGTAAGAAGAGAAAAAGACTCATTTGAAATTAGATTGAAAGATCAAGAAAACATGAATCTTGATTTAAAAAACAAATTAGCTGAGAGTTAAAAATTACTAGAATCAAATAACTAAATGATTCAATATTTAAATAAATGTTTAAATGAAACAAAAGTTTAAGCTCCTGCATAAATGCCTGGAATATCCTCTTTAAAAAGTTAAACATTTTCAAAATATACATCTCCAATACCATTATAAGAAGATGTAATAATCTATATTAGTATAGTAGAGAAGCTTTCGTAATTAAAGTGTTACTAATTAATAAAATCAAAATAATATATCCTAAATATCAAACGCTACTATATCAAATAAATTTAATTTTTGAACATTATGTAGCACACTTTAAATTAAAATAAATTCAATATATATCCAACATATCTATTTATTAATATTTTTATGTATTTTTTTTTCCCAATTAAAAGATTTAATCATAATATCTTTTAAATTAATAGATACAAAATTTGCTAATTTTTAGTGAATTAAAATTAATGAATACTAAATTTTTGTGATATTCTACTGTCATATCTTATTGAAAGAGTTTACATATTTTGCATATATAGATATGAGATCAAATAAATGAAGGATTATTGATATAATAATATAAATAATAGGAGTAAATAAATTAAAGCTTTTAAATTTTATTAAAAATGACAAAGAAGACAAAGAAGGTAGGTATAACAGGAAAATATGGAACTAGATATGGAGCATCATTAAGAAAAATTATTAAGAAATTTGAAATTTCATAGCATTAAAGATATTTTAATACCTTCACTGGAGCAGTATAATGATAATTAAATATTTTAGCATTCTCTTAAGAGATAAGCTATTGGTATCTGGAGATGCACATAAACAGGATTATAAATAGCTGGTGGAGCTTGGGAAGTAAAGTAATTAACTTTATTAAATTATTAGTACTCCTGCAGGATTGTCAGCTAAATAAGGTATGTTGAGAATAAAAAAATTAAAGGATGATGCAGAAGTTGAGGTTAAAGAAGAAAAGAAAGATAAAAAATAATAATAACCAAAAGAAGAAAAAGCAAAGGAATAAGTTAAAGAAGCTTAGAAAACTTAACATAAAAAAACATAGGGAAAGAAATAATGATCATGTATATTAATTAAATAATATTAAATTAATGAAAATCAATTTAACTAAAACTGAATACAAAAATATATATGTACCAAATGATGATTCATACTTATTTTTGGATGCTTTAAAAGAAGAAATTTAATATTTTCCATAAAATGCTGTTGTTGTTGAAATGGGATGTGGATCAGGAATCTTGATAGGCAATGTAAGTAAACTATTGTAAGAATAAAACAATAGAGCTTTAATGTGTATTGGTATTGATATAAATTATGATGCTTGCATTGCTTCTTCAAGAATCACTCAAGAAAATTAAATATATTTTGATTGTATAAACTCAGATGGATTTGAAGGATTGGCTTTAGACAAATCTGGAATAGACATTTTTATTTTCAATCCTCCTTATGTTCCAACTGAAGATGAGGAAGTTGAAAGATGCAAGAAATATTTTTATGAAAAGTAGAAATTATTTGCACAAGCCTATGCCAATAATATGAGAGGTCAGGAATTAGTTGAAGAAGTTTCTAAAGTGAATTTAATTGATTGTTCATATTCAGGAGGTAAAGATGGTATGTTAATAACTTGGAAAATTCTTGAAAAGGCAATCAAATTTATGAATCCTAATGGCATTATGTAAATTAAATATTCTTAACTTAGCTACTTGTTTGTAATTTAGGAAAATCCCATAAATGAAATAGTTTCTTTCTTTAAAGCAAAAGGTTATGAAGGCTTTATTCTTAAAAAGTAATAAAAATACAACGAAATTTAATTTATATTAAAATTTGTATGTAATAGTGTTAATAAATAATGAATGAATATCATAAATTTTTTACTCTAAGTTTTTTAAGAATTTGAAAGTTATATTAATTTACTTTTATTTCTCTACTTGTTAATTTTGATGATTATTTATACAAAATCATATTAACTTTAAAAAAAGTGATTACGATTTTTAACATATATTATTATTCAATAATTAGTGTGAAATTAAAAATGGTTTTTAAGTTAAATGAAAAGGAAACTTAAATCAATTAAACTTGAAAATTGTTTATTCTTATTTAATTTCTCTGCTATATCTTAGAAAATCGATAAACTTAGGTTTAAAATTATATAAAATAAATTTTTATATAATTCAAAAATAAATGAATATTAGAGAGAAATTGTTGAAAGTAAAATAAGCTGTTCCTCTATATAAATTGTAAACACCTCAAGTTTTAAAGGAAGAATATTTAAATGCAAATTCAAAAAAATGGTTGACAAAAGGGATAGATATTACAGATTACTTTAATTATGGATTTAATGATGCTACTCTAAAATTATATATTCAAAAACTGAATAAGTTAACTGATCTTAATTTAAGTAAACTGCAAAAAGAATATACTGCTAGAATAACTTAATAGAAAGCATTAGTTTTTAAGGATAATATTCCTATTGATTATGGAGGTCTAGGAATAACATCTGTGCCAGAGTGCTTACCTGAAGAAGTAGATTGTCAAAAAGAATCTTTGATTTTTTAAAGCATAGATTATGAAGGAGATTTGATATTTACTAATGAAACAATCCTTGAAATTTTTAGAAATTACAAATAATATTTAGAATAGCTGATTACAAAATGCAATTATTTTGATTTTGATTCTGTTATGTAGTATCCAAAAGAAGAAAATAAATGGTAAAAGGAATTAGAAAAACTTTTAAGAAAGGATAGCAATCAACTTATTGATGATTTACAAGAAAAAAAAAAAATTAAACATGAAAAAAAGAAATCAAAGAAGGAAAAGAAGTAAAAAAAGGAGAAAAAAAAAAAACACAAAAAAAAATACTCTTAAGAAGATTCAATTTAAATAGTTCCATAATAAATTTTAGTTAGATAAGATTCTCCATCTATTGAATCAAAATCAAATAAAATTGAATATGAACTATAAATTGATTCTCTATCAGATCATTTAAGTTAATAACTTCAAGAAGAAATATAGCTTTCTTCTCCTTCTCCAATTCCAGAAATTCAATAATTATCGTTGCCTCCACCATAACCTTAAGAGCCGATCAGATAGAGAAATCATAATTGGCCTAGAAATTTAATTCATGGAATTTTATAAGGAAATAAAAATTAATAAAAAAGATGATTAATATTTTAGCGTAAATTAATTCAATTTTCTGTAGCAGAATTTATTCCCTATTTCTCTTCTTAATCTATTTAAGGCTTATTTTACTATTAGGCATTTTATTTTTCTTCAGTAGTATTCTTTTTACTAATAAATAGTTAAGTCCAAGAAAACATCCAACTAAATAAGTCCCCAATAGAAAGACCTTGATCTTTATCTTAAGGATATCCATTTTTCATAATAACTATTCTAAAACATTCAATCAAGATTGCTTAAAATAATGAAATAATAAAGAATAACATAAAAAAATAGTAAAATAGAATTACTATCATTGAAACTATTGGAGAATAGTTTACAAATTAAGTAATATTTAATTATCCTTAAATCTATTGATTAATTAAATAATTTACCATAGTTAATTGACTTGCAATTGCTAAAGTAAAAGATGAATATTAAGGAAATACATTCCCATAAATTATTTAAAATACCATCACAAATCCTAAAAATAAAGGAAATTCTATAGCCAAAAAAGGTAACAATTCCTTAAAACTTTTGCTATATGTTAAAAAGATTATTGCTATTCTGTCATTTAATTTTAAAACATAAGATAATCTTAAAAACAAAAACATAATACTAATTGTTAGAAATAATTCTGCCTTTTTGTATAAATCTGCCTCTAATTCCAAATGCTATAAAATATTTTATATCATTTACCACAAATTCAGATGAATTTACTAATTCTTAAGGATCTCTTCCTTAGAGTGACTATTACAATGACATTGCAACAGAAATAATTGTTAACATACCAACTCCACAATTAAAAAATCCAATTTCCATTGTTACATATAAAAATGCAGGTCCTAATTTTCCTGTATTAATTTGAATCTTATAAAATCGATATGCAACAAAAGCTAATAATATACTAGCCATTATCAATTTTGTTATATCAATTTAAAATAAACGTTAACCATCATCACCATAATATACATTAGGAATAAAGCCTGTTAATTCTGCTCTATAAGGAGTCAATTTATTTTAAGCATTTCTTTCTAATAAAAAGTTTGCCTATATCCATAAATTTATGCTAGGATTATAAATTACAAAATGAATAAATATTGCAGCTGTTGCAGCATCTAAAAACTATTCTTTTCTTAAGTCATTTATTTTCTCTAAAAAAGCTTCTGTTGTGATATCTCTATTAAATTCTACAACATATCCTCCATCAGTATACGTAGTCAAGTTTCCTTTTGGGTAGTATTTAATACCTAATTATTCAGCAGTTTAATATGAATAGTTTAAGAAATTTGATTTATTTGCCTTAGAGGAATCATACACAACATCAAAACAACTATTTTTTTGAATTTCATTAACATATTTTTTGCATTCATATAAATTACTTCTTAGAGTCCTTAATTAAATCCCTCCTATCATTTCATAATTAGAACGAAATGGGTTATCTCCTTTATCAGAATTATACATTGTTGCTCCCAAAAAATTTTCCATATAATAATACAATTCAGGTATTGATGTAATTTTGTTATATTCTCCATTTGAATTTATTCCAATTAAATTATTAATAAATGTAAAATTTAAATTAACAAATTTAGGACTTAAATAAGCTGTGTAGCTAAGTAAAGTTAATATTAAAATGACCACAATCGAACTCAAAATTAAGCAATTCATATCATCTAAATCAAATTTCTATTCTTAAGCTTTTTCAGCATTTCCTTTTTCAAGTTCTTTTTATTATTGTGAAAACTCTTTTTAAATTTACAATTCACTAATATAATATTTTAAACCTGGAAATTTTTCAAAAAATAAATTATAGGTATCAATTGCTTTAATTCTATTTTTATGAACAGCAAATGCTCCTTAATAGGTAGCTTATTTATTTCCACCATTTATTTTGATGCTGTCGATTTATAAGCTATTTAATGCTGATCTCACTGTTTTTTTTTTTTATAATAATAATGTAATTTAAGAAATATTGGAGATTCCTCTATTAGTAAAAAATTCAATAACTTTCTCCTTTAATTCAATCCTTGAATGGTTTTCATCAGTTAGCTCTAAATCATCCATAATTTCACTATCTTTTTCATCAAATTTTCTTAAATATGGAGCCAAATTCCAATAGTAAAAAGCTAATTCTTTTAAATTTTAGAATGTTGTAGCTTAATCTAAACGAAATGATGAACTTTCACCTTATTCTATACCTTCTATAGTGTATTTGATATTTATAGTAGGATAGGGATTAATATATTCATCTTTTTCTCCATTTTTCTTTCTATTACCTTAAAACTTAACCATCTATTTATTAGTTTGATCTAAATATTAGTTAAAAAATTCTAGCATTTGCATTTTTTCTAATTATATCTCTTATTATGGGGGTTTCTATATCTCTGACAAAGGTTAAACTTCTTTTGTAGTAGTTGAATGTTTAGAGGTAGCATGTCCTACACTTAAACTTTAATCATTTAATTCAAGAACTTTCTTTTCTCTTTGCATTTTTCTTACTTTTTCCTATCTATGAATTTTAAGAAATTTACTTAAATCCAATTAATTTTCTCCAATCTCAAAGTATTGTCATTTTTTAGTTTCGTTATTTCCCTCTTTTTTGAATCAATTTCAGTATGAAGTTTATTGATCTCTCCCTAAAGACTTTTCATTTAGTCTTGCAAAGACTCTCCTTTCTTTTCGGTCATATCAAATTAATTTGAATGTAGTTTTTTATTAATTTATTTTATATAAGTAATCAAGCTTCATTGTTATTTGACTCTTAAAATTTTTATTTTCTAGATACAATTTTGGTTCTTCTTTTGAATTTTTAGAAATATTTTAAGATGTTTATTAAATTGTTCTAAATCATATACTTTTCATAATTCTAAAAACTATCAATTTCTATTTCAGAGAAATTAATTTGAAAATAGTCAAGTTATGTTTTTGATTGCCTTTTATCTTCTGGATTTATATTTTGAGGTATTTAAAATTTGCTAATTCTTCTTAAATTATTTGGATCAGCTGAAATACTTGGAAGTCTTGATTTAGAAATAATTTATGGAGTTAAATCTGATTCATCTTTTCCTGGCCCTCCAGGTGATAACATTTCAATTAAGTTAGTTTCTAGAGGAATTTCTTCTTTTATTTAAAGTTTATTAAATTGTAAAGAATCATACATCAATACATCTGAGAAATAGTATTCTCTAGCATACGAAATAGTATTTTTAATTTCTTAATATTATTTTCTAGATGGTATATAATGATAATGTCTTTAAATATATTTTCTAGATTATAATTAAGAAGAATTATGATATTTCCGAATTGTATTCCTCTTATTTGGTTAATAAGTTAATAATGGACAATCTATTGTTTCATGTTTCGTGTATCCACAATAATAGCATTTTTTTTAAAGTAAAGAATAATCTTTATATAACAACATGGTATCCTTAATATTATAAAATTATTCTAGGTCTTTTTAATTATCTTTCAAGATAGATAGAAAAGCGTTTCTATTTATTTTGACAATTTATGTAAAACCAATACTCAAAGCATTACTCTTTGTTACTTACTCTGTGAAGAATGAATATTCATTAAAACTACTATTTTATTTAAGTACTTAAATTTGAGTTTGAGATTATTCTTCTTCAATTCCCACTTCCCCTTAATTAATATAACAAAAACAGTATTATTATTCATTTTAATGATAAATATATTCGCCAGGAGCATAATTTTAAATTTTCAAATGTTGAACTAATAAATTTAAAGTGGTATGAGAAAAATTTTATTATAAAATCTTTATTTTTTGAATTATTTTTTGAGCAATATCTTATTTCATCTCTGCTTATAATCCTTTAGGTAAGTATGAGATCGAACTTTCAAAATCATCAGAAGAATCTTATTCTCTTTGGTTTAAGTATTTAATATAATTTCTTACTTTTCCTTAAACTTATTGATCAACTTAATTTTTTTGCATGTAATTATTAATTGCTGATATCATCCTCCTAAATTATTATTGGTTAAAGATACCTGTAATTTAACTTAGAATCATTTATGCTTTTTAAAATATTTCCTATTGAATTCATAGAATAGGCAAAGATGCAACTTGAAAAAATCATCATAATATTAGATGTTAGTATTTCATAATTATTTCTTCCTGTTATATCTCCATATCCAACTGTAGCCATTGTCATGGTAGCCCAATAAAAGGAATAATTATATTTAGTTGTGTTTGATTCATTCAGAAACCCATATTCACTTATCCAAGTTGTCTTTTCATCTTAAATGCCTAACTCTCCCACATAATGCCAAATACACGCCATATAATGAGCAACAAAATAAATCTATAGTATTAATATAAACAAATCTAAGAAATTACTAAGATTTCCTTTATTTTAATAACTATCAATATAATATTCAGTTTTTCTCATTAGAGATTTAATACAGCAAATTACCATAAAAATACCCAATAAAATTAAGTAGGCTTTATTATTTATATTTTAATAAAAAATTAAGATACAAATCCATGTGATTAATTAAATAGCATCTCCAATTAATCCATTTTTTGTATACTATTTGAATATTTATTACCTATTTCCTATATAACTACCCTTATAAAATATTTCTCTATTCATTGAGACAATGATGTCAAGTAAAATCATAAAAATCAAAAATTCTCTGATTATATCAATATTTTAAGCAGATCCATAAAAACTTATTATAAAAGGTAGAAACCATAATTGCAATAATTGCTAAATAATCATCACTAAATCCCATATTTTCATTAAGTTACTATAAGCTTCAAAAACTGGTAAGAGTGAACTTTGAGTTTTCTGAATTAGAGAATCTAAATTATTATTTAAGGAAAGCTATTCAAATTATAAAATTTTGTCTCTAAAAATTAAAATCAATTGTTACTGATAATCTTTTGAAAGTATATATGAATTCATGAAGAGATTTTATTTGAATTATTTAACTAATCTATTTTTTGCAGCTATTTGATGCAATTTTTGCAAAGGATTAGTATTTAGAAGTGTTCTTTTCATAGTTGGTTTAGCTTCAGAATTAAGTCGAATAATTTGCTGTTGTTTTTTTAATTCTGATTTTTCTTTATTAACTATCTCAGATTCAATTGAGCCTACTGATGAATCTGGCTGATTATTTGCAAAAGTATTTCTTAATGAAATCTATGGCCCTTATGGACTAGACAGATTCCAATTAGCGGATTCTTCTTCTATGCTGTTAGATTAACTGGATTTCATAATAAGATAAAATTGAGTTTATGGATGCTTTTACTTAAATTAATTAACATGATATTTAATTATTTTAAGCAGATAGGTTGAGTTCAATCAAAGCTTCTCTTATAATCCTTTAGGTAATGGAATTTTTAGAATAATTTGTATAAATCGTTTATTAATGATTAGATTTCTTAAATTTTATTGAATATTAAAATGATAAGAGATATGAGCAACTGGAAATTTATTAATTAGCTGTAATATCAAAATGTGATGATCTTTATTTATATATTATTATTACGGGGTAACTATTTAAGTTAAAAATGGAATACGATCCCCGTTATTTAATTTATTAAAGGGGGTAATTTTATATAAAAAGAGAGCAATGGATTAAAAAACTAAAGTGGAAGTATATTAAAAATATTATAAAGTAGAGTGATATATGTGATCATTAGAATAAATATTTTAAACAAAGTAAACCTTTACTATTAAGTTAAATCATCAATATAAGATTAAACTAACCTCGACCAGAAGAGCGAAAATATCACTCAGAAGCAATTAAATAAGTATAATTTTTTATAGAATAGTTGTAGTAAGCTAAAGTATTTAATGTGAATAAATGGCAGGAAATGATTGACAAAGAAGAATTGTTCTAAATGTCATTGACTGGTCATTTAATTAAAGCAATTTAGCTTCAAAATGGTAATGCTGCCTTAAATAACCTCATTAATGTAACAGAACCTTATCTCCCATTCTTAAGAAGATAAAATGGTAAAAATTTCACAGGTTTGGCTACAAGAACAGTAAAAGGATGTTTATCTGCTGTAGTTTTTAAAAGAAATGATGAATCAAGCTGGTCTGTAGATGAAACTAAAGTTGAAGAATTTATTAATCTAGCTAATAGAAAATTAACATAGTTTTTAGAAAAACTCAAAAAAAATTTTCCAAATTATGACTGCATAAAATAAGAATCAAATGGAAAAAAATCTAAAAAAAAAATTAAAGCTGAAGCTAAACGAGATTATGATTAACAAAATAATCCTTTTTAATAATTTTTAGATTAAAAGTCTGACATGCAAGATCATATTAAGATTGAAAACAATTTTTAATCATTTGATTAAAATGCTACTAATAGAGTCAATTCAGATTGGCTTTATTCAATCAGTGACAATATATTTAAAAATCTTTAGTATATTAGATCAGGTGATAAATTAGATGATTAGTTTTTAGGAAACTTAATAGCCTTTTGCAACATGAAAAGTTAGTTAGATAGAATATAAGATTGTTCAAGATATGTTGATTGATCTTATGATAAAATATATATAATCATGCTAATTAAATAGTTTATTTTTTTTGCATTTTAAACTAATTCCATTGATTTTTATCATTTACATTATGATTGTAGTGGTACTTGTAATTATTTGGTTATATTTCGCTTGTAGATATACCTTTTAATAAAATTCAATTATAAATTGAATAATTTTACAATAAATTCCAGTATTAAAACATAAAATAATAGCTTTTGGACAACCAAATTGAGACGAGTTGTTTTTCAATAAAATAAAAATTGGTCATTAGAAATTATACATTATTCTAAAAAAAGAAAATTATTTTATTTGATGGAAGTAATTCTCATTTAGAGTAAATAATTTTAAAACTATCAAATTGCTTTAAAGAACTGATTAATTATTGTTAATTTTTATCTGCCTAATTATTATTTTTCAATGCAGTTTATTTTTATTTTGAGTATGAATTTACATATACTCAAATACAAAATAAGGTTAAGAAATACTGAAACAATAAAATTTTGCAAATTACTTTACTAATTCTAAATAATTTATTTGACGTAGTTTGAATTATTAAAAAAATTAATACTTTTGAAGCCAATAATTCTTAAACACTAAAGCTTTATTATCCTAAAAATTATTTATTTTTACAGATATTACAAAAATTACCTTTTTATTTAAAAATGTTGTTAGCATTTTGAAATAGACACACTTACATCTTGGGTTAATATCTATTTTAATATTATTAGATCTATTTTCTTTATTTTTGAAGCTTAGATCATGACTAATAAAATATTATATCGAATATATAAAATTTATGGAATCTATCTTACTAATATTTTAATATCAAAATTTTTAATCTTTTAGGTTTAAGAAATAAGTCCAATGATCTGCTGCTATGTTAGATTTGTTAATGTATTTAGAAATAAAATTAGAAAATTTATGGATTAAATTATTTTTTTCAAACAGTTTCGTATTTTAATAATCTTAATAATCAATTAAGGGGGATATAGATTATAGTATTTTATCTTAGAGAAAATATAATAAAATATAGAAGGATAGCAAAAAATTTGATTATTATTTTATAAATTTATTTAAAATAAAAAGAGTAAGATGTAAAATTATATCATGATTAAGTAAGATTAATATTTATTAGCTTAGAATTTAATCTAATAATTATTTTTATATAAAATAAAAATTATGAGAGAAGGATTATTATAATTTTAATGTCAATAACTATGATTAATAATAAAAATTTTAATTCATGTAACGTTGTATTTTCTTGAATTATTGTAAATTTAATTTGTTGTTTGTTATTTATATTTTGAATAAAAGTTAGTATCAAATTATTTAATGAGTTCATTTATATTATGTGATTAACAATAAAAAAGAAGTTTGATTTCAAGCTTGGATATGATTTTTATTTATTTTGCAAGGAAAAAACTTTAAATTGCTTTAATTTTAAATATCTGATAATTGCTTTTGCAAAATAATAATATTATATTTAGAATTATGAGTGCTAGAACTCCAATACCTACTTTCATCCTAAAGACTTATCAAATGCTAGAAGTAATATAGTATTAGATATAATTAAAGGAACCTTAAAATGGCAACATTGTTAGCTGGACTGCATAAGGTACTGCTTTCATAGTCTACAATCAGTAGCTCATGGAGAAATAAGTGTTATAAAATTTCTTTAAGCATAGTAATTACTCTAGCTTTGTAAGGTATTAAATGATTATAAATACATACTCTAGATAGTTAAACTTATATAATTTCAAAAAAGTCAGATCGAAAGAAGGATAAATTTTTAAGCACAAATGCTTTCGAAAAGGAATGAAGTAAATTTATTAAAAATAATGTAGATCCATGTTATAATTTATAAAAAGAAGAAATCAAGATGATTTACAGACATCTTAAATTTAAGAAGAACCAAGTAATTAATTCATGGTATTTTTATAGCTATCAATATTAAAGAGGAATAGAACTTATTTAAAGAATGTGCTCTTGATATAAAGGAAACTAATAACAAATTAAAAGAAGATATGAAACTATTATAAGAAACTTCTTCCTATCTTATTGATTAAATGCAGAACTTAAATCATGTATGATAGATAATATAATAAGTTTGTTTACAATCAAAGTGTTGATATAGAAGTTAAATTTAAGTAAGTTGGATAGATGTTGCATGCTATAAATGAAGAATTAAGATAAGAAAGTATTATTTTAACTTATTTTAGATAAAAGTGACTCCTAAACCAATAAATTGTTGGGTGACTATAAAAACACAAAAGAATAAGAATTTCAAGAATCAAAAATTGGTTCTCCTAATCCATATGTTGATTATAACAGCACAGCACTTAATCCTCTTGATTATGAATGCTTTATCGATTCGTTTTTATGACATCTTAAAAACTCAAAAACAAATATATTTTTATAAATTGATCATTAACTTTCTATAATCTCAAAAATGATCTTCTGAAGTTTCAAATATGTAAGATTATATAAGTACGATAACTTCTCATTTTTCTATTTTGTATGTAAATGCTATTATTTGATAAATATCTCAATCAAAATTATTTTGAAGTAATAACTGAATTGTTTTTTACTTTCAATGTAAAGCAATGAATAATTGATAGTTACGAAATTAAAAAATAACATAGAGGAGGAAAGATTATTAATAACACCTCGCTCAAATATATATATAATCTAAAAAGAAATATTTGATTTAAACAAAAACTTAAACAATAATTTCTGTTATTTAAATTATATTTCATTTTCATTCCTTATTAATTGTGCTATATACAATATCACTAATTGTTTATAATCTATTTCCATTAATAGATATTTTTGACTTATCTTTCTTAATTTAATGTTATTTTAATCTTAGTTCTAGTAATTGATAGAAATTTATGAGTCTATTATCTTTATTTTTATTTTCCTGTAACCATACGAATTTTGTTTCTTTTAAAGTTCTCCGAGACCTATCTTCTAGTTCCTTGAACATAGAAACATGATATTATTTAATAATTTCATTAACATCTGTTTTGATGTTGTTTTGAATGAAATTATTTTTCCTTTAATTTTATTGCATAGATTTAGATTGAGTTTTGTTATTTTTGATGTAATTTTATCTTTACTTCTAAAAATCTATTATCAAAGGAAGTTTAGTTGATTGTTATTATGAAGAGTCATAATTTTAGCTAAATTTTATGTTTTGATAATTAATCATTAATAATCTATTATATGTTAAGTACATATATTAAATGATCTGATGATTTTCCTGATTTTTAAAAATAAATAACTCGCCTGAAATTCAATTAATCAAATGAAATATATAAATATCTCATCAAATCGAAAACATCCTAATAAGCATATCCATCCAGTGTGATCATTCTCATAAAATGATTAACTAAATTATTATCTAAAACATCAATTCCCATTTTATACGGTTAGCTAAATCAGTTTATTACTTTAAAACAACTAACTTTAATAACTAAGTTTCCTTTATCCACAAATCTAGCTCTGATTTTTTTATTTTTCTTAATAAATCTATTTGTCTTATACAATAATTTTCAAAATCAAACAATATATAATTCTCTAGACTTTTTTTTATGATACAAACTATTCTTTATTGACATGTTTTACTCAATATGGATCTACTGGATCGCTTATTGAATCTAAACATTATATGACAGTATGAAAAAATCTTAGATAAATATTCTTTTTAATTATTTTTTTAAATTATTGTTTATTTTGTAGATCCTTACTTTGTCAAAGTTTCATTTTTACTAAAATAAATAAAACTCTTTATATTATATATTATTATATAGAGAAATTCTAGCATACCCATTTCTAAATTCTGCCTTTCCTATTGGGAGATCCTATGTTTTTTACTTCCATTTTCTTAAATTTTATTTATTTTCATCTTCATCAATTTCAAATATTGCATATTATAATCTAATTAAAATTTGGAAGAATTTTTATTTTAAATACTTGAAAATCAAAAGAAAGACTATTTTTTAAAAGAAAATTCATTTCTTTTGAACCATAATAAAATGGAATTAGATTATATTCAGGAATTTTAAAAATAGAAAAATATATTTATTTATTATGTTTTGAATTGTATAATTTTCTTAAGAGATCAAGGAATGAATTGAATATAACTTTAAATTAGAGAACAATTGAAATTCAATAAGGCTTCTTGAAAAGAGTTTTTAATTTTATTTTAGTTAAATTTTCTATTTGTTGCATCTTTTGCTTTAATTAAAACAAGCGATAATTGAGAATAGATATTAATTTATAATACTTGATTCTTAATTGTTTATTTTTTATCCAAAGACCTCAATCTAGATCTTTTTATTAATTCAGCATTATTTAGCAATATTTTATTTAATAGCTTTATAAAGCTAACTTCTACAATAATTGAAATATAAGATGATTAATTTAAGATAGTATTTTTAATACACAGTTATTCATTTTAATTAGATTATATATAATGATAATTAATTTTTATAATTCTGATTGTGAAGTTTTCATTTATTAAAAAGCGTTATTGATGCAAAATTCATATCGAAGAAATTATTATACAAAATGAATAATTAAGATAAAAATAATATTTTTCGAGGATTGCATAGATTGCACCTTGAAAAACATTTTTATCTAAAAAATATTTTAAAATTTTGTATAGGAGGAAATTAAATGTAAAATAATAATAAATCAATATGTTTAGAACTCATTTATTACATTTGTTTTGTTCTTCCTTTAATCGTTGATGATAATTATACTTCCTAATACTTTTTTTTTTTATTTATATATCAACGAAAAAATTATCATTACCTTTTCTCAACTTCTTGAAGCCACATGTTTTATTTTAGTTTATTATGCTGGATATAGCAGTAGGAATTGGTCTTTTAGCATTTTTGTAATAATGTATCAAAGACTTTGCACTTGAGTAATTCATTCCTAATGATTTGGCAACCTAAATATAGAATATTAGGTTATTACTTGTTTTATTCGTTTTCCTTAAGAAAAGACCATCTAAAACAATAAAATTTGTGTTTTTAATGGAATTTTATGGTAACGTTTAGCATCAGCATTGGCTGTTTAACTACCTCTTTGTTTTCGTAATTCAACTTTAAACTCTGATGATTCTGATTAACTCTCTTGGCTTCTATCAGATGAAAGTAATTCAGCAAAGGAAGTTTTACTCATTTGAATATATTTACTATAATTTATTTATAATGATGTCTAATTCTCACAGTCCTTAATAATGGTTGAATATTAATTATATATTAAAAACAAAAAATGATCCAGTTTTTTTATGTAATTATAAATTACAAAAGCTATTTAAATAAAGATATCAATTTTTAATTCCACATTTTTATAAGATTGATTAACAATAATTTTTTAACCCTTTTCAACATTGTACTTAAAATAACTATAAATTTTGTTAATTTTAAAAAAATACTATCTCTTTGGAATAAATTTTGTCTCTAATCAAATCTAACTCATCTAAATTTCTTATTCCATTTTAATTCTATTAAACCCTTTTTTATGGAATAATCTATTACTGGCTCCTTCAAATATTTAGTTGCTACATTGTAAATAATATTACTAAGAAAGATCATAAACTGAAGATTTTGAAATCAAATTTAAAAGATAATTTATATAGTTCCAAATAAATTTAAACTCTTGCTAAATGCTCTAAATTTTAAACTTTTTTTTAAGAATAAAACTACAAATTAAAGATTAATTAGAAATTTTATTATCCATCTAAATCTATAAAATCTGATTTAAAAAATATAAATAATTCCAAAACTAAAAGAATTCTAATAATTTAACAGAAGTTTATAATGTATACAAATAAAAAATTATAAGTTTTCGAGACAATTGATTAGTCAATACAATAATAGTACTGATTAAACTTTATAGAAAACCAAATAGGGAGATTAAGGTTAATTTAAGGTAAGGATGTCATAAAGATTGGATAATTTTAAGATTAAAGAGAAAAAAAATATTCGAAAGAATTTATTCGATATTTTTTCGAAATGAAAGTACAATATTATCTTACAGATAATATTGATGATAATAATTTCAACTAGATATTATGATATTTCAATCTTTCTTTCCTTTAATAGAATTCCATAAGTTAGTAACATTTGATCTAATTTAATTCCAATTTTTATGTATATTTTAAACACTTTCTTAAAAATTTTAGGCTTTATTTTGATATTCTTCCTAAGAATTATCTTTATTTCATTACAAATTTTTCTCTTTAATATTATTCATATTCTTTTTATCTTAAATAGTCTTCATAGGCCTCTCTTTCCTTTTCATTATAAAATTATTTTTTTCTCTTTTCTTATTCATAATATTATTATCTAGCTTAGTATTCACGTTGTTTCCTCAACAAAGCTTCCTAAGCAAATTAATTCAAGATTTCTTCCTTTTTTCTCATTTCTTCATCATCATTATATCTGGATCCATTTTCTTAATATTATTATTATTGTTATTATTATTGTTAATAGTAAAAATTAGATGATGCTTATTTAAAGGCTTATTCATAAGCTGTTCTTGTATTCCATTTTTAACTTTATTAATGTTTTAATTTACTTATAATTTGAATTAGTACGATAAGATTATTATTATTGATTAGCATAATTTCTACGAGGATCTTAATAATACTCGGAATTTTAAGAGTATTATTAATTTGCTCCAAGATTTCTCATATTATCATAATCTTTTTTTGTAATTTCATTAGAAAGTATCTATTGAAGTATTCAAAATATTTAAACTTCATAAGCATCATTAACTTCTTTAAACCTTTCTTCTCTTCCTTGATTAAGATCTGGATGAAATTTCTTTGCCAAAGCATAATAAGCCTTCTTGATTATATTTTAATCATTTGTTTAAGTAATATTGAGTATAGCATAATAATCTTTAAGGTGATTGAATTTAGCAATAGCAAAGATGCATTTATGACAATTCATTATTAAGAAAATATAAAAACAATTAAATTAACTATAGTTAATTAAGCAATTACTTTAAGAAACTTTCAGAATAATAAGGCATCAACAATTTTTTATATTTTTGGGTGTGTCTACATATTATAAACTCATTTATTTTTAATTTGAGTTTCTTGTTATTTAAGTGCGTCTTGGATATCCATAATATTTGTTTCAACTACAATGCCTGCAACCATTATTTCATCAATTAAAGCATTCATTTTATCTGGATGATATAGGATATCAAAGTTCACATGCATTATCAAAGATTTTATCCATTAAATCAACAATATTTTATATCAAATCAAGAACACCTAATTCAGATTCATCTTCATCGATTATTGCAATAAAATACAAAGTTCCAAAAAATCTCATTACTATTTTACATTTTTTANTTCTTTTTATCTTAAATAGTCTTCATAGGCCTCTCTTTCCTTTTCATTATAAAATTATTTTTTTCTCTTTTCTTATTCATAATATTATTATCTAGCTTAGTATTCACGTTGTTTCCTCAACAAAGCTTCCTAAGCAAATTAATTCAAGATTTCTTCCTTTTTTCTCATTTCTTCATCATCATTATATCTGGATCCATTTTCTTAATATTATTATTATTGTTATTATTATTGTTAATAGTAAAAATTAGATGATGCTTATTTAAAGGCTTATTCATAAGCTGTTCTTGTATTCCATTTTTAACTTTATTAATGTTTTAATTTACTTATAATTTGAATTAGTACGATAAGATTATTATTATTGATTAGCATAATTTCTACGAGGATCTTAATAATACTCGGAATTTTAAGAGTATTATTAATTTGCTCCAAGATTTCTCATATTATCATAATCTTTTTTTGTAATTTCATTAGAAAGTATCTATTGAAGTATTCAAAATATTTAAACTTCATAAGCATCATTAACTTCTTTAAACCTTTCTTCTCTTCCTTGATTAAGATCTGGATGAAATTTCTTTGCCAAAGCATAATAAGCCTTCTTGATTATATTTTAATCATTTGTTTAAGTAATATTGAGTATAGCATAATAATCTTTAAGGTGATTGAATTTAGCAATAGCAAAGATGCATTTATGACAATTCATTATTAAGAAAATATAAAAACAATTAAATTAACTATAGTTAATTAAGCAATTACTTTAAGAAACTTTCAGAATAATAAGGCATCAACAATTTTTTATATTTTTGGGTGTGTCTACATATTATAAACTCATTTATTTTTAATTTGAGTTTCTTGTTATTTAAGTGCGTCTTGGATATCCATAATATTTGTTTCAACTACAATGCCTGCAACCATTATTTCATCAATTAAAGCATTCATTTTATCTGGATGATATAGGATATCAAAGTTCACATGCATTATCAAAGATTTTATCCATTAAATCAACAATATTTTATATCAAATCAAGAACACCTAATTCAGATTCATCTTCATCGATTATTGCAATAAAATACAAAGTTCCAAAAAATCTCATTACTATTTTACATTTTTTATCATAAATTCCATCCAAATCCTTAAAGAAATTGCAACTATTTGGACTTAATTTACTAGTCAATAAAATTAACTTTTATTCAATTTATTGTTATCTAGCGACTAATTTTAAAGAGTAAGATACACTCTACTTCATCATAAAAACGACGAATTCGAATTTTCCCACTATTATTTACGATTAAAAAAACTTTTATCATCTTATATATAATTAATTATCAAATGTGATTATAATATTTATTTTCCAATGTTGAGTATTTCTATGTAATTTATTAAAGAGAGTTTAAGTTTTTTGAATTTTCAGTAGGTTGGATTAAGTAGAAGTTAGCAAATGTTACTATAATTATGAAAGAAAAAGTTTTATTTTACAAATTTGATTTTTGCTAAAAAGTAGAATATTTTTTTATAGAGTTAGTTGTAAGAAGAGTAGAAGCCAAAAGAATTTTGATGAAATTATTTAAATAGTAGATTTATATTATTGTTTTTATTTATATTTTTAAAATATTCTATTCATGCTCTGATAAACATATATTTAGGTATTGAATTTAGATCAAATAATTTAAATTTAAAAATTCACAATCAAAATAAACATGATAAAAATTTGATTAATAAATGTTGATATATGAACAATTGAGAAATAAGGTCGTTGAAAATGAAACAATATTGGTGAGTTCTATTATAAAGTACAAAAGTATTATCTAATAAGATAAAATAAAGAATTAGAATAAAGAATGCTTATTTTGATTTTGATGTTATCAATATCTAAAAAGAAATGGCATTATCAGAAGTATTTTATTAAATTGAATTGTTATTTTATTGAATAATTATTCTTATATCAAATAATTATTTTTTTTTTATGTTAAAATAAATTGATAATAGAAAAAATGGAGTGACAATTGATAAAGAATTCATTCAAATACTTGAAAACCATTAGTATTTAACCAGTCCTCATTTGATTTTTTTTTAATAAGTATTTTATAAGTATTTTTCGAATCGAAGAAATGTAAATTCCACAATTATTTTAGGTATTTTTGGTTGATTGTTATTTCTTTGCTGAATTTATGCCCAAATTAACAAGCTAATTACCAAGCAATTTAATTGACATTCAAAAATTAAACAAAATCAAATAATAGATAGACGATAAAAAATTAAACGAGAATTATCTAACTTCTAAATCATTGATTCAAACTAAAGACTAAAAGAATCAATAAATACAACAAAATTCTTCAGTTCCAGAAAACTAAAAGAAATAATTTTAATTTGAAATCCTTAGCGTTAATTAAGATAAATAAGTTGATGAAGGCATTTTTAAAATGTCTAAATTAGAAAGTCTTCTTTCTAGTTAATCGTTAAACAAAAATTATTAAAAAGGAGATTCATTAATTAAATATGATTATGCATACTTTCCAATAAACTTAGGAAATTATCATTGGATTAGTGTATTGGTATATTTTCGAGAAGGCATTATTATATATCAAGATTCCCTAAATGGATATAATGCAGATATAATAGCTGGAGTTGAAAGAATTCTAAAATATAAAAACACATAAAAAATAGATTGGAAAATATAAAAAAATAGTCCTAGACAATTTGGAACATCTGTAAAATGATAGTTAAATTTTTAGGATTGTGGTGTTTTCGCTTTATATGCTTTATTTTTTCTTTATACAAGAGGTGAATTGATTAAAAGTGATAGTTATTCTTAAACTTTTATAACTAGAGTTAGACAAAATTTCGCCACTTTAGCAAAAGCAGAATTGATTCAAAATCTTAATGCTGAATAAGTTTTGAATATTGTTAACAAATAATGACACTATCTAGATTTTTTTTATCTTTTCGATTTATATTAATTAAATAAAAATAAAAAAAATAAATTAAAAAATATAGAGAGTAAAAATCAATATTATAGGCTATTGTTATAAGAATCATAACTATCTCTTTCAAAAAATAATTTGTTACTTTCTGTTATTTAACATCTTGCTTTAAAAATCATAAAATTGTCTTCATCATCTTACTTGATTTTGATTAAATAAACATCTTCTCCTTTGTCGAAATGATGATCTTATTCAGCAGGTAAATAATCTGAGGCATAATTTACAAAATATAAATTATTTGCATTTTCGGCCTTTATGATATTTAAAAAGGTTTAGCACTCCTTTTCATTACCTGTGCAATTATAAAAAAGTGTTTAACTATTATATTAATGTTCTGGTATTACTAGATTACTGTATAATGCCAATTATGTAGAATTTTAAAATTGTTGCTTAGGGGCTAAAAAATCGTATTTTTAATCTGAAATTTAATATAGAGATATTTGTTTTGGTGAAAATTCATAATCATTATTTACAATTGATAAAATACAAGTGATTGCCAACAAAGATAATAAACCATAATTCATCATCTTCTATTTAGTAATAACATTGACTCTTATCAATTCATGATTTGATTCTGAAGCACAATTCATACATTTATAATTTTAACTAATTAATATTTTTATAATAAATACTTTTATTCTTCCAAAAATTATATTTTTAATCTTTACTGATTGTTCTCTTCCATTAATAATTAGATTTATTATTCTTTCTATTATAATAAATTTTAATAGTGTTAATTCTCTAAAATCAACTAATCAAACTATTGTTTTTTTCTATCTCTTGATTATTATGCAGAATTTCTATTTCTTAATTTTCTTAACTCCTCCTTTGATAGAGTATTACTTGATTCTTAATTTCCTTTTTATTTTTTTTCGATTCTTTTTTTTAATATTCTTTATTTTCTATCGTTTTTAAACTTTTATTCTAAATCAGTAGATTTGCTATGCTCTGGTGTTTCTGCATTTTCATAATACGGAGGGAAAATTAACTCATCCTCATAATCAAAAGGGATATTAAAATCCTCTTAATCAATAAAATTCATTTATTTATTTTTTAGTTAAACTTATTGTCTTTACATAAAATTGAATAAGTACTTATATGTCATTTTGCTGACGTGGCCAGAAATAAACAGAAATTACATACCTTAAATATTAATAATTATCAAATTAAAAAAGCATCTTCTACCAATCTTAGAATTCAGTTAAATTAACTAAACATATAAATTTGACTTTTTTGATCATTGAATTCTTGATATTAGTTTTAATTCTATTAAATGATTGATAAGCTATTAACTAGATAAAATTAGATAATCTTTCTGAAAAAATGATTGAATTAAAAAATTTTTAAGGCTATACTAAAATCCAATAGAGTTTTGAATTCAGTTTAGAAAAAAATTAATTTTAAATAAAAAAAAGATTTACATTTAAAATTTAAAAGTTTAATTTAAATGTTTTTTTGTTTGCTTAATCGAGATTCAAATTAAAATAATAGCGTGATATTTTAATTAAATATCACGTTAAAGATATAATTTAAATAAAAAGAAAATCAACTCTTTTAAAGTTTCAAGGACTAAATACATAGGATTTTATTGGATAATTTCGAAAATGTAATTAAATATCTTCTTAAATTTAAACTTGGTGGAGCAACAAACTTTTTAGATTTTTTAAAAAGAAATTTTAGTCAAATTATTATTCAAATTTTTGGAGGTCGATGTTAGTAATTTTAATTATTATATCACATCCTTTTCTTAACAGAATCATTTGTACTTATGAGTGATTTATTCGTTGTAGTGTTGAAACAATTTCAAAAAGTTGCATTATAAATATATTTGCTTAATAATAAAATGTAAAAATTGATGTATTTTAGTCTTAGGATTTTATTTCAATTGAAATTTTATTAAATATATGAATTTTAAAGACCTTATTGATTTTGTTTATTAATTTATGTAATTCTATTTTCTTAATAATTCTTTTGTTTAAAAATAGAAGAGATAGGGCTCCCCAATTAAAAAAATTTTAATGGATATATTTTTTATTAGATCTTAGAAATTTAATAAAATTTGATTATTGTATTTCTCTATCTTCTGCTTATTGAGATTAAGTATTGACCTCATCTAGAATTAATAAATATTAAATTTATTGAATATCCACATTACATAATTTTAATAAATATTTTCGTTTTTTATATGTGATTTATAGTTTTTCAGAGAGGTGAATTTCTTCTTTAAGTAAATAATCTTCTACTGAAATATTTTAATCTAATTAATAAATTCTTAATAATTTTCTTATATTACACCCTTCACAATAATAATTATCATAGCCAGGAAATTATTCAATTTTATTACCTTTCACTAAATTAAATAATAATTTTTCTTTTTGATAGTTGATTCTAATGTAAGGTTTTTAAATAATAAATGAGGTATTTCTTTCCCAATAATTTTCTTTCAAATTTTAAATAAAATACTTTCTAGAATTTTTTTCCTTAAAATATATTGTAACCAATATAATAAAACCACTTGTTATACCAATAAAAATTAAAAGATAATCAGCCCTTTATGTATTAATTGTTGTAATCGTAATACGTAAAATAAAATGAGTTAAAACTTAAATGAAAGCATGACCGAAATTAGAGACAATATATAATACTGCCTACAGTTACATAAAAGTATTTCCATAAGAATAGAATTCTAAATGGCTAGTTGATGCTGGATCAACATTAAATTCTAAAAAACCTAAAGTTATATTAGCTATCGTAAGAGCCTCTTGTAAATATTAATTTTTTTTCATTATAACAATAAAGATGAATAAAGAAATTAATAAAATGCTAAACGCAACGTTTAAATACCAGGTCTCAATCTCATGATTAAAAAAATGAAATCCAATTACAACTAAGTTTGAAATAAATGACAGCACAATTATAAAAATAAAAACGGGTTGTTAGATTTAGCTAGTTTTTTCTAATTAATATTGCTATTCTAAAATCTCATTCTCAAAAGTTAAGATAAGTTTCTTAATATATTTCATTAATTAATTAAATTACAAAAATATAGTATCTCATTTATTAATAGTGAATATTTTTAACTTCAGGATTGAAAATTAATTTTCTTAAGAATATTTCATAATTAAATCCAGAGAAAAATTGTAATTGATTTTTAATTAAAATATTTCATAATCACTAGATTAAACATTAAAATCATTTCTCGAAATTAATAAAATAAATTCACAAAACTTATTAGATAGATTTTAAAAAGTTTGGAATTCTTTACTGAGACTCTTCAAGTTATTTACGATATTATATCATCGCAAATTAAACTTGATGATTAAGTTTTAAATTAGCTTTCTACAATTTACCATAGTAATTTTAATATTTTTAAGCATCATAAATAGTATTTTTTAAGTGAAATGGAGTTTCAGTCTTACAACGATAATATTATTAATAAAGTTTAACATCACCAATTTAATAATCTTTATATTTAGTGTGCGAATTAACTAAACCTTTGAGAGCATTGTTTACTTATTTACGACTTTGAATAAGTTCTTTTTATTTTTATTCATAATCTAATTTTAATTCTTCAACTTCACATCTCAATTATTCTAGCTTTCTCTTTCTTTCATCTTCAAATTCTTATTTATAAATTTATTTATCTTATGTATAATTAGCAATCTCTTAATATGTATTTTTTTCTCTATCAGTTAAACATCTTCCATTAATTATAATAATACCCATCAACTTTAAGTTTTCTCAGGAAAATTCTAGATGTATTAATTCTATTTGTTTAAGGTTATGAAATTTAAGCATCACTAACTTTTACTTTTTTAAAGTCTAATGTTAAATAATTTGATCGAGGTTTATTAAACATTATTTAATTATAAAATAAAAAATTGAATAATCATTTAATTTCTTCAATAAATATTTTATGAGCAATTAAAAGAGGCTTATTTTATTAAGGATTAGATAATATTTTATCATTAAGTACGCTTAATATTGTACTCCATTTTTACTTTTCCTATTCTTCTAGGTCAGATGTATTCAATTTTTACAAGCATTTTGTATATTCTTCTGGCCACATTTCTTATAATTATTAAAATCTAATTTGTACATCTTAATTATCTCAATATATTTATAAATTTTACTTCGTACTTTTAAAAATTTATTCTAAGCTGCATCACTAAATAGTTCTAGACTCATGCATAAGATTGAAAAAGTTTCAAAAGATAAGTTCTTTTCTTCCTCTATAATTAAATCTGCATTTTCTTCAAATGCATCAACCAATTTATCTTCATCATATTTCTCTCCTTCAATATGTCTATTCAACAAAAGCCATTCATCAATATTACACATTCCATTTCCATCTAAATCACTTGCAGCAAATGCATTTATAACATATGCTTTAGTTTTCTCAACATTATTCCTAAATATTTACAACACTCTAATCATCATTAAATCAAAATCTATTATTCCCATCTTATTTTATCCTTTTGGATCATTTTCTTTAAGTTCTTCAAATTCTGATTTTAAATAATTAAATTCTTCTTGAGAAAAATTATATTATTAAAGTTAAGATAAATATGACAATGCCCTAACATAAGGAATAAAATATCTTATTTCGGATTCATTATCTTTTATTGTAATTCCCAAATTTTATTAATTTGTAACATACTCTAAAGCCTCTAAATACCTTTATTATTCATTTGCACTATAATTTTAATTTTCTTCAAATAAACCCATAAATTTAGCAAATACATTGACCCTCACTAATTTTACATTCTTTTTTATTGAAAGAACTAAAATCATAAAGCGTTATTCTGTCACTTTAGTATAACCAAATTACTGCATATAGTAATTATAAATAAATGCAGACATATCCTAATCTTTTAATTATTTTTATTCTTTCTAATTATGAATTTTATCAAAATATAAAGTATTAATATATTTAAGTACTGCTTTTAAAGGTAAAAAATTTGTAAATTTTGACATATTTTTGGCTTTGACTTTATCTATTAATAATTTTGACTAATTTTTTTAAAAATCATAAGATATTGTAACCTATAATAAAAATATTTATTACCTTTTAACCTAATTATGGTATTCTATTTTTAATTGCTTTTTTGACTTATTATTATTATTTTGTTTATTTATGATCATTTGATTATACTTAAGGCTAAGAAGATATTAAATTTTATTCAGTACTAATATGTTAAACATTAGATGAATGTTCTTATTTGGTCTTTAATTCTTAGATCAAAATTCTATCATCAATAGATTAAAGTTTTAATTTTTGAATTTCATCTTATAATTGTTTAATTTGATTAGATAGATTTTCATTCTAAAATTACAGAGATACTATACTAATTTTCTTTTGATCAATATCATCAGATAACTCAGCTAACCTAGTTTTAGAGTAATTAAAAAATGTATGTAATTACTTAATTTATTACTCTTTTTTTTACTTATTTTTATTTATTAATAGAGAACTATCTTCAAAATTGATTGAATCTTTTGATGTTACTCCTAAGACAGAAAGTCTTTTGGTACTTTGAATCTGAGTTTGAATATTTGGAATTCCATTTAATGTATTTGAATTTTCTGCATCTTTTAATAATAGATCAAGCATTTTATCTAAATTTTATTCTTATTAAGATTCCCCTTTATTATTTGCATCTTGAATAAATTCAGTGTATTTTATAGCATTTTCAAGATTGTCTTACTTTAATGAATCATAATTAACACCTATCATAGTTAATTCAGTTTATGTATCAAGTGTTTTACAATACATATCAAACAAATCATTCTCTACTTGAGTTTCACTTGTTCTATATTCAATAATTCTATCATAATTTAATTCTATTTGATTTAATTTGTCTTAATCCTCGACTTCTTCTTCTAATTATTCTATGCTGGAATCAGACTTTTAAGTTGTTGATTTCTTTTTTTATAAATCAGTAGCTTAATTGATTGGAGAATTTAAGATAGTAACTATACTTACTTTTTTTAAACTATTTCTAATGGGAATCAAATTATTACTTGTTGATGTCTACTATATGTTTATATTAGAAGTACTATTTTTTTTCTAAACGTTTTCTTAATAAGATTATTTAATATCAGTCATTTATTCTTTTCCAAAAGTCTATTAAAGTTTATTTTCATAATACTAAATTTTCTTTTATTAAGATTAAATATCACATTCAAGAGATTTAATCTTTTTATTTTTAATGTCTATTTCTCTCTATTTAAGTTCATATCTTTAACGAAGCTCTTTATATTTACGACCTTAATCTTATATTTCTGTTTTCAATTTATGAATATCTATTTAATATTATTCTACATTTTAATTGAGTAATTTAATTTAGTTTTCAAACTCTTAACTGGTTTTTGAATATTTATTACTCATTCTTTCAAAATCTGTAAGATTATCTAATTCAAGTTATTTTTCTTTTATAGATAATTATAATTAATAATCATCTATGAATAATTAGTATTATTTCATGAAAGTCGTAAACAATGAAGAAATTTCTTTAAATTCTTCTGTTAATATTTCTGTAATAAAATCTTCCATTTTATCTAAATATTCTTACCTATTTAAAGGTGTGATCTAAGATTGAAATAATTACTCAGTTTAAATAATTTGCTATCTTCTATTTCCGATTCTACTTGTCGATCCAACCTTTTCAAAGCTACCAAATGAATTATTTTTTCTTTTAACAAAGTCTTATTAAAATGGTACATAAAGTTTATTTGTTGAGGATGAATGAGACACTATACTTTATAGCATTTCTTAAGAAGTTCTCTGTCGAGAATTTAAGAATTAATTAGTTTCTAAAATTTTTATTGCTCTTACATTTTCTTTGCTTGCTTTATTCAATAAAATCAGATAATATTTTTTTTGTTTCTTCATTCTTAGATTCTCCTAAAGTTCTGAAATGTAATCTACTTTAGCTATGACTCTATCTTTTTAAATAATCAGAAAAAATAGATTTTGTGGGAGTAGTCATTGGTCTTGAAACATCCATATTGATTAATTGCTATTGTGCTGTTTATAATAACTAGAATTATAATAATTATGTTTAAACTAAATGATTCAATTTATTACACATATATACAAAACATCAGTCTCACTTTAATTCTTCCCAAAACAATTAATAATATCTCTCTACTATTATTCTAATTATATATATTTTTATCCAAAAAACCCTTAGAATTTTTTCCATTTCTAACATTTAAATCTCCTTTCATTTAGTTCAATCTTTTTAATTATTCTACATATATTATTTCCTAACTCTACTTTTATGATTCAAGCTTATTATCTGCTTCCTAAATTCATAAATCTAGGATTACACTATATTATTCAAATTAACGAATTCGTTTTATTAAATACTTCTAATCAATTCCTATTATAGACATAAAATTAAAAATATATCAAAAGATAGATTTATTTTATCTTCTTATACTAAATCTGTAAATTCTTCAAAAATGCCAATATATCTAATCAAAAGTTCCATAAAAAATTGCTTGCTGCAAACGTATTAATAACATAAAGTATTTTTCTCAAACATTATTTTCTAATTTCGAAATAAAAATTAATAATAAATCCAAAATTAAAGCTTAATATTGATAAGAAGAATATCTTAAAATTGCTATTACGATTTATTTCTTACATTTATTAATTAAAGAGTAATTAATTAATTTAAAAAATAAATTTTCTATTCAAAAGATAACGATTAGTTAAGAGATTTCAATAGATCTATTTAAATCTATTGTAGATTTTTTGATTTATTTCTCTGATATAATTGTAAAATATTTATTAATGTGTAGTTTTGTTTTTTATCTAAATGAATTTAATTGTTTCTATACTAGTTTTATCCTAAATAGTTTATTGTATAGCATGAAAATTGTAATTATTATATTAAATCCAGTAAGTTTATAATTATAACAAACATAATTAAATTTGAAAAAATAAAATTCATTTAGCTTTTGAGGTTAGACTTGTAGTATCTTTATAATTTGGATAAGCAAGATGTTTTTTAATAAAGTATTGATCAATGTTGGATTTGTTTTGTATGATTACTTTTTCAAAATTTTGGTGAATAGGCCTTTTAGATTTTTAATTTAAATATGTAGTGAGCAATTTTCTTTTTGAAAAATTTTCTTGTTACTATTAATCAGAAGATTCATTATAAAATTTCTTTTTCATAGATATACTTCTGACGGGAGTAAATGATTGTGGAACTTGAGGTTAAACTAAAATTTTGTTTTAAGAGAAATATCTTGCTCTATTTGGACTTTTTGGTTCAGTTGGAATGAAAATTTCTTTTTAATTATCTGGAAGTGTCTTAATTCTATTTTCTTAAGTTTTTTATGTAATGGTTTATTAATTTTATTATTGGATAGATTAAGTTAAAAGTATTTAACTTTAAATATCTATTTAAGATTAATATTTTTAATTTAATTAATTTTACTTATATTAAGATTTAAAAACTCTTTAATATTAAGAGTCAATAGCATTACTTAAATATTTCTGATAAGTTTATTAGATTTAATTTATAAGTAATTTGCTTTTAAAAGCAGAAGGTATTTATTCTTAATTGCTTAATTATTAAATATATAGTTACTTTTAATAATCTAAGTCCATTTTATACAATATTTCTCTATATTATTTTTTATCTAATTTAATATTTTCAGATAAATCTATATTGATTTTAGAAGGATAGTTATTTTCAGACTCAGTACCTTTAAAATCTTCTAATAAAGGATGTAAAAGTGCTTAATCAACAGTCATTCGATTATGAGGATTCCAAGTTAAACATTTGGTTATAAAATCAATAATAGTATCTGATGCTTTGATATAAGTAAATAAAGACTTTCGTCTCGGCATTTAGATCTCTCTAAATATTTTATCAGACATAGGTGCATTAATTTATATTAAATCATTTTATGAAGGTTTGCCAAGAACTTCAACAATTTTTTCTAATTAATTAAGTGTTGATTAACCAGTAAAGAGAGATTTGGATAAAATCATTTCTCCTAATATACAACCGATACTCCACATATCAATAGAATGATTATAAATAGGAGATCCTAATAATATTTCAGGCGCTCGATACCACCTTGTAGAAACATAATCTGTCATAACAGTAAATTCATCTATTTCAGTTGCTAATCTTGCTAATCCAAAATCTGCCAATTTAATTTTACAATCTGAATCTATTAATACATTAGATGGTTTTAAATCTCTATGAATCAAACCACCTGAATGTATATATTTCAAACATTTTAATAATTAATAGAGAATGTATATCATATGTTTTACTTCTAATAAGTTTGCTCTTATTACCTATTATTATTACTTCTATTTATACTTTATGAAGATCTGATTCTACATATTCAAATGCCATATATAAATCTTTCATATTCATTGCTCTGTGAATACTTTGTAGTTTTACTATGTTCTCATGTTATTTCAATTATTAGAGATAAATAACTTCTCTATATGTTCTCTATGCATCAGTATCATTTAAAAATGCATCAAAAACCTTCATGATACCTATTTGTATTAACCTTTTTCAAAGCAACAATTTTCTTAGTCTATCTATTCATTGCTTTCCAAATTACTCCATATGCTCCTTTACCTTTAAGCTCTATTAATTAATAAAGTTTTTAAATGTTTTCATCAACAGATTATCCTTCTGTAATTACATTCTATTATTACATGTATATTTATTTATAATATTATTCATATTTCTAATTTCATTTAATGTTTCTCTTTTTCAGCTATCTTTCTTGCCCATTCATCTTCTAAATTTTTAAATTCATCACTCAAATCTTATAGAGTTTTTTATATAGCATCATATGGTTTTATCGATCCATTTGTTTATACCTTTATTTCTATTGTATGTTAAAGTGGGTGAATTTGTCTATAACCAGAAAATGTCACTTCTTTCTATTTTAATAGGTTCATACGAACTAAATTGCCTTTTATAAAACATTTATTCTAAATTATACCTATAGTATGATCTTCCAAATATAATTTCACACAACATGCATTATTCATCTTTTTTTCATCTTCTAAAGTAACTCTTGACTCCTAAGAACTGTATTCTTTACTTCTCAAATGAAATTCCCTTAATTTACTTCTGAAATCTTCTCCGTTCATGAACTAACACTTTTAGTAATATAATTAATAACAAATTAATTAACCTGGAAATTTAATAGTCTAATTTATTTTGATTTATTATTCTCATCCTATTCCTTTTTTTTAATTATACTTAATCTCTTTATTTTTTAGATCAAATTTTCAGTTTGAAGTACTATAAATTTTTAAACCTATTTTCTCCAAAACATAATTTTATTGCATAAAAATAATTTTTTTTAAATATAACATTCATTATATAGATCATGTCAATATAAATTCATTCAATATCATAAAATCAACTCATATTTTAGTGATATGATATTAATAAAATTAATCAAATGACTAATTTTTAAGTTCAAAAATTAATAATTTATTATTTAATGTTTTAGTTTTCTTGCAACATTAATTTAGCATTATTGAAATACTTTCAACATTTCCCATTAATTATTAAATGTTTATGCCTTTTTCTAATAAATTTTATTATACCTTTTTATTTTCATTATATATATTAGCTTTTGTTACATTTCAAAGATGATTATAGAATACATTATTGTAAATAAGATTTTAATTTGTTCTTAAATTACAGCTTATCTTATTTACAAAGAAACATATTAATAATAGAAATCTAAATATTAGAAATAATATATTTATTGAATTATATTTAAATAATCCAAACAATCCATATCATGATTAATCTTTGTTTAGTTGTGATTGTTTTTCTTACTATTGCTTTTGGAAATCTCCCTAGTTTTGTTCATCCTATTAAATTTAATCTTTTTAGACTTTTTCTTAATTTTAATTATTAATTTCTTTTTCAGTTTATTTCTCATTTATAGTCTCTTTTATTGCCTCATTAATATATTTTGAATCAATGACTTAGACCCATTTATCATCTATTAATTTATATTCTTTGCCATATTCCCACATAGTGTCTCCATTATATTAAAAACACATCATTTTAAAATATAATTTATGTTATTAAAATTGAAATAAACCAATAATTTATTGTAATGTTAAAAAATTATTATATCTTATAAAACCCTAAATTAGATAAACTCAAACTTATAACCGATTAAATAAAAGAAAAGTTTTTAAGATTATAATTTTAATATGATTCATTTTATTAATAATCAAGATGTATCCTTTTTTTATGATTCTAAAAATTCAATCTTCTAATCTTCCTTCTATTCTTATTAATATTCTTATTGACTTTATTAAATCTGATTTTATTGTTATAATTTTATGTCTTAACTTTTAAATTATTATTCATTCTCATTCTCATCACTTTATTAAATAACTTCTTGTATTTAAGCCCTTGCTTTTACATCTACCCATTTACCATTAATCTTTTCTTAAAATCTTCCATGTACACATCTCTTATTCCCACCATTATATTAAAAGCACATCATATTTATTTAATTAATTATTTTTATTAGGATTCAAACTTAATTTCTTTATACATAATAATAAATTAATGGATTAAGTTAAAATGTATTTGAGATATCAAATTGTAGATAATATAATTTTCTCTCCTAAAATAATAAAAAAATTAAAAATAATATCATAAAGTTATGAATTGCTTTAGAGCTTTTACAATCTTTGATTTTGAGCTTAACTAATTTTATTTATTCTTAAGAAGAGATATTGAATCCACTCCTCTTTGGGAATAAACAATAAAAGAGATTCAGACTTAGATAAATGAATAGAATGTATTAGAAGAAAAGGTTTTTCATATAATTTCACTATTAGGAACAGTTAGAGGAAAATATGATTATTTCACAAGTAATTTTTATTAATATACTAAGATCGACTATTAATATTATTATCGCATACATTTGTAGACGATATTTTTTAAGCTGAGCTTTTACTTTTAATATATGCATATTTAAGTGATGTTCCACATTACAAAAACGTAATAAATAAAATATATTGTTTTAGCTCAAAATATAAGAACTTTAAGTTTTGGAAAAGTTTAAAATAGAAAAATTAATAAAGACCAAAGAAGAACAATTATTATTGAACAATACGTTTTTTAATTAAAAATACCTAAGTTTAAAGCCTAATTAACTTGATTAATAATACTAAAAAATACTAACTTCTACAACACTATCAAGTGAAAATAATGAACTATAAAATATTTCAAGCAAATAATTAATTGATGAATAATAATTGAAAGTATTTAGAGGATTTCTGCTTTATGATATAAATAAATCCTATTTTCTAATGTTTGTAAAAAAAGGATTTAGTAATGATAAAACTTGGACTTAAGAGAGAATCAGAATTGAAAATATTTTATTATAAATGTAGTAGAAAGAATCTCAGATAATTTGTATATAAAGCAATTTCGGATAATTTATTGCTGAATATGATGCAACAACAAGTATCTATTTAAATAAACGATAGAATTCTATTTTATACTTCTATCTAACCATAAAACAGCTGAATATCCTCAATATTAACTTTTATAAAGAATTAAAAGTTTCATTTATTTAGAACCTAAATTCCACTAAGTAATAAATATTAATAATAAATTTAAGTAAAAAAAGTGCGATCTTGAAAATAAACTACTTTATGCTATCAGTGATATAATTGATGCAGAAGAAAGAATATACATATAAAGATATGGAAAAAGAATTATTGATTCAAAAATATTAAAATCTAAATTTTAAAGTGAAAAGACTTCTGTTCAAGCCTCTGTATAAAACATTCCTTCTATAAGTTTATTACCAAAAAATTAAGATTGCAATAGTTTAGAATAAATAAAAGCCAAATGATTTAATTTTAATTGATTTTATTTAAAATAAGAATTTTTAAATAAATCTGTTTAGAATAAATCAATTATTATATTCTTCTAAGAAATAATAATTTAATCCTAACTCTTCTTATTTATTTTCTTTTTTCATATCGAAATAAGATTATTGTTATTATCTTAAAATCTCATCTTTGGCTCTTTTTTTTAGTGTTAAAATTACACAATCTGGATAAACTTTTTTTTCTCTAAATTATTCTATACGACTCTATCATTATATAATAAATTTGCCTTATCTAATGTAATCAATAAACCAGCTGCTTATTTTGGTTCCAAAACATCCCATATTTCATCAACAATAGTTTAACATTTTTCACTTTCTTTAATAATTGATTGTTATATTTTATAAATATCTATTATTAAATTGTCGTAATGTGATCTTTATTCTTATATTGTTTATTGCATATTTTATATTTTTAGAATTTAATCATCATCTAATCCAAATGAATTTAAGCAATTTATTTAGCTATCACTCAAATCAAAGGAATAAAACTCACCTGATTATCTTTCTCTTTTGAAAATGTCAACATCTACATATAATTTAAAATTAGCTAACCTTCTGAAGCAACCCAAAAGAGGTATCTCATATGCATAGGCAACAATAAATCAATCAGTAATTCACATAATTTATTAATTGCCATCAAACGACCTTAACCAGATATACCATATTTAAATCTTAATGAATTGGTAATAACTTTTATACTAGCTTCATTTCCTTCTTAATATGCTTTCTCTAACATATCGAATTGTTATTTTCTATCAATCAAAAACTGTTCCATTAATTACACTAAACTAGGCTTAGATTCTACTTTCTTATTTTAATTCAATTCAGCTGTCAATTAAGCCACCTCACACTTTTATTAATTTTAAAACCTTTTACTCTAAGCTCTCTATGTATGCCTTCTTTCTTTATCTAGTGTTTTTTGCACTTTATCTTGCCTTTTCCTTCTTATTGTTTGTATCAGGCAGATCCAATTTAAAGTTGATCTTGTCATGGTACTTTTTTCTTATTTTTTTTTCAGACATTTTATTTTATCAAAATATTGATATATAAATTATCAAATTTGCCATTCATTAGCAATATATTCTAAAGAAACTCTAAGAGTTGTTACTGTTCTTTTTTCAGTTTCTATTGTAGGATCAGTATTACAAAAATCATCAACATAATGAATAGATGCAAATTTATTCTAAAATTCGCTATATAAGATTATGTAGATCATAACAGGTAATTCATCATCCATTGTTGATAATTCACAATTACTGTTTTCATATATTAATGCTAATTATATTAATTAGAATTTTATACATTTTATTAAACATAACATTTATTAAATTGATCTTAACTTATCTCTTGGGTTTGTAGATTTATCCACTTTATTTAATTCAGCAATACCATTCCAATATTATTGACTTAATCTATATTTATTTTTTATTTCCAGGAATTCCATTGTTTCATGTTCACTAAACTTGGCAATAATTTGAGATCTCTATTTTCAATTATCAATACTTTTTGATGTTAAATTGATTTTCATTTTTTTGATTAAAATCAAGATAAAAATTAAATAGTTTATCATAAACTGATTCATAAACTACTTTTTCTATTGCCATCAAATAATATTGGTAATCATATTTCAAGGTCTTTTATTTAAACTGCTAAAATGTATCAAGAACCAATTACGAACTTTCTTACATATATTTCTGTAATTATTATTTTTTTGGTTTCGCTACTGAGTCAATGTCCTTTATAAGAATATTTAACTTTTATTTAAATTCTAAATTATCTTCTAAATATAGATATATTCTATTCATAGAGATTGCAGTAATAGCAAATGGATTTATGTGACTCATATCATCTATAGGTTCATAATCTTTATGTGTTTGATTATATCTTTTAACCACAACACAAACAGACAATAATACATCTTCATTTAATTTATAATTCTAAATATTATAGAAAATCTACTCCTGATAAAGCATCTATTTTCAGTTTCTATTTTGAATATTTAACCAAAATAAGGCTATTGTTACTTTAACTTGCTATGTATGTTGGTGTACAGACATTCTTAATAATCTTTTAACAAAATGAATCACGCTTAGTTTAGAGAAACATCATTTGATTTGCTTCTCTCATTATACAAGTGTAATTACTCGAAAAAATTAAGAAATTTAAATTACTATTGTTTTAGTTCAAGGACTATTTAATCAAAAACTGCTGGAGATTAACAATTTAGAGTAATTTAAGGTAACAAGTGACCATTTAATTACATATTTGAGTGTTCTATAAGACTTTAAGATTCACCTGCTCTACGTTTTCTAATTTCTGTTTGCATTATGCTTTTCTAAACTAAAGTCTCTATTCTTTCACTATGACTGTAATCTATCATAGCTTTAGGTGAATCTCCAAGATGAAATTATGATGTCATTAATCCACTATCTCCATCTATGTGTCCATAATTATGCATGATTATATATTTTATATTTAAATTTTGAAAAACATATTCTTGTAAAAAATTATAATTAATTTATACTCATGCATATAAAATTTACCTGTTATACCACTAAAATATCTGATATTTTAGTGGTATACATATTTCATAATTTGTTAATTTTAAATAAATTCATTTTGTAGATTTTTCTAATAGTTTCAATTTATTTTTGTTTTAATTATATTATTTATGAAAAATTTTACTTTTACCATTTCATTCACAAAAAATATAAATTAAAAATATATTCTTAATGTCTTCAAATTAATATTGTTCTTTTTTCAAAATAAATAAGATAAATCCATTTAAGTTATTCTCAAAATTATAATCTGGATAATTCTATAAAAAATTATTATTTCAATCTAAATACTTAGATGAATAGAAATTTTTATTGTTTATTTATAGAACACTAGGAAAATGATATTATTGGATTTTGCTTAAATAAATAATGTTAAACAAATCCATAAATTTGTTTTTATTGCATTGTGGATAAACATAAAGAACACTTAATTGATTGTAAGAATTTCAAGGCTTTGTAATGCTTTATTAATACAGCTTTGGTAAACTCATAGGCAACTTTATTAGAATTGAAAGAAGTCTATGAAAAAATAGAATAATAATATAAAAATCATTTTTAAAAAATATAAAGGGAAATCTAAACTTTAAGCAAAATTAATCAATTACTAAAAGACTAATACTATTATGAGATCAAATAAGAAATTAATTTTTTAAAGGATTTCAATTCTTAAGAATTAAAAGAAACAAATTGTAAAATATTAATAAAAATTAGATTAACTCTTAAAAACTTTTAAAGAGTTCGAGCAGACTTTAACTTAATAAAGTAAAAAAAGTACCATAATCAACAGTTCAAATTAAACTTAAGAAAATATAAGCTCTTCCTAAATTATTATAGATGATTTGATGGGGTTAGAAATTATAAACAAACTCTATTAAACTGGTAATAAATTATAAAATTTTAGCTATATGTTTATTTAAAGAATAAAAATACTAGGAAGCTTAAGAGATTCTTGAAGAGTTGCTCTCCTCCTCTGAATATTCTAGTTAAGCTTTTTAAGAAAAAAATAATGAAGCTTTTTCATTATTAATTTAAATTTTAGTGAAACAAAATCTTTTTTAATAAGCTCTAAAAGTGATTGATAAACAGCTTCAAAAAAATCCAAACTTATGTGAAGCACTTTATAAAAAAGGTAAATTTATATATTAGATTTTTAAGGATAGGTATTAACAATTATATAGAATTTTGAAGAATCAATCATTTATTTTGATAAAGCAATTGCTATAAATCCTTAAATGTTTTAAGCTTATTATGATAAAGGTATAGATAAGATATTTTGCAAGCAAAAGCATTAAAATTTTTTATTTTACACTTATTAAATAAATGAGCTTAAAAAATATTCAGAAGCTGCAGAATGTAGTTAGTAAGCCATTTCTATTAATCCCTTATATTATCAAGGATATATATAAAAAGGTAATATAATATAATATAATATAATATAATATAATATAATATAATAATTAGCCTTTTCTGCTTATTCGGGCTAGACGAATACGAAGAAGAAGCTTTAAATTTGATTGATAAAGCCATTGAGATAAATCCTTAATATGAAATTGCCTACAATAACAAAGGTATGTTATATATAGATTCTAATTAAAGCATTTGCCTTACTAAGATTACTTAGATATAAAGAAGCTATAACTTGTTGTCAAAAAGCAATTAAATTAAATCCTAAATTTAGTTTCTCATATAACAATATAGGTAAATATAAATTATATTTTATAGGATATTGCTTAATTAATTTAAATCGTAAGTAGGAGGCTATCAAATGGCTAGATAAAGCTATAGAACTAAATCCATAGCTAGCTTAAGCACATAAGAATAGAGGTAAATTTCTTATTGACTAAATTACAGGAGAAGCTTTAATTTATTTAAACTAATTAAATGAAGCTCTAAATTTTTTAGACTAAGCGATTAAAATTAACCCAAAATTAATTGAGGCACATTATAATAAAGGTATTTTATAATAAACCTTTATAAAGCTCTTGCTTTAATATTGCTTAATAAATTAGATCAAGCCATAAATATCTGTGATTACATTCTTAAGATTAATCCTAAATTTCATGCTGCTATTAATTTGAAAGGTAAATTAAATACAATATAATATTTTAGGTGATGTCTTACATGCTTACAAAAATTATGATAATTCAATTGAATGCTTCTAAAAAGCTTTCTAAATTTAGAATGATCCTATTTATTTGTCACATATTGGTACTAATTGCTATAAAATTTTATTTAGCAAATTCGTTATTAGCAGATGGTAAAAAAAATATGGCTAAATAATACTATTAATAGGCTTTTAATTATGGTTATAAAGATTAGCAATATATTATTAGCCAAATAAAATTATTATCTTGATAATTAAAACATAAATAAAGTTCATAGATTAATTAATTCCTATTTTAATTTTAATTTAAATTTACAAAAATTATCTTATTAGAAGAAAACAAAAAATAAAGTAATTTAAAAATTATATCAATTCAATTTCTTTATGTAATGAGAAATATAATTTACTTAATTATTATTATTCAAGAAAATGAAATAAAACAATTAAGAGAATTAATTCTTAAATAATAAATCAAGTTTCAGTAATTTACATTCAATATAGAAAATAGAAAGCTAATTGTATAAGATATAAATATTTATACGATATTGGATCAAATAAGTTTATCTTCGCTAAATTAATTATTTAATTTTTTCTAATCTATTTTATCATGCAAATCTTGATCAAAGGATTGTTTGTTTATAAAAATTAGAGTTAGTTTTCTTATGATAAGAAAATCAAATGCAGAAAATAGATGAGATTAGATTGTTTTTCTAAAGTCTTAAGAAAAAATTCTTAAATTTATATGTATTGATTAAATTAGTCTGATACTCTATAATTTAAAATTATGCTTATGATTGTAATCTTGAATTTAATTTTTCTTGAAATTCAACATAAATTTTGATTATGTTAATGTTCGACAATAAAAAAGATAAAGAGTTATCTTTTAATGATCTAAAACGTATGTTTATTGACGTAGATAAATAAATAATAATTGATTATTTTAAAGAAAATAAAGTATGCATTAGAAGGCATCTTCAAGTTAAAAGATTTTCAACAATCAATATTAGATAGTAAAAAAACTTTCATCAGGTTCATTTGGAGTAGTGTTTTTGGGGATCGATTTGTTGACTAAATAAGAAGTGGCAATAAAAGTTGAGAAAGAGGAAAATGAGGAAGTTCGTTCACTTGAAAGGGAAGTGTAGATTCTAAAGAAATTAGATGGAGCAGAGGGATTTCCTAAATATTATTGGTCAGGTGAAGATTAAGGTTATAACATTTTGGTAATATAATTGTTGGGAAAAGACTTAGCTTACCATTTTAAGCAATTAAAGAAATTCTCACTAAAATCAGTGTTAACATTAGGAATATAAGCTATTTAGATTTTAGAGCGATCTCATTAGAAAGGAGTGATTCATAGAGACTTAAAACCAGAAAATATGATTTTAGGGATAGGTAGAGAGATCTCAAAATTATACTTGATAGATTTTGGGATAAGTAAAATATATAGAGATTCTAATGGAAAACATATGTAAGATAGAGAAATTAATAGTTAGATCTTTTAAAGAATAGAAATCTTTTTTAGGAACTACAAGATATGCATCAATAGCAGCTCATTTAGGACATGAATTAGGAAGAAAAGATGATTTAGAGTCATTAATGTATATATTGCTTTACTTTTTACGTGGGTATTAAGTTATTTAGTATAATTAAGATAGTTACCATGGTAGAATATGGTTAATGTTACTGATGATGAAAGAACAAAGAAAGTTGGTGAAATGAAATTATCACTTGAACATGAATTATTTAAGGATTAGACAGGAGAATTTTAAAGAGTATATGAGTAAAGAAATTAATTAGATTTTATAGTTACATTAGAAAATTACAATTTAAATAAGAACCTAATTATAAGATGATCTTATAAGAATTGAAAAGAGCTGCAGATTCTACAAATACTGTTATAGATGGTAATTTTGATTGGACTGAGATTAAGTCATCTACTCATTATCAAACTGATACAAATTAAAATCTTAGTCGAAATAACATTCCACTTAATTCTAATGAAATGAAGAAGTCTATTGAAAAATAATTATCAGGTCTAGTGTAACATGGGTATAATTTAATTATTATTTAGCTCTAATAATCTTTTAGCTCCTCCTCCTGTAGGTTCTGCTCGCAATGCATTCTAAAGAGATGATATTCGAAAGAACTCTAGTCTTACTTAATAAAGCAGCATTAATTATTGCTAATCTCTCAACCCTAATTATTAGAAATCCATTTGTGAAGAACCACTTAATGATGAATAATAGAAATATTACGATTTTGATAGTATTGAAATTAGTGAAAATTAAAAAACAGATAGTTCTCTCCACAACAAATATGATAAAATTAAAATGGGAATTTTTGTGTATTTTATAATACTTATATTTTTAGGCATTTTCTCCCTAAAACAATAAAACTTAAATGAATTTATTTATTATACTGTTCAATCAATATAAATTTTAATCAGAATTTAAATCTTCACAACTATTCTAACTATTTTTATATTTAAAAGACTTATAAAAATTTATTTTTAATATTATTATTATAAAGACATTAAAAATAACTCTATATTTTCTCAATATGCTAATTTATCAAAATTAATAATAAAATTTAAAGGAATTATCAATTTTGATGTTTATTATTTAGATTTAATTAGAAATCACAAAAAAAACAGAAAGAATACTTAACTTATTTTTTTATTAATATGTTAGGTTAATAGACAAATTTATTGACTTAAACAAATAATGATAAAAATGTAGATTTACAAATTTGAAAATAAATATAATTTCTCTAAAAAATGCCAAAAAAAATGATTCAAGTTTTTTAAGGAACAAAATATATCTTAATTATATCATTATTTTTTATGTTCTTCCAAAAAGTCTTAAATAGGTTATGGTGCTCTTTTTTTTTTCAATAAACCAGGATTTGCCTTTATAAGTTCTAATTCAGTAATAGAACATTATAGAATAGCATCAATGGACATTCCGTATACAGACATGAAAAGATCTCCAATCACATATGAGATGATAAAAAATAGTAAAGTTGGTACAATTGGAGAATGGAGTTTATCTTTATAGGTATCAGATGTAGTAATAATCATGTAACATAGAAAAGTGGTTGAAAAAGCTATAAATAATTTACAAAGTGTGCAAAAGACGCTTCCAATTCCTGATGTAACAGCAAATTGACCTGCATTATTCCAAGCCAAATAAAAGCCATTTTTAGCAGCAGTGAGAAAGTTATCTCCTGTTAAGGCAATTTATATAAATGCATTTTTATTTATAAAAGAAATAAATCTTTCAAAACAAGAAGCATAACATCTTAAACAGTCTATAAAACATTTAATAGGTTATTAAGGTTCTCCTTAAAATTATTTCATTTAATAATTTATATACTCTAGCCAAAATCTGATGAATTGTACAATTGCCAATAATAGGGCACCAAAAACTAATGATCCAAAATGATAAATGATGGATCTTTTGACAGATTCCAAAACATAGAAATGAATCAATTGTCCATCGCTGTGTTAATAAAACCTAAAAATTAATAGTAGTTATAAATATACCATAGACAGGCCGAGGATGCTAAAATAAATTATGAAATAGCTTAGAGTAAAGCATTAGTCCATAAACCATAGAAGAGATGATAAATCAAATAATATCGAATATTATCATCCCACTCTACAGTTGCTAAAGGTGTATCACTGCTTCCTTTAACATCTCCCATAGAATATATATAGAAAAACGATATGATCCACAATCCCCAATAACCCATAACAAGAAGAGAGAATACTGGAGGAACCAACATAATTGAAGGTACTTCCATAACAAATAAAGCCGATGTCTTTATTACAGCTATAGCCATTCTTATCCTATTAAAGTAACATAGTAATCCAAATAATGATAATCCACCTATTATACACATTCCTATCATAGAACCTTTCAACCCATAATATGTCTATAAATCTTAATTATCAGTATCAGAAATGCCTTAAGCTGTATTTAAGGCTGCTTTTATCTTACTATTAATATTTATTTAATAATTACTAAGCATTAGCTTTGTCATTGAGATAAATAATGAATAAGACAATACAAACAAAATATAAAAAGATTGCTGTCCATGTTAATGTTCCTGCACAATATCTCATAACTAACATATAAAATAATCCTATTGCAAATGCTATTCCAACAGATGCAAAGATAATTTTATATGTCAATCTTATATCAGCTACCCATTATTCAAATCTTAATATGATTATATTAATTACACTTAAACGGAAGCTATGTCATCCATATTTCCATATATCTTTTCAACATATTATTCCCCTGATGGTATACATAATCTATCTAAAATATTTGTTGAATTATAAATAAAAGTTGAGTAATTAAACAATTTATCAACTGATGGCTCATTTGCATAATTCTCTTTATTTATTAAAAAATTTATATCGAAATCTCTTATATCGTTCACTCCATCATATGAATATCTTTCTGAACAGTTAGTTATAACATTATTCACCACACATTCTAAACTGAAATTCAAATTTATGTTTTACCGATTTGGTTATTTTGTTCCTTATTCCCAATTTGGACATTAAGTAACACATACAGATCTATTTAGATACCCTACTAAAGGTGCTACTAAATAAATATATGGAGCATTAAAAACTCCTTCATCATGTCCACAAGCTCTCCCATTTGGATCATAACTATCATTAATATATTCTATACGCATAACTTAATCTCTCTGGCTTCCCTTAATTAAATCCCATTGAAATTATTACAACAAATGCGACTGTTGCTCCAACAAATAAAATAAAGCAGATTAAATCTGTACAAGAACGGTCTTCTATTGGACCATTAGCTAATTATTCATCTGGAGGATTTCCATGTATTGGTTTATTTTCAACTTCTTTATGAGACATTAGTAGTAAATAATTAGATAGAATAAATAATTATAACTATATACTTAATCAATTTTATGTAACCCATCCTTTTAAGTATGTTTATATCCAAAATTTTAAATTTTTAGTTATATAATAAAAATCAACAATAGTCTCTTAAATTTTTTTGCTAATATATAAATTATACTAGTTATTTTTTCCTTCTTCATTACTCAAAAATAGTATCATAAAGCATCAAAACTATCATATTTTGGTACAATTCCTTAAAAAATAAATAAATGTTATTCTGGAAAATACATATATATATAAATATTAAAATACATTTTATATAAATGATTTCACATCCTCTACCTGAAAGAGTTTTACAAACACCTTTACATCAATTGCCTTATATTGTAAGTCAAATCAATAGTCAAATTCACAAAACATCGCATGATATGACTAAATATTTAGAAGAAAACATCCAAGTCTGCATGGAATAACATAATAAAAAAATTTAACTTCGTAAATAAATCAATAATTCAAACGATTAATATAAAATTTTAGAAAATATTGGAGCTTCATTATAAATGGCAATCTCCAATTTAAAGAGAGAATCTATTGAATAGGATATCTAGCCTTAAGATAGTGAAGAAAAATTAATGAATGCAGTTAAAAACTAAAATTATGATGAAATGATTAAATTTTTTTAAACAATCAAAGATTAGGCTCTTTTAATTAAGTGCTCTAAAATCGCAGCAAATTTATTGGCTACCCCAACCAAAAATTATAAAAATAAAATCAAATAATTTCTTGAGCTTATTGCAAATCATCAATTAATTCCATCTAATATAAAGGATGAAATTATTGAGGTTTGTATCAAAGTTTAAATATAAAAATGTTTTAAAATGTATTTTCAATAAAATGTATGGAATACTAATAAAAATTAAGCCACTTATTATTCAGACATCATTTAGCTTTATCAAAAAAGGTAATAATAGATTATGACCTAGTTTTAATTCAACCTTCAAACTTTTATCAGTATTTAATCTACCAAACTACCATTAAGCACATATAGCCAATAATATTTTTTAGAAGTTTAACTAAAATGTATTAAATCATCTAGTTACTCATGATAACCGAGAGAAATCAATTTCTGTCATTTTAAATTTTAAAGAAGTTTAATCAAATAATTTATTTTATCACTTGACTAATATCTATTGTAAAAATCAATTAATTCCTATTTTGAAACGAGAATTATAAAAGAAAACTCTATTGCTTATTATCAGAAATATATAAGTAAAATAAGATTAAAATCTTTTGGCAATTCTTAATAAAAAAGACCCTTAATTACTATTAGAATGGTGCAAATAGAATAGATAAATTAATTACAATTTGAACTTATTTTAGGCCTTATTTGATACTGAAATGTAATTATCAATTGATATGTTAATGTGATTTTAATTATGTGTAAATTTGTTTAAATATCAAAACTATTACTAATATATATTATATTTATATATAAATTTCATTAAAAAATATATAATTTTATTCGAGTTAATTTTATGTTAATAAAAATTTGAATAAAAATAAATAATATGATTCTAAACAAATGAGCATCCAATTTTGTTTATTTATAGTAGAAAATAAATAATATGTTTCAAATATGATATAATTTTTTTCACCTTAGCGATATTAACTATAAATAACAGAGCAGCTATTATATATTAAGACAATTTTAAATATTCAATATTAAAATGGATTTGCAATCGAATTTTAGTAAAAGAATATCTGATAAAAATGGATTTCAGTTATATGTAGAGAGAGCAAAGAATTTAATTTTTACTGTGGCCTCTTAATTATTATATGAGGATAAATAACCTTTAATGTGGAACTGTCTAGCTATTGTTATCTAATATTTTTAGCTGACTTATTTACTATTTAATTCTAAGATTTAGAATATATGGAAAAATCAACCTGTATCAGATGCTATCAACTATTTTCTTTCGTATTAAATTTATTAAGAAATTTTAGGTGTTTCCTTCTTTCTCCATATACTTTATAAAATTACTCATTGTTTATTATTTTACTCTATCTTTGTATTGGAATTTTGACTTTATCAATAATGTTAACTTTTTTTTTAGGATTAAGGCTCAATAAAAAGAAATAAGAAAATAATAGGATTAAAAAAGCCTTAAAGATATTCATTAATTTATTCCTATCAATCCTTTATTTACCAATTCTTGATGTATTTATATCAATAATAGATTGTGATTTTGATAAAAATGGAATTTATGTACATAATTAATTTTAAGAATAAAAATGTTGGATTGATACACACATTCTACATGGGATAGTAGCAATATTATTTACAATTATATTCTATTGCTATTGCTTTTTTTTTGCCTTTTTATATTATGAATCAAAATATGAACCAACAAACCCAAATTCAAAGATGAGTGGAAGACCATTAATTATGTTTTTTACATATGAACTATTTTAAACAATTATTCAAAAATTGTTTAATGGAAAAGACAACTAATTCTTCTAGATTTTTTGTCTTTTGGGAGGAAGTTTAATAATATTCTAGAAATTTCATACAGAATAACCTTACAATCATAAAATAATATAAAAATTTTGGTCAATTTCTGTTATTTTGAATGTATGGGGAACATTATTACTTTTTTGTTCTTTGTTTTTAGAGAAGGTTATTTTTAGTGGGATTATTTATGCATTCATTTCTGGATTACCATTACTTGTATTTACAATTTTTAAAATGGAAAAATTACATTTTGATTTACTATTAATTAATCACTCAAAGGTAACAGATGTTCAAGAAATAATTAATCAAACTAATTATTTAATTAAATTGTTAAATTTCATTAAGAAAGATAGTGACACTTAAATAATAGTTGATGGATACTTAGAAATTCATAGAGTAACTTGTGTAAGGGAAGACTGTTATCTCAAAATTAAAAATTAACCAAATATTAGATTGACTAATTCCTTATTAAGAGATTCAACTTTAACAGAAAGAGAAACAGATTTAATATTTGTATTAGGATAAATTTATTATAATTAAATTAAAAAATTCCCAGAATCAATTACTTTACGGATAAGATACTCATTCTTATTGTCTGATTATATGAGATAATTGTAATAAGCATTTAATGAACTCACTTAAACAGAATAGATGAGTCCTTCTTTTGATGAAGAATTTGTAATTTTAAGAAAGAAATTTATAATTTAACAATAATTAGATTCTTTTTAAAATGAAAACTTTGGTAAAGTTGATGTTGCTTCAGAAATAGCTTTTCAAAATAATTATAGATCATTACTTTAATATATTGAACAAACTACTTTATCTCAAATGGAATTTTGGTCAATATTATAAGAGGATTTTCCAGATCTTGCTAAAGTATATTAAATTGGTTAGAAAATAAACAAATTATTAAATTTGATTGATATATTATGGATTAAAATATAGAAAGCTACTTCCAATATATTTAAGGCAATGAGATTATATGGTTAATTCATAAACGATGTATTGTAGGATGAAGAATATGGATAACAGTTATTAAAAAAGTCAGATTTATACTAATAATAAGTTTAATAAAGAAAGAAGCAAATCATTCAGTTTATAGCTGGCGATGATTTAGGATTTGAATAACAAGCTACTGTTATAGTATCCACATCTATTGAAAAGTTTGCTTTAGTAATAACACTCAATTAATCTTGTTGCCATCTTATTGGATATACTAAATAAGAAATCATCAACAGAAAAATAAATTTATTTATGCCAAATTTATTTCAGAAGTTTCATGATTAGTATATTGAGAGATTTCTTCTTACAAGCGACATAAAAAATATTAATAAAGATAGATTTATATTCCTGAAGGATAAATAAAATTATATATTGCCTTGTTATATTGTTTTAAGAATATTACATACTATAGATGAAAATGTAAATTTGGCAGCATAATTTATTACTGTCAAGGCTTTTAAACCCACTTGTTATTTAATAATCGATTAAGATTACATTATAGACTCTATATCAGCTACTACAATTTAATTATTAGGAATGGAAAATAAATTAGTAATAAATAAATAATTAAGATTTGATTTGTTATTTCCTGAATTCATTGAAAATATTTCTATTTATAAAACTAAGTTTGGAGGAAAAATAAAATATGTACAAGATAATTTTGTAAAATAATTTTAATAGAATAATTAAAATATAATTTATAAGGAACAAGAGTTTAACTGCATCCTTAAAGAAATAGTAAATATTACTAAAAATGAAGTAATGGGATATTACATTAAATTAGAATTATGTGAATAAGTATATTAAAATTAAAGTTTTGATGAACTTTTATAACCATAAAAATAAGGTTAGTAGATTTTATAAAGTCTATAATTTAAATATATTGTAAATTAGAAATTATATTTGGGTGAATTCGTTGATGAGAATTTAACAAAGTTATCTTAAAGCATTTTATGGGATCAAATTGAATAATCTTCATTAGGTTCATCCAATTAAATGAATAATGAAACTACTCATTAGGAATCATTAAGACGACGAACAATTAGATTATCAGATCATGATAAACCTATAATAAATTATGCTGAAAATATTAGGGTTCTTCGTCTATTTTAAAATTAGATATAAGAAATAGATGATAAAGATAATATTATATCTGATGATGATGAAAAAGAAAGTGTATTCTAGTCATAACAACATTTGAATCCAATAAATGATTAAGANGTATCCACATCTATTGAAAAGTTTGCTTTAGTAATAACACTCAATTAATCTTGTTGCCATCTTATTGGATATACTAAATAAGAAATCATCAACAGAAAAATAAATTTATTTATGCCAAATTTATTTCAGAAGTTTCATGATTAGTATATTGAGAGATTTCTTCTTACAAGCGACATAAAAAATATTAATAAAGATAGATTTATATTCCTGAAGGATAAATAAAATTATATATTGCCTTGTTATATTGTTTTAAGAATATTACATACTATAGATGAAAATGTAAATTTGGCAGCATAATTTATTACTGTCAAGGCTTTTAAACCCACTTGTTATTTAATAATCGATTAAGATTACATTATAGACTCTATATCAGCTACTACAATTTAATTATTAGGAATGGAAAATAAATTAGTAATAAATAAATAATTAAGATTTGATTTGTTATTTCCTGAATTCATTGAAAATATTTCTATTTATAAAACTAAGTTTGGAGGAAAAATAAAATATGTACAAGATAATTTTGTAAAATAATTTTAATAGAATAATTAAAATATAATTTATAAGGAACAAGAGTTTAACTGCATCCTTAAAGAAATAGTAAATATTACTAAAAATGAAGTAATGGGATATTACATTAAATTAGAATTATGTGAATAAGTATATTAAAATTAAAGTTTTGATGAACTTTTATAACCATAAAAATAAGGTTAGTAGATTTTATAAAGTCTATAATTTAAATATATTGTAAATTAGAAATTATATTTGGGTGAATTCGTTGATGAGAATTTAACAAAGTTATCTTAAAGCATTTTATGGGATCAAATTGAATAATCTTCATTAGGTTCATCCAATTAAATGAATAATGAAACTACTCATTAGGAATCATTAAGACGACGAACAATTAGATTATCAGATCATGATAAACCTATAATAAATTATGCTGAAAATATTAGGGTTCTTCGTCTATTTTAAAATTAGATATAAGAAATAGATGATAAAGATAATATTATATCTGATGATGATGAAAAAGAAAGTGTATTCTAGTCATAACAACATTTGAATCCAATAAATGATTAAGAACAAATTGAAAATAACATTTTTCGTTCTAGAAAAAATTTAGAAAATATTATCACATCGACTTCAACGCCTAGAGTTATAATAAAAGTTAAATGGATTAGTAACATTATTATAATAATAATACTTATACTATCATTTATAGATTACTTTATTGCCATTAACTAAACTGATGAAATCTTTAATACAATATTATTGGTTAGAGATGGAAATTTCAGAAATAGTGAATTGGGTATTATTTTAAGTTCCATTTTTAATTTATAGTTATTAAATAGGAATGTATTTAATCTAACAGTAAATCAAGCTAAAATTTATGAATTAGAATAAAGAAAGATTATTAATGATTCCATTAACAATGTTAATATATTAAATCAAGATATCGTTTCAAAGGCAAATAATTTAGCACCTCAAAATTATTAATTTGAATTTATATTAAAGAATGTGAAAATTCAGCTTAATGATTAAGGTTAGATTGAATATTATGATTTAAACTAAGCTATTTAATAAATACTTAGTAAATCATTGGCTATTAGAGATAAGGAGTTAGATTTTATAAGTTATTTAGATTCGGATGTTAATTTTGTAGTAAGTAATTGGTTAAATAATTTATAATATTCATTAAAGGAATCCTTAAATAATTTAATTGAAAATTTAATAAAAAAAACAATGGAAAAAATTAGTATTTTTGTAGTTTTATTGATTGTTTCTATTTCCACAATTAGCATTGGACTTTTTCTATTAATAATTGCACTTTTATCTGTCTCTCGTTCCTAAAGTGATATAGTAAGTTTATTCTTGGATATTCCTGATAAAACGATAAGATATTTATATCATAAAAGTGAAAATTTCCTTACAAATCTTCAAATAGGAGAGGATGATGATTTAATATCTGAGAATGATGAAACAATAGATAAAGAAGAAAATGCTTAATTATAAAAGACTTTGAAATCTAAAAGAACCAAAAAAAAGTACAAAAATGCAAATAAAGAATACAATTACTTTATCTATATAATAACTTTCATTTTAATAATAATATAAGGTTATTTTATTCTCACATATTTCTTAAGTGGAGATACAATTAAATATATTCATTATCTTAGTGGAGAATATAATTTAACAGCTAGAACTGAACAATTTTATAGATTTTCAGAGATTTGTTAGAGATCTTTATTTTATAATCGTAATATGAGAATACTTGAAAAAGAGTCTTATGATGCTATTGTAGATAATTAGGATGAATTATACATTCATAATTCATATATGTAATAACTTCATTCATAAAATATTGATTTATTATAATAGAATTATGTGGATGCATTTAATGAATTATATATTGATGATCCTTGTCCAATAGTTATTGAATAAGTAAAGTCAATTGATGCAGAATCTTGTTCTTTATTAATGGATAGTGGTTTTTCATAAGGTTTAAATGTTGGTGTTCCTAGATTCTTTGAAAATTTAAGATATTTAAGAACTATTTATGATTAACTCTATAATAATCCGAAAGCTAATTTTACATTTCTGGCTAGAGGTTATGGAATATTTAGAAATATTACAGAAGATAATGATAATAGTACAAATTTCATTTTAAATCTTAATAATTTCTAGCATGCCAAAGAAAACCGAGAGATATAACATCATTATTTTAAAAGTAATTAAATATTTAATATTAAGGTATTTTTAGATATCTAACAAATTAATTTATTTAAGGACTGAATAATTAATTGGATAATTTAAAATTATAGAGATTAGCAATTTTTATATTTTTTTAAGTTTTACTTTTTGTGATTTATTTTTTATTATGGCTACCTTTAGCTTTAAAAATAACAAAAGATATATGGAGTACTAGAGCAATGATATTGATGATCCCTTTAAAAATAATATTAAGGATTAGATCTATAAAAGATTATATAAGAAATTAAATATAAGAAGGTGATTAGGATCCTTGAAAGTTTATTATATTATTTATATAATGGAATTTTTGAATATTATGAATATTTAAAATCATTAATCATTAAGGATTGATAGATTTTTTACTTATTATTATTTAAGCAACATTTCCAACTAATTAATTTAATCAAATGTCTTAGCATTTTCAAGTAATTTCTTAATATGATCTTTATCTATTGTGGCATCTTTTAAGTTAACCAAATTCATATAATCTGTCAATTCATCTGGCTTAAACGATTCTATTGCTTTTTCACGTTCCTAAAACATAAATAAAGAGGATTAACTGCCAAAGTCACTTTATTGAAATCTAAAACTTTAAGATTTGGTAAAATGGCTATAACTTTATAGCGATAATCAGGTTGTTGAGTGATCAGATTACCATGCAAAATCAAGCGCTTTAACTTTTTGCAATTTCTTAATTAATACATTTCATTAATGTCTGTAAGTCTATTGTTCATCAGAATTAAGTTTTCAATGTTGGGTAATGAGTCTGAAATATCAGTCAATTTTGTGATTCTATTATTGGATAGGTTTAAAGTTTTTAATCTGAAGATACAATATTATTGTTTACCTTTTTAATAATGTAAGATTTCCTAATTTTTTGATATCATTATCACCTAAATCAATATGATCAAAAAAGTCCTTGAATAATAAATACAGATACCAAAGTAGCTCCTAGATTTTCAATGGCTGTGATTTTTTTGGCTATGAATGTTATTAGATATGAGAATACCTCTTAAATCTAGTTATCGTTCATTTAATGGATTAATGAAATGGTGAGACCCTTGAATTAATTCAGAATTAATTTTCATTAATTATATAAATTAATATTTAATCAACTTTGAATATCTAAAAAAAAATGCAAAAATTTGATTAATTACTTTTAACATCTAAATATTGAGAAGATCAACATTTACAATCTAAACTGAATAAAAGCAATCCATTCATGATGAAAATATTTTATTTATTTTAATCTATTCAGGTATTTTATTCCAAGTTTTCTATTGAAATAAAAGATACTATTTACCCATAAAATAAGGATTATGTATTAATGAATATCAACAAACAATCGTTCTAATTTTTTATAGCTTACTTTTATTTGCAATTTAAATAAATAGAAAAATTCTTTTTCTATCATCATTTAAAACATTAATGTAGTGTATTTGTTATTTATAAAGCCCTTTTGAAAATTCAATAATTAAATTCTAAATTATTATGCTCATGGAATGTTTATCGGTGCTAATAAAAATACCTACTGAAAATAAGATAGACTTATTTTATTATATCCTTTAAATTGTAAAAATAATCTATGCATTCATTTTAGACATATAATTAATTAAACTGGATTTTATTTTCTATATCTGAGAGAAATCTTCATCAAGTTCTTATTACTATTTCAACTTAATCAATTAGTCAACTTTAATATCTTTGAATAATTTTTTATTTTACTATCATCTCAATTTCTTTGACTATTCATTAAATGAATATGTATTAAGTTCTTTGTTGTATTTTGTATAGATTTAGTAAACCTATCTTTTTCAATAGTTTTTTTTAAATCATCTTTTCTTTACTATGTTTTTAAAGAACCTTAGAATTATAATTAGAATGTAATTAGAATATAATCTTAGAAACAATTATGGGAAAAGTAATATCCATATTCTATAATAAATATTTAATTATAACTTACTAAATAGTATATTGGAAAAAATCCACATTATGCGCACTATTTAGTCTATTTATGTTTTACATAATTTTTAATTAAATAAAATTAATAAAATCATTTCATGTTTTTTAAGTAAAATGTTCAATAAATTGTAGTTTTGGTCGATTCTTTGGATTTGGTATGCAATCAAAATTAGATGCCTTACTTAAATAAGATAATTTAACATTAGAAACAATTTTAAATGAAGATGACATATTATAGGAACTAAAAATGTCAAGTTCAGGAAAATTTGCTGATTTGTAAAAATTTAAATAATATTTCAAGCATAATCTCTCACCCAGATGAATTTAAAAAAATGATTCATTACATAATTGATGATGTTTAACCAGAGGAAGAGGATAAACAAAAATACATAAAGTAATTTTGATTATTAGATAATTAGATTTTAATTTATCATAAGTGAAGTATTTGGCTCTGAAAATGAGAAACTTATTAATTATTTATTAGACAAGCCAAATGAAAATAATTAAGAGGAAATATAAAATCCTCTTGAAGATTAATAAATTGAATCATAACCAACTCAAGAATAAGGAAATAAAAAATAAAATTATAATCCTTTAATTGATGAATTCCTAACTGTTTTACAAAATGATACATTAATAGTCACCACAGCTGGTTATATCAATAAGATTATTGGAGCCATTATTCATCGAAGAGGATATGATGTATAAGTCTATTACATTTATAATAGTTTTGGGAGTATATAACATATAATTAAACTATAATTAAACTTCTATTTAAGCATGCTGAACTCAAACATATTTCTGAAATTATAGAAAAGCTACTAATTTTAGATACTAATCAAGAAGAAGAAAATGATAATAGGTAATTTATCAAGGAAAGATCTGAATTAATTATAAGAACATAAAAGTTCTTAACTAATAATTCCCATTCTAATGTTATTGTTTCAAATATATGTGATATATTCATTGAACTTTACAAAAGAGTATTAATATCATTAGAAACTATGCCACATTTAAGAGAAATTATACTTAATATTCCTAAGCCATAATATTTAATGAATCTTGCTATTTAAACATAAAATACATCTGTTTATAATTTGTTGAACATTCAATATGAGTTTTATTCTAAAATTGAATAATTAGAAGATGGAAAGTATGCTGTTGACTTTTAATTCCTTTATTCAAGTTTAATTTCGCTTTTACCATAAGCTTTAATTCAATAAGATCTCTTTAAAGTTGCCTTTTAAACTTCGAATGGAGATTATTAATTTCCACTTGGTGATGCTAAACTATCATTAATATCTTTCATTATATAACTTTTTTAAAGATAAGAAATTGTAGAAGAGATTAATTAATTTATTATTTTTTAAAATATCTTAGATTTAATAATAAAATATTCCTACAATAATTAATTATAAATCTTATTTGAAAAACTAGTAACTATTATTATACAAGGTAATAATTCTCATTTATAAAATGTCTTTTTTTAAGATTAAATTATTTTTAAATTCTTAATAAAATATAATGGAATAGAAGGAAGAAAATAAAAACCAGCTTATTAAGGAATATTAACTAAAATTACTAATTATTTGAATTCTAATATAAATCAATCAGATTAATTACAAACTTCTATTAATTTAATAATGGAAGAATGGAAAATTTATATAGATGAATTAAGTGAAGTAAACTAAAAAGAATTAAATTGGATGTGTGGAGTCAATCCAAGAATAAAGGAACCAATAAATATGGAATCATCAAGTCCTTTTATGCCTGATCCATTAATTCCATATTAAGGAATAAGAAAAATAGAAAGTAATGAAGAAAATTCAATTAATTAAGATAAAAATGATATCAATTAAGTTGAACAAGATGATAAATAAAATAATGATATATAATCTGATAAATAAGATGAATTACATTAACCTAATGAATAAGAAGAATTACATTAACCTAATGAATAAGAAGAATTACATTTACCTAATGAATAAGAAGAATTACATTTACCTGATGAATAAGATGAATTACATTAACCTGATAAATAAGATGAATTACATTAACCTAATGAATAAGAAGAATTACATTAACCTGATAGAAAAGATGAATTACATTAACCTAATGACACAGATGAATTACATTAAATTGATCATTTACCCCAATCTGTTGATATTCCAAATACTAATTAAAATGCTGAAAATCTTTAAGAAATTGTAGAAAATTAAGTAAATTAAACTACAGAAGTCATAACTTAAGAACTTAATTAATAGCAAGAAAAATTAAATCAAGAACCAGAACCTACAGAATTAATTGATTAAAATTAATAACCAAATTAAAATTTGAGATAAAATGATTAAGAAAATTAATAAGATTTAGGTGAACCTGAGCCTTAGTAGCAAAACAAAAATTATTAATAAGAACCTTAGACAGAACCTAATGTTGCCTAAAATGCTCTAGAATCTAATTCTTAATAATAATAATAAGATGAGATTTGAAATAATATTATTATTAATATTATATTCTTTGTTATTTATTATCTATGATCTTTTTAATATTACTTTAAAAAGTTCTATTAAAATAGAAAATATTATTATTTAGTTTATATAAAACTATTCATAAAATAATCATTCCTAAGGATTTTATAAAATAAATCCACAATATTAATAGAACATTAATACTGTGAGTATATATTATTATTACAATTAATACAATTTTTATAATTAATTATGCTGTTCTTTAAACCTAAATATTCTGCATTTTTTAGTGAGATTATAACTAAAAAATAATTCAAGAAATGCTGTAGATATAATTAAGATGGAAAACCATTATCACCAATTCAAGTATAAGTATTATATGAAACGATGAAACCTATGATTGAAGGTATATTTATTTGAATTAATAATTTATTAGGATGGAAAGTAACTGATTTAAGGTTGTATAAATATTTCTATACTGAAGATTACTTATCTGGAATATAATTCATAAAAGATGTTTCGAAAATAGATGCACTTTCAACTAAAAATTGTCCAAGTGTACATTTAGTAGGAGGAGAGTTACTAACATTAGAATTGTAATAATTAAATATATGAAGATTTTCTCCTTCTTTGAATGGTCTTTCTTAAGTTGATTTTGATTTAGCAATGAGAATAAATCAAATGAACTTTAATGAATATTTCCTAATTCCATTAGAAAGTCTAGAAAATTATAAAAAAGAAGTTTAAGCCTATAAATTGAAAAAACAAGCAGAATAAATATAATAAGAACTTGCATCAACTTAAAAGTGAACATATTATGTGATTATTATAATTGATATAATGAATGTCTCAAATATGTTAAACTTTGGCAACTCTATAATAGAGTCTATATTCTGGAACTGTAAATCTTGTTGTAGCAAAAACAAATGCACCAATAATTCCTAAATATGTTGCTTAAGCAAACCAAGTGTTATGAATTTTCATTTATATTATTTTAAATAATATCTAATTTTAATTTATATCACTTTAATGAATGCAAAATAAATTTAATAAATCTATCAGCATAACTTTCAGGAGGAATGCACGAAACATCTTTACTAACAAATGTACTTTTCACTTTATGTTCCAATTATTTTTTATTGTTATATTCAGTAAAAATATCTATAATACCAAAATAATATAATTTATTTTAATCCCTAGTTATACATCCTCCATTCCATCTTTCATAAAATCGACATTGCAATTAAACATCTTCATTACTAAATTTATAATTATCTATTATTCCTATTAAAAAACTATAATCAATGATTTTATTTTATTTAAAGAAATTCACATCTTTTATTAATTAAGTTTTAAATATTTCTAAAGTTTTTTAATCAAATTATATTGATTGTTTATCTTCTAACCAATCTAGATCTTTTAATGGAATATTATGATCAAGTGATTATTAACCTTTGATCCTTGAAGTTCTCTAATATAGAGAACCTTTTAAATCATATCTAAAATTTATATCCTCATTAGTATAAAATATATTTAACATTACAACAAAGTATATTTTTTAATATTTTGTTTTACTTTTATTAACTTTAATTTAATAAAGTCCAAAAATCTTAATAATCATTGAATGATAATTATCTAATAAATGTTAATAGTAATTTTTAATTAGACTTTTAAAGAAGATAAATTCATCTTTTTAGATAGTTTTTAACATATATTTGTCATCAAAAGAATAATAAAAAAAACTACCACTTTTACCACTTGAAACTTTTTCTGTTAATGATGCTAAATTACCAAAGATTAAATCTCCTAATAATTATTCAGGTCCTATTGATCTTAAAAAATCATCATTAGATATTCCATACATTTTTCTTATTCTTTCAAAAATTAAAGGAGAATATTCATAAAATTAACACGATTTCTTCCAATCAAATTCCCTTAATAATAAAATATCATACTTAAGTTCTTTTTGGAATAATTTCAAACTAGTTTTTTACTTCAAAATGAGCTGCTGTAATTAAAATATCATCAGTTAAAGGATGTAATGATTTTATAGCTTTTCTTATTCCAAGCATCATATTTAAAACCAAATTCCAATTCTCATGTCCAAAATAAATAGATAAATTTTTTCGAACATTTTCTTATGGTTATTATATCTCATCAATAGTTTAATTTATAGATATTGGAGAAGGTGATCGAGATTATTTTTTAAACTATTTTATAACACTTTATTCTGGAATTTTAGGTACAATTTATTAGCTATTCAATTTTTTAATGTCTTCAGTTAATTTTAATAAATTTCTTAATCTATTCATAATATTATTTTAGAATCTATCATTATTAATAGTTGAAGTCATATTCTATTATTTATAATATGGTTCTTCATTTTATTCAGGATCATCATCTCCATACAATTTCTAAACTTAACCATCATTAAATATTGGACCATGTGTTTTTTATGATTTATCCTCAAAATAAAATGAAGCTAAAAAATTGATTTATTTTTATTATTATTCCTTATCCTTTTCTTATTTAATTAATTCACTACATCCCTCTAATTCTTATTGTAATATTTTTAATTGACTATTCAATATATCTTATGGACTTTATTCATCTAATTAACGATTTATTAATGTCATTCTTTTTTTTCTTGATTTATTTTTAGTTACATTCTCCCATTCTTCTTTTATTTTATTTGTGCTCATATCTTCATTGTTTAAAAATTCGTACCATCCAATCAATTCTACTCCTTCTTAATAAACTACTCTAAATTCTTCAAATTATACTATTCCATCATCATCATTATCAAATATTCTAAATATTTCAGATACTAATTCTTTTTTAGGCATTGACTTTGAACCTGTAATTGAATTCCATAAGTAACAAATCTCAAATATCATTTTCTCCATATCTTCTATTTCTAAAATACTCTTATTATCTATCTATTTAGCTTTCTCAAATTACTTGATAACATTCCAAAACTCCATAAAGCTTTATCAATTGTAGAACCATTTAAAAGCATACTCAAATATTTAACAAAATCTTCAAACATTATTACTCCATCTTTATTTCCATCAATTTAATTAAATATTCTTTCTGCTAAAAATTGTTCTATTCCCAATATTCCCAAAGAATCTCTAAATTATTATTTTGTCATCATTCCTCTCTCACAAAGTCTATCAAAACGATTTTTCAACATAATTATTTCTTCTTGAGTAAATGAATACTATTTTGCTAAACTTGGAAGCATTATTTATTTAAATAATAACAATAATAATAAATAGATAAATAAATAAAAAATAAATCAAATTTTATTTCTTAAACCTTATTTCCTAGCTAATTTTATTCTTCTATTCTATCTTGGTAATCTTCTTCTTCCTGCATTTGGTTAAATTACTTAAGCAGTCTCTACAGTCTCTTTTATTGTTCTAGTTACTCTTGGTCCAAATTTCTTTTATAATTTCTTATTTATTCTCATCATCTTTATTTAATCAATGCTCTTATTGTTTATTTATACTCTTTTACTTTATACTTTCATCTAATCAAAATTAATTATGAATTTTTCATATAAAATATACTTTTAAATCCAAAAAATTTCAAATTCTGATGTAGTTTGATCATTTGATTAAACTACATTAGAATATATTAATCAGAATAATATCAAATTTTATTTTTAACTTAATTTATTGAAAAAAAATTATATTTTAATATTTCTGATATATTTCTATTGGTATATTATATAAATTATATAATATTTTTTTATTATTTATAATTAATTTATATAAATAATTATTAATATAGATGTAGATTTTATTTTATTCATCATTCTGTTTTAAAATGCCTTTTTCTTTTACTTAATTTTTTTTTTATTTAATATATTTTTTCTATTTCCATTTATTATTAAAGTATATCTTTAATTTTAGTTTTCACCTAATTTCGGTTTTACATCAACATACATATTTTCTGCAAATTTTATTACCAAATGTAGAAATGGATTTCAATCTTATTAAAATGTTCAAATTGTATTAAAAATAAGATCTTTAAATATCGCTAAATTTTGATCATATTCTTTAAGCAATTTTGATTGTTATTGATCGATCAGTAGAAAATAGTTTTCCTTTTATTCATTTGAAATTTAAGTTTGAAATATTTTATTAGTTTATTTTCTGATTAAGAGAAAATTTTCTCTGCTAATTTTCTCTCGTTATATTTTTAAACATCAAATTTAATATTTAAATGTTTCATATATATCTTTTCATAAACTTTTAATTAAGTCATCATATATAATTAAACCTAATAATAGATGCTTTAATAAGTGCAATATTATGTATATATTTAGTGGCAGAAGAATATAATTAGAAAATTTAAAGATTTTTTTTAGTATTTTTTTTCAAAATGAATATAAAGAACTTAAAATTAAAGTATAATAAAATTACAATAAGTCATTAATTTGACTGAAGAAATCTTGAAATTTATTATTTATTTATAATTGAATCAATATAGATTTAAAATTAGATATTGATATTCACAATAAGATGATTAACATTATAATTTTTATTCAATATCATTATCATTTCAATTTTTTTAAATTATTATTATTATTGTTCAAATTACTCTTTGATTAATATAACTATTGTCTATCATTTTAATCATTTAATTCAGTTATCCAAGGTACTATATCCTCTTCATCTAAGGCATTCTCTTATTATTTATTTAGATGTTCCTTCATATCATCATCATTTTATTCTTCTAACAAAGGAGATTTAATTTACTATTAATTAACTCTTATTTAATCCATTTCAAACTTTTTATATTTCTTTTCAAATAATTATTAATCAATAAAAGCTTAATCTACCTATTTTGTAACATCCTATTCATAGTTATTAATCAATTATTCAATTTTTCTCTTAATTTTTTGTTCCAAAGAATCATATTTAATCTAAGAATTATATTATTATAGTACCTTTATATAATTTTTTACTTTTACTATTTCATCATATAAATTACTCAATAAACTTATTTAAACATCCTACTTAACGCCAAATCTTGATAATAATATAAAATAACATTCTTAAATCAATTAATAATTAATACTTGCTTCCTTATCATATTTAGCTTAATAAACACCGAATTCTCCTTTATATTTAAAACTCAAAGGTGGTTCTTAAGGTTTTGCTTTAGGATCATCAGGATCTTGAACTTTCTTCAAAATTTCTTTTTCTAATTTATTTCTTTCAGATGACCATGTCCTATCTATAGGGAATCCTCTCCTAATAAACATGAAGAAAAATTGTCTATTGTAATCATACATCATGAAACACCTAAATATCCTGACCAATATTTCTGAACTGAAATCTTTCGTTGTATTAAATCCATGTTTTAAGGTCTTAAATCATAAAATTACATTTACTGCTTAACTTTAGAAAATGTTTTAATTTGAACTAAAAAGATTACCAGAATTTGAATTAAATATTACTTAATCTTAATCAATTACTTAGTCTTAAATAATCTTGGTTTCTTTTTATAATAGATTTTCACAATCTTTGATTAAATATTCAATTGCTTTCTATTTTTAATTTTGAATTCCTTCCACCGATATCTAATTTAGAATTAATGATGTACTTCATTATAATTTGGCATTTCTTATATATGTTTAGAGATTTTATTTAAAATCTTCTTTTATTATTCTTCACCCAATTCAGGATTAGAAAGTAAAGTAAAATAGTATTCTTTAATATTATATATTTAAATTACTTTTAGAAGGATCATATTAACAGATGAAACATCCTAAAGTTGATCTAAACATAAAAAATAAAGGTGGTTCGACTTTGATTTCATTAAGTTTTGGATTTAATTCTAGGAATATTGAATTTAGTTTTGTAGTAAGGAATAACTTATCACCAGAAACTAAATAAAACTAATCCTTTTAACAATCGTATAATGTAAAGCATCTAATAAGTGACATATTAAGGATGATAAAAAATAATTAGATTATATAATTAAATATAATATTTGTTATTTGAAAGCGAGGCTAGTATCAAATACTGGTTATATAATATACAAATGATTAATGAAGATAATTTATTGATCAATAAATTATATAAATAAATTATAGCTTAATTATGTATTACATAGTAATAATTTGGTAAATTGTTGTCTGATATTTTTCTTTTTTCATTCATTTAACTTAAAAGAAGTATTATTATTGAGGATTATTTAAATATAAATAAAATTATCATATTATTTTAAGATTTCTTAACCTTTCTTTGAAATTACTATTAATGGTAAATAATTTAACTGAATTTTAGAATTTTACTGCTTAATTAAAGACATTCAACTTCTAAAAATCTAAATATTATGTAGGTTTATGAAAAGCAGATAATATAAACTAATTCCATTAATTTACAGGAATACGTTTGCTTAGAATTTCTTTATATAAAATACAAATAGGAACTTTTTGAGCAGGATCATTATTAGATAATTATGCTTTAAAATTCAAGCATTTTGAATAAAATAGCCTCTAGTGATTACTAGGATTTTCATTATCAGTAATTCCATCAGGTTCTTCTTTACAATATGAACTAGACATTTTAGTTAAAATTTCTGATTTTATTTCACAATCAGATTGTTTTTAATTTTAACCAGAGAATTTTGTTATTTATGTTTTTCTAAATATTTCAGGTGATCTTAAACAGTTATCTCTAGTTGAATACAAATAACCATGAGATTATTATGGTTATTCTTTCACTTCCTAATTTTTAAAGAGTTTAAATGATTATTAATCGAATTCATCAATGTTCTTTTTTTATTTAATGTTTACCAATTAATGCTTTTCTTTTAAAAGAGATTTCAAATTCTATTACTTAACTAATGCTAAAGAATGCAATCTTTCTAAAAATAATTGAACTAGTAGCTCTCCTTTATAAGACTCAGTTAACATTTTAATTTCTTCTGAAATATCTTATAGTTTTCTGAATTCTTTGTCATCAAGGTTTTGCAATTTTAGAAGTTAGGTGGAAAGCTCTTCTGCTCTCATTAGATATTTTTTATTGTTTGTATTAGTCTCTGTTTTAGATTAGATTATTATTGATTATCTTATTTTTTTGAGCTTAATTTCTGTTTCCTCAATAGATGTTAAATCTTTGATTTAAGAACTTTGAGTATATGAATTAGCTTGACATATTAATGTATGTTTATCAACATCAGCTGCTGGAATAAAGGAATCACAATTTATACAAGGAATCGAAAAGTTTATGAAAGTATTGTTTTTATTTATGTATTCACTTTTAGAACTCTTATGAGATAATAGATAGGATTAAGTTTATTTGTTTTTCATTATATTATTTAATGATTTATCATTACTTTTAATGATTTTTATTTTGATATTCATTTTTAAAATAAAATCTAATTAAATTGGATAAAAAACAATAATAAAATTTTGAATATTTGATTATTTAGTTCATAATATTATTAATTACAATCGTCTATCAACCAATATATATATCATGCTACCATGTTCCAATAATTTAATTTTTGTTCTGATATTCAAATTATCCTTTACCATGTGCTTAATCACAAGAAAAATTTCCCATAAATTTAGATCCATCAGAAAAGTATAGAACTCCAATTCCATGTTTTTAACCTTATTTCATTTATCCTTTATACTGAACCCAATCTTTTCTTGCCAAATTTTAATGAATTTACTAATTCTCTTCTTATGGTTAATTATATAAAATAACATCTCCTTCAGGAATGTCAAAAACCCACATTCCTTCAGTAACTTTTTAATTATCAGAGCTATAATAAATTCCAACACCATGTCTTCTTCTATTACATATCTAACCTATATAATAAAATCCATTTGAATAATGTAATTTTCCTTATGAGACTATCATAGCATTATCGAAAGTAATTTTATTTTCACTTTTTTATTCTTTTATAGATGCTTAGCTAATATCATTTTATTTAGTTTTTTATGATTCATTTCTCTAATGTTACGTAATTTATTATGATTTTTAATTTAAATTTTATGTAGAAACAGGAATTGATTCTTATGCTGATTTTGCTTGATAAATATTCTCATTTAGAATTTGGTTATTAAAATTAGAAGGTTTATCAATAGGAGCAATAAAAAAATCATGTACTTAATATTTTTCTAATAAACGATTCTTTTATAGATCTTAGAATAATTTACTGACCAAATCATTTAATTCTATAAAATCTGGTCTATTATTTTCATCTATAGTTAACATTAATTCTATTAAATGTAATAGATTTTCATCGAAATTCGTTACAATTAGATCATCTTAAGCTTTTCTTAAAGCAAAATCATCTACTATCCATTTTTTCCAATCATAGATTTCAGGTTATTTCCCTTATATTAAGTAAATTAAAATAAGAGCAAAATTGAATACATCTGATTTATATCTATTATGTTTAAGATACTATAAATAATGAAAAAAATTATTTACTTTATCTTTTTTTGGAATGGCTTCTATTTGAGCTGGTGATAAAAAGGCTGTTTTTTTTAATTCATTTAAAGCTAAAAGGATTTAGATGAAATTTAAATACTTTATTTATCATCAAAAAGTTAAATGAATTCCTAAAATAAATTAGATCGAATTGGTTTTTAGTACCTGTCAACTAACTTATAAATTTCAATATTAAATGGTGTTTTAACAGTTACAATATCATCAATATCAAATCCAGATGGATAAATTTTATTTTATTATTGAAATGCAAGACCTGAGACTACACAATCCATTAAAAACAAAATTTCATTTTATGAAAATGGTTATTTCATAATGACTTTTTTATGTCTTGTTAATGGTTGAATAGGTTTATCTATTAGTAATATAATATCAGTATAAGGAATAAATATTTTGATTGATTCAACAATAGAAACATTATGAATCGATAATAAATTAGGATGATTATGTAACTCATATTTTGTTATCCATTTCTTAGCTAAATTCTTCATTTTATTAGATGCATCTCCCATTTTGGAATAAATTAAATCATAATGAGAAATACTATGATGTTAGACGCTAAAAAAAGAATTAATCAATAATTACATTTCTACTTATTTCAAAGTTTGAAATATTTTAAGTTCATCAATATAAGGCATAGGAACTTGAAATTTGGTCATAATTTCTCTCATTCTCAAATCCTATTGGATATCTATAGTAGTGCCTTAACAAGAGCCCATATAATTAAGATTAATAAAATAAACGAATACAATTCTAATCTAAACCAATTATATGGTTAATAAAAAAATTATCGAATAGAAATGAATGTAAAAATTTTAATATTTTTCATACTTTATAAGGCATAGATTATACTAGCTTAAGAATCTGTAAAAATAAATAAAATTTTAGACAAATTGGGTTTCATTGATTTTATAAGGAAATCGATAAGTATTTTGGAAAGAAAAAGCGCAATTAAATCTATTTGTTTGGAACATGGAAACAGATTTAAGTAATAGTTAATTAACAAATACATCAATATTATGGAGTTGTAAAGATTTGACCTTAAATATAACTTGTGCAAGAACTGATGGAGGAGTATTATAATTAGACAAATTTAATTATACAGTTGTGATTCCAGAATCAACATTACATCCAAGAAGATCATATGAATTTATAGCATAAATAACTGGAGATCATGTTGCTAATAGAAGTGTTACATTATATTTTTCATAAGTAATTATAATATATAATTAGAACATAATTCCTTTTTTAAATATATCATTTCCATACTCAATATTATCTAGATTAGTAAATTTTGATGAAATAATTGATTTTTCTATTTAATTAGATGATGGAGTATCCCCAGATGACTCAAAAATATCAATTTCGATATATTTGGACGGTTAGGTCTAAAAGTTAAAACAATTATACCCTAGACTTCGTTTTTAAGCAAGCTATTATTATCCTGATTTTAAAGGTCCTGGTGAAATAGGAATATGTAGAATTCACTTTACTTACTCTTTAGCAAATTACATAGATCCTGCAGAGTATGAAGTTCAATTTTGGATTAATTATCCTCCTAGAAATGGCCTTATCAGTATAGATGATAAAACTGATATGAATATAGTAGTTTCTTAAGTGTCTGATACACATACTCCACTTTATTATAAATATTGGTTCTTTAATGGATAATCTATTAATATTTAATCTATCAATGGATAATACGAATTAACTGACTATATTGAATCTAGTACATATTCTGTTAATTTACCTCCAGGTGATAACACTATTGTATGTTAAGTTAAAGATAGTTTGGGTGCTATATCCATTATTTATTCAAATGTTACTATCTAATCTACAAACTCTAATTTCGAAACTATACTCACTTCACTTGTCCTGGAAACTTCAATCACTAAAATTATTAGTTAATCTCTTTTATTAAAATATTTATATGATAGACTATCATTTGATAATAAACTTACTTATGCTGTTAATGTTAATCAAACATTAACTAAATTAAAAGAGCTCTACCAAGAATAATTTTCACTCAAAACATAAGACAAGTATTAAATCATGATGTTAAAGTCTTTATATTTAGTATTTATTATTTCTCTATTTTATATAGATTGAATCTACAGGAATTTTATTTATTGGAGAAAATTCTATTGATGCCAAATTACAATATTTAATCTCATTTTAAACATAAGTTAGAAAAGATATTATTAAATTCACTTCAATAATCTAAATTAATGATTTAGCTATGGTCTCAGGTCAATATAAAGGCAATATTACTGCTTAAGAATAATTTTTAGAATTTAAATCTCTTTATGGAGTACTTGGCTAATTAATAGATGATATTCATCATGTTTTTGATACATTTTTAGGAAGAATGGCTATTGATAATCCTGATACAATTACTAAAGCCTAAACTGCTAATACAACTGAGGTCAATTCAACAGAATATTTAAAAGAACTTTTTATGAATTTAACAGATACAAATAACAAAAAAAGATTGTTAGTATAAGTTGAAGAATCAGATCTATAGTCCAGTAATGATAGTATCAATACTTTTAGAAATTAATTAATAGAATAATCAATATTGACTCTAGATCATTTTGATTTAATTCACATCTGTTATACAAGATTAATTAGTTTAGTTCAGGTTTTGAATCTTATTATTAATTCTTATGCAGAAACTAATGGACAAGTTTCTAATAGTAATTTTAAATATTTCAACATCTCTTTTACAAGAGTTACTACCAAACATGCATTAAAATACTTACATCAAGATGAATATTATGTAAGTATGTTTGAAGATCAAAAATTAGATGGAGTTGCTATTCCTGTATTCAGTGGATACTGGAATCTAAAGAATGATACTATTAATTTTGAAGTTTAAATCGATACCACTAATAAATCAGAAACTGGTAATTATGCAGCTAGGAGAAATATTTATATGTGGGAAAATAGGGATCTATTCACTAATTTATCTGAAATAGAGGTCCTATAAATAAATCCAAATTATCTCTATTTAATATCGATTGTAACTTTTTCTGTTAATCCTTACTATTGGAGAAAAGAAATTTACAATTATACTAAATGGAATTAATATTCTAATCATGTAAAATATATAAGTCCTTAATTTATTGTTTAAAATGGATCAGATTATCAAATTGTTTTATAATTTGAACATTTCTAATTTAAACATTCCTTTATCACTGAATATTCTGATAACAACACAAGATGTGCTTCAATTGTTTCAAATTTTACTGGTGATAATTGTACAAAATTAGTAATGTCTTCTTAACATACTTGTATTTGTAAATACATTAGTGATATGATCTTGATGGAAGAATACATACCTGTTGATTTGAGAGAGATTCAATTTATAACTATTGAGAATATGCATCAAACCGTAATTGGATAAACTATTGGAATAATGTCAGGAATTATGATAATTTTTACTATAGTATCTGCTTTCTTAGACTTAAGATCTTCAAAGGTTGTTGTTCCTGTATCATCTCCAATGATAAGTGATAATGGAAATTAGATTGATGACGATTAAAAAGTATTTGATAAATCAGCTGATTATACTAAAATAAAATCTTCTACTATCTTTCCTGAAAAATCAAGTGTGCTATCAATTAGATTTAAGAATAAAGATAACGAAAAATTTGATGGTAAATAATTATTTGATTCTTAAATAAAAGATGAGGAGTCATCATCTAATCTTACCATTTTTAATAAAAATTATCATAAACAATAAAAGATAGCATCTGATGATTTTCATAATGCAGCTGTTTAATATGAACCCATCTTTTAAACAAATGTTGAAATGGGTATCAAATATACTTCTGCAGATTTATTGATAAGTGGCATGATTGTAATATATTTTATTATATTTATAGAAATTGCATGAATTATTAAGCATTTTTATATATTATGATTAAAAGTTTTCAAGACCAAGCAGAGTTTTATAATTGTATATGAAATTAATGGTGATGTTTGTATTTAGTTCCTATACAATTTAATATTTAAACCAAATTGAACATATTTTATTGATTATTTTTGTTGGTGAAATATCAGTATTCTTTTTAGCTATTGTAAAAGCTGAACTAAATGGATGGATTTAAGAAAAAATAATAGGATTTTTGATGACCGTAGCAATATTAGGAGGATGCTTGTATTTAATAATTTATTTATTTAGCATATTTTATTTCTATAATGTTATTGGACTTTAAATTGATGTTGCTGATAATTGGGCAAGATAATTTTTAATATCTTACCTTTCAAATCATGTCTTGTTTGATCCAATTATTGTTATATTTAAAATAATCCTATATCCTTGGACATTATAATAAATAATTGCTTAGACTAATGCACCAATTGCATATCTATTAAATTTCTTTATTAATCATGCTCCTATGAGAGCTTTATATTAATTATGATAATGAATAAATATATCTATGATATAAAATTAAATAATTATAAAATCAAATTCTATTTGTAATGCAAGGAGTATTGTTTGATGTTTAAGTATTGTTTTTAGCCTTTTAGAGTAATTAATCAACTCTTGCTAATAAATCATAATTTGGAACATAGGATCCAATTGCAGAATTTTATTTTTAATCATTTTGTGTGTATATAATTTAACCTGATGATTAAGCTTATTATTAAACATAAGTGAAGTTTGTAGTTTAAGCATTTTTTTATGAAGGAACTTAATTATATGAATTATGGGAGGTTTGAATATAATTATATGATGGTTAAGGAGATATATTTTATGATTTTGCTTATTAATAATTTAATGGAGATTATTAAGTTTAGAATTTCTCAACTTTTATTTACTGTTATGATTAATTTTATTGGTTTATTCTTTAGTTTGGTACTTCTTGTTCTTAAGTTGTAAATAAATCTTTCTTTGAACCTTCAAATGAATATTTTGAATCTGATCTCACATCGTATCTATTTTCTAATTTATTTTCTAATTTTTAATCATTTTTTTCACCCATTTTGTTATCAGATTTAATTTCCTACTTTTAATCTGATTTAATATCTATTTTATGTTCTTTTTATTTTTCCTCTAAAATATCCTTATCTAAATTTTATTTGTTCTATTTGCTATAAATTGATATTCTTCTTATTTTATCTTGTCTTGATTCTTATTTGTTTTACACTTATTTTTCATTCATCATTATTTATAATTCCTAGCTTGAAACATAAACTGATTCGACATTTTCTTTCACTGAATTGTAAATTGATGCAAATTATTGAGTATTATTTTTGAACTCAGTTTAAGCTTACTTTAGTTTACTGAGAACAGATTGAGTAAATTTTTCTTCTTATGTACTATTCAATTTTATAGGTTTCACTTGACTTCCTTCAAAACTTTTTTAAGTTTCCATATATATTGAAAAGGGAGTAACCTTTTCATCAGCTACTTTATTTCTTAATACCCTGCAAAATTATTGTATATGCTTCTGTTCAATATATGGTAAAAGCTTATCAATTAAGATAGTCAGAGCTTCACGTATATATTTAAGATCATTTTACAAACTCTGCATTTTAATAATTAATGTTATCTCAAATCATTAGATAAACAATATCAATCTAAAAATTTAGAACATAGATTATGATATTTAGACTTTATGTCTTGAGACTCATAATCTTTTTTAGTGTTATTTTAGAATAATAAAACCTTCTTTCATTTTATAAATTGAATCATTAGATTAAATGATTCAATCATCTAAAAGAGCAGTTTATAATCATTCAGCATTTTTTTTTATTAAGCTGTCATTAGAAGAACAATTTTATTTAATTCGATAAAATTTTATTATTTTATTACCAAAACAGGATTAACTTTTTAATATTAATTACAATTATTATAATACTATAAAATTATCATATCATTAAATATTATATATTTATTGATAATACTTATTTTAATTTTTACTCAAAAATTTTGAAATGAACAATTAAAAATAAAATATGTTCATTTCTAATGAAAAAAAGTGCTTAGTAACACATTTTATAATATTTCAAAAAATATAGGTAGAAAACTTACTATTTATATTAATTTAAAATTTTACATTTAGATTGACTTTAATTTGAATTATTAGCTTAAAGATTAGTTTAATTAAGTCATTTAAATATATATCTAAATGAATCAATAATTAATAATATATTTTTTTGGAAACACTATATATTTTTTGAAGTGATCTATATATGAAAGACTATTTTATATAAATAAAAAGGTGTGGCTGTGCGTGTCATACTAATTGCAGATATGATTGTAATACCGAAATCAGATGGAATTTTAGAAGCTGCTGCTAAAAAGTTGAGAGAGATAAGAACTGATATTATAATTGAATTTTTTAGTTTAAATTCAACTTAATAAGTCATTTATTAAACGAAATCTCTAATGAGGATTTTTTAAAATAATCATATTGGCCAATTTAATCAAAAATCAGCATGCATTATATTTAAATTTACTAAAACTTTTGATTGATTGTTGATTTTGATATTAGCAATTCTGATTTCATCACAACATAAATAAATTTAAAAAAATCTATGATTAATGATATGCATCTTTGAGGAAAAATAGAGATTTGATAATGAATTATATAAATAAATAAAACAAAAAATGCAAATATTATAATAAGAAATGCTTAAATATTTCTAATGAGCAATAAATATTTCTATTGAATAATAAATATTATAATCAAAGTACAAAAAATGAAAATTTTGAATCATTAGAATCAGTTGCAAATTAATTGATATTTTCCAAATTTTAATGGTAATTTCTTGTATAAATCAGCTTTCACTTAAGAAATAAAAAATTTATCTTTATATAAAGAGTTTATTCAAAAAGTGAAAACTAAAACAAATAAAAAAAATGAGTGAAAATCAGAAAGTAGCAAAATATACTCAAAAAATAAATTAGTAATATAAGAATTCTAGATTTGAGTTTTATTTTTAAATTTGTATAAATTTCTTATATATTAATTAGGATGAATTTTTGAAGCAGTTTTTGTAATATAAAAAAATAAATAACTAGTTGACTTTTTTGCCTTCTTATATAAGCAAAAATAAATTTTATTTTATTTTTAAAGAATTATTAATTGCAATTATAAATAAATAGCCACCAAAAACTTTCCATTTTGATTTCTATTATTTTGATTCATTTTTCTTCAATCTAAACGATAAGAAATGATAGTATAAACAAAATACTATAAGACAAGGGATATATTTGATAAAAAATTAAAAAAAATGTGATGAAGTTAGAAATTTAGATTTAAAAAAAAATATTTCTTACATTTCAAACATTAGCAATTTAGTAATTTAGTTAGATTAAATTTATAGATCTAAATTTTTATGTTGATTATTATTATTTATTATTTGTTTACTAAAATGCTTCACAAAATTTTCCTCACATTTATAGTACCTGAAATAGAGTAAGAATATAGGTTAAATTACAAACCATATATGATAAACGAATATAAAACATTGACCACATTAATATTGGTATATTTTATGATTATTCTTAGTTTGTTGGAACATTTATAGTTATATCCTTCATAAGTGAATAAAAGTATTATTATGCTCTTTATGGTCTTATTTGTGGTATTCCAGTTATTTTATCTCGACATTTGGTATGTAAATATCCTTAATTTTCCAATTTCGTGTACCCTTTTTTACAAATTACAGTCACGATAATATACAATATTTTCTCATTAGCCTACAACGATGATGATGTACCATAAATGTATATCAAGTATGAATGGTATTATGGATTTTTTGCAGCTATTAGCCATTTATGTATAACATATAGATATAAATAGGCATATATTCATAAGGAACAATATTATGTTTTTAAACTATAACAATGATTGCCATTTTAGTTTGGCATATAGCTAGATTTGATTTTTCAAATCCAAATGGAGCATATATTACTTTTTAAATAGTGATTGTATTTGTGGTTGTGTTTTTTTGTAGAAGGGAATAAGAAAGAAATAAGAGATTAAGTTTTTTAAAATATAGAGAAAACATGAAATGGTTCTAAATAATGGATAAGATTGTTAAAAAGTGGACTATGTTTGTTCAATTTGATAAATCTTAAGATTAATTATATTTAGTTCAGTAATCCAAAGCATCATAATCTGAATTTATGATATAAAATGATTAAGAATTTCGTTCCTTTTTAAGAAATGTAAGAAATCATATTCAAATAGACTTAAATTGAGCAAACAGGCTCTTTAAAAACCTAATCTGGTTAAACAACTTTAGAAGAAATTCTTCGATAACTCTTAAGCACTTAGCTTTGCCAATTAGATACAATAAATAATCTAAAAGATTCTTTATATTATAGATATGTAGGATATCAATAAAAGACAGGAAGATATTTAAAAGTAAAATTAGTGGAATATTATTTGTCTGATTCAAAAATGATTATTATGATTTTGTAGAATGATAAATAAAAATCTAATGAAGAATGGCAGAAGTATGTTGCAGTGGAGAACTATTTTCGATTTTTAACAAATAAATCAATTAAATTGATTGAAAAACTAACTTAAGTAATATCTTTTAAATATTTGAATCTTCATAATCTAATAGATGATTATAATTATTTTAATGCAGCTTTTATTTGGTTGAATTCTAGCAGATATGTATAGCATAAAAGTCAGGTCAGCATAATTTAAGTTTAGGATCAGCTTAAGAATATATTCAAGAAAACAATTTAAATACAGTATAAGGGATAAACAACTTAGTTTTAATCATCTTTATAAGTTATTATGTTTATATGTGTAAATCTTATTAAATACTTATAATCCTAAACAAAATAAATTGTTACAATAAAAATATCAGAATAAAATCAACAACAAGTTAGATCCTTTGAATTTTAATTCGAAACTTAAGATTTTAAGATAAGTTCAAATTTAATACATCTTTTATAGGAAAATAAATATTATGATAAGCGGAATATTCAATTCGATGATTAGAATTTTAAACGAATAATGGATTCATATATTAATTTTTTAGAAACTATGGAATCAAACAAATAAACATGTTTGGTGATGGCTATTATAAAATTTCTTTTATCACATTTTGGTTTAACCAATAGAATTGAATATTAGAAAAACTAAATTAAAATAAGTTTGATTGATTTAGATTCATTAATTAGTTGATAATAAAAATTGATTTTAATTCACTATTATAATATAATTAAATATGATTATTGAACTAACTTATATTAATAAATGATTTATTCTCTTTTAGAGAGTAAAGTAAAGTGTTAATTTTTTATTAAATTAAAGTATTAAATCAAATATAGTAAATAAATTATTTTAGGAGAAACTGGAGGGAAATTCAAGAAAAGGAAGTTTGTATAACAGAATAGATAGAGAGAGGCACAAGAATTAATTAGATAAACAGAAAAACATTATTGAAATCAAATTTTTTTAATTACAATTGAAATAAATAAATTTAAGATTTAAGATGTCTTTAAAACTTAATTATATATCTGGCAATCCTAGAGCAAATAAAATCCTTGTTGCTGCTAAGCTAGCAAATGTCGAAGTCACATCCCAACTTTTAGAATGGAAAGATTTAGAAGTATTTAAAGCATTAATAACACTCTCTATAGACTCCAGAATTTTTAGCAAAGAATCCATTAGGCAAAGTCCCTGTTCTAGAGACACCTGAAGGAGTATTGACAGAAAGCAATGTCATCCTATAATATGTAGTAAGAGGAACTCCTTTGGTTGGGGCTAACGAATTCCAATAAGCTAAAGTTAAATAATGGTTAGATTTTGCATCTGGAGAAATTGAACCATAAATAATTTAACTCTTGTTACCAGTCCTTGGACATTTTCCAATTAATCCAAATTAAGCAACCTAAGCTCATGCTGAATTAGATTGGAAATTTAAAGTATTGGATGCCCATTTGGCCAACAGTCAATACTTAGTTGGTGATTAATTGACAATAGCTGATATTAATTTAGCTTCATATTTCTAAGGAATATTCTAATTCCTTTATGGTGAAGATGATAGAGTTAAATTAGTAAATATTGTCAGATGGTATAAATAAGTATCAGAACTTCCAGCCTTCTTAGATGTATATTAAATAATAATTAATTAGTTATTCGGAAGAACAAGATATACAAAGAAGCCATTCCCTGCTTTATAATTTGCTGGACATCATGCACATGGACATGGTCATGGACATGGACATGGTCATGATCATGGTAAAAAAGAACATGGACATGGCAAAGAACAAGGTAAAGAACATCATGAGAAGAAAGAGAAGAAAGAGAAATAACCATAATAAAAACAAGAAAAACCATAAAAAGTTGAAGAGGAAGAAGAAGAGAAACCAAAGAAATAAACATGCGAATTTGATACATTACCACCATCAACCTTTAATATTGATGATTGGAAGAGATAATTCTTAGCTTCAAAAGATTAAGCTGCTGAATTCTAACATTTCTGGAATGTCTTTGATTCATAAGGATGGTCTATTTGGATTGTTAAATATATCAAAGCAGAAGGTGAAGGAAAGGTTCTTATTTCCTTTAGAAATAATTGCAATGGATTTTTATAAAGAGCTGACCCTCACTTTAAGAAATGGGCATTTGCTATTCATGGTGTTTATGGAGATGTTCCTAATCTAGATATTAGTGGTGCTTGGATTTGGAGAGGAACTGAAGTTCCACAATATTTGGTAAATCATTCAATCTATATTTATAGAAAGATCATCCAACTTTTGAATATCTTTAACTTACAAAGCTTGATGCATCCAAACCTGAAGACAGAGCTTTGTTTGAAGAATATTGGACTTAATAAACTGAAGATGAATCAAAAGTTTAAGGATAAACAGCCAGAGCATTATATTATTTTAGATGAAATTTATCTATAATATCGTACACAATAAATAGAAATTTAATTATCATTACTTCAATATGGCTTCCAAATGCATATAATCAATCTCTTCCTCTCCCATTTCTCTTAAATTTTACAACAATAATTTTAGTTCTCTATTTAATCCGCTTTCTCCAGTCTATCTTAAATAATGTACTATTGCTTAACTGATTATTTCAACTTATTAAGGGTTTTTCTTTGCTCCCCAACTTTTTAATAATGTCTAAAAAATAAGTTCTTTTAGTTCTCTAACATTTACATCCTTTTTTAAGATGAATTGTAAGATCTATATAATTTAAAATACGATTGCACGATTAATATTGGATATGCTTAAAAATAAAGTTTTTACTATTTATATTATGATCTTATTGAAATATTCCTTTCCATTTTCAATATATTAAGACAAAGTTCTTATACTATAATACTATTATTTACTTAAAAAAATTTAGAATTTCTCTTTGCATTTCGTAAGAGTTTATTGTCTCAAATGCTTCACTAATTATTTCCATTATCAAATACAAGTAAGGTGATTCAAAAACTGCTTATTAACAATTTCTCGTACATTCTTTTACAAACTCAACATAGACCTTTGTCACATTTGAATCTTTCCATTATTTAAATTATTCTATGCAAAATTTATGAATTTCTTAACTATTTGAATATGTCCATTAAGAAATAAATTAATATTCTTAAGATCTACTTATAACAATTGTAATTAATTATAACCATTAATGTTTTTATGTAGGATTTTAATAAAATACTTGAAATGATATTTAAAGTAATTAAATTATTTATTATTATTAGTTTTAATAATTAGAGACTTTCATTATCATTCTTACTAATTAGTATATTTCCTCATTATTTTACAAACATTATTATTCCTTTAGTATAATTATTAATGGTTCTGTTAATGATTAACATAGCAAATCTGATATTTAATTTAATTTATCATCGATTTCTTCAATATTTGAATTAATCCATGTTAATATTGCAACTATCAAAGTAATAATATATGTGAATTACTATTTGGTTAGCAAATTCATATTTTTTAAGAGTTAAAATTGGTTATTTGCAAAGTTAAATAACTAAAAATATAAATTAAAGTTATACCTGAATTATGTAATCTAATTTTCCAAGTAAATACATACGATGACATAATTTCAATATACCTTCAAGAAAGTAATTTAACTGAGTTTAGGTTATAAAATCGTTTAGATGTTGTTCTAAGAATGTTATACATTCTGAAATCATTTATTAATTATTAAGTTCTCCATTATTACATATTTATTCAAAACCACTAAAATTTAGTAAATATAATACACTCCTGCTAAAGATCCTAATAAAGGATGAAGCATGTATTGAAAAAAATATTTAGTTATAGAAAACAATAATTCAAAGTTTTAATTTATTTAATTAGTTAACACAGTAAACATTTGTAAAGAAGTTTTTACAATTATTTAAAAATTGGAATTATTTGGCAATTAAAGCACAAATTATAAAATTTATAAAATTAATTGATTATTGATTTAGAAATCTGTTTCGTCAATAATTGAAAAAAGGCAAAATAATGCTGCCTCAGTTTAAATAATTTAATCTGCTGAATCAGGATTAGTAATAATCAAATTTGATAAAATGATTTAAAAAAATATATCTGTTTGATTTAATTATTCAACACTTTTATAAATGCAAATAAATATCTCTTTGCAATGTTCTCTAAAATCAGAAGTAGATATATTATTCTCCTAACATTCTTGATTTGTCGAATTGAAGTAATCATTTTCATCTTCAGTTTCTCCTGTTAAGAATTCTTTAGTTAATTTGATTGATTTTGTCTTACATTTATCAATTAGACATTGTAATATTTTCAACCAAAAATCTTAAAGTAAATGAGACTATTTCATTTGACTCCAAAATTCAAAAGTTTAAAATACAATTTTTCTCTTTTGATTATTAACCATATTGAACATAAAATTGAATACTTTTTCTTCATAATGAGAATTTTATATAATAGGATAAAAATCACAGATAAGCTTAGTAGCTAAAGATGCATACATAACAGAGATTTATGAATTGTAAATTTGAAGTATGAATTCTAATATAATTATTAAATTTTATCGAACAACAGGTTCTATATTCTAATTCTTATATTTTGAGAAAATAACAGCCTCATATAATAAGGAAAACAATTTATCAGAATGTTCAATAGCATTATTTTACAAAGCTTATGTAATTAGTAGTATGATTTATTAAATCATATTAGAATCTTTGAATAAGTTAAATGACAATTACACCCATGATTATATGCATAGAATAGTTTAATTAAAAATACTCAAATCCTAAATGCAAAATAAATTTTAAAATATTTCCGAAAGTTAATGTTATTAAGTCTAGAATTCTTGTTGCAATTGATATTATACTTTATTCGAATTGCATTCTTTACCTTAAATAGCAATTTAAGTAAGAATTTCAATTCCTAATTACATTTTAACTTTCATTAATTATATTAACTCTTGTAGTATTCTAAAAGTATAGATAATATATTGATACCCTTTCCAAAGCTGAGGATTACCAATAATAATAACAGCTAAAGATGAGCAAACTTAATTCAATACAATATTTGTAAATGGCCTTCCTAATAAATTTAAAAGATAGGGTTATATAGATATATCACAATCCTCTTTTAATCTTCTATAAATCAATTGACAAGCTATGAATTAATATTCTTATTGAATATTTTATTAATCTAATATTGATTTAGCAATATTAAATGCTTCATCAGTTTATTGTAATTTAAGGATATATTGATTTGCTTATTGACTTATACTTTTATCAGGATTTGAAAGATTCTTATATTGAATAATAAATTCTTCTGTGCTAAACATTTAAGTTAATAAATTTTAAATTAAATCAATTTGTAATAGGTTATTCTAGCATACTAATCCCATGTTCTCTCTACTCTGCTTCATCATCTTCTTAAAAATCCCTTTTTTATCTCTTTAAGTTTTCTTTAACATTCATTGTAAAATAGTTAGCTGCAACAATTAAGCAGAGCATTAAAACCATAGTCAAAGTTGAAGATAATTTAGAATCACCCTTGAAAATAAAATTATTATATAATCTTTACTTTTAATATTAAGATCTCTGGTACTCCTTGTAAAAAATTAATTAAGTTACCAAATAATCCTAACATTGCTATTGTAGTGTTCTCACTCATTGGAAAACACAATTCACAAGAAAATTCAAAGGTTAATGCCATTATAGCAGAACTTCCACAAACAAGGAAATACATAATAAAGAAAAATACTTTATTAACATGTATAGCTATAATTAAAACAGCAAATAACACTGTTACTAAAGCATTACAAATTCTCAATACAAATTTAAAAGATTTAAGCTTTTTAATTGCTGTACCTACACAAATATCTCCAATTAAACCAGCAATAACACCTGCTAATACTAAATTACTTTAATCCATTAATGTATAATCAAATGGTTTAATGAGATATTCCATTTATAAAGTAAATAATGTAATTGTTCCTAATATAAATGCAAAACCGATTGTTAAGTATAAAAAATCAAAATTTTTGGCAACAATGACCCCAGCTTTTCTATAATCAACCCTTATGCATTGCTTAGAGAATAAATATTTTATTATACATCAGAAGCTGTAAAACTAGGTGGAGTTGGAGCTTTGTCTTTAAATAAAAAGATTGGTGGTAGACATAAAACAACCATTAAACCAAACAAAAAGAACATTAAATTTTACATTAAATGTCTTCCTTCATCTATTTCATTTTATGTGTGCTCCTCTTTAATATCATAGTCTCCTAAAATTAAAAGTGGAATTTTTATTGCTATCCCAGAACTTGCATTAAAACACAAAGCTATTATAACCATTATTAAGATTCTTTTCTCAGGGTAAAACCAATTTGCTACAAATTTAGATGCACTTATTAATCTAAAGGGAAAACCTATTAAAGAAGATAGCTGCCCTATAAAGAAAAACCAAAATGAAACATTTATTAGCAAAGCACTAATGGAGCCAATAAAAGTTAAAATGCATCCTAAATATATAATAATAATTAATATACCTATCATTATACTTATTCTAATTCCATATTTTTCATTAATTATATTTCCTGGGATTATCATTATCACTGAAAATACTGTAAAGCTTATAGTTAGAAATTACAAATATCTAAATTACCAATTATTTTCTTACCTGCTATCTACATCATATATGATTGACATCTCTTTTACTATTGGAGACAATGAAAATCCAAACATAATATTAGAAAGCAGTGCAAATAAAAAGAGTCCTAACTAAACCCATCTCATAGGATATTCTTTGTAATGGGAGTGTTGTAGTCCTTCTGATGAAGTTATTTTATTCATAAAATTAATTCTAACAAAAATAGAAATATCTAAAACTATATATTTTGAATATCAAAAACTCAAAAATAAAACTATAATAAATATCAGAATATATCATATTAACTTTAATCATTTTTGGGTCCAATTCTCCACTTCTAATTACATTAAAATCTTTTGAACTATTGCCAATATTATAAATTATTACTTTCTAATAAGTCTATAAATCCAATTAAGTTGGTTTTAATAAATGAAAAGTATTGCAATGTTGTTATTAAAGAGCAAAATCTAAATTGCTTATTAACTTATTAATTAGCTCTTCAAATATTAAATAAATTCTTACATTCTTAACTACACTTTCAAAGCTTGTGTATTAAATCTATTGTAATTAAGAAGAATTTTCTAAAAATTGCAGAATCCCTTCATTTTAGATATTTATAATTATATTTATTTCAAATTAAGATAACTTTCATAAATTAAAAAGGCTGATATTTTAATTTTTATACTTTATGCAAATTTTCAACCAAGATATAAGTCTTCATTTTCAAGAATAAATAAATTAATAAAACATCTAATTTTTGAATTAAAAAAATGAAACAAGCATTCAATAAATTAATATTTTTGTAAATCAAATATAAGTCATAAAAATAGCTACAATTTTTAATTAAAATAATGTGTAGATATAATATTTATGAATAAAAAAAGAAGCTTTGATAATTAAAGAAAAAGAATATGAATGATAGATAAAAATAAATAAATATAATATAATATAAGGAGTAAAACCAAAAAATTGATAATATAAATATTGATAAAAATGTTTGTTAGAGCTCTTCGTCTAATAAATCCATTGGGATTTTAATGTAGAAAATTTAGATTCTGCTCAACAACTTAAAACAAAGAGTTATTAGAAGAAGTTACAGCTAAAGTACTTTAAGTGATGAAATCTGCTGCAAAGTGCAAAGTTGATAAATTATCTGAGAAAGTAAAGAAATTTAGTATGTAGGCTACATTTGAAGAATTAGGATTTGATTCTTTAGAAGGAGTTGAAATGGTAGTAGCTTTAGAAGAAAATTTTGGATTTGGTAATAATTTAAAATTGAATTTCTTAGATATATAAGATGAGGAAGCAGAAAGAATTAATGGAGTAGGCGAAGCAATTGCTGTGTTCTATAAATATGTTGTACAAAGGAATTCAACTTCAGTTAAATAATGATTTATAATCAATTAAACAAATAAAAGGAGTGTTTTATATAATTGATATTAGTATATAATGAATAGATTTTCAGTAATAATAAGCATCTTGTTGTTGATCATAATGAAATTTATTTAATTATCATACATATTTGATTTTTTTATGTGCTTAAAATTTCAAGTATGAATAAAAGAATGTTAAAAAGAAAAAGAACATAAAAATATACATTTGTTCATAAAGAAAAAACAACAATAATAATGTGAAATAAAACATCTCTAAATTTTGTAGAACATTAAAGTGTTTATAATATTAATAATTAATGAAGATAGTCGTTCTAGTATTTCTGATGATGTTTATGATATTATCAGAATAACGAAAGCATTAAATGAGAGAATAAGGAATAGAAATACATGATGGTGCATCACCTCCAACTTCTAAACCAATTAATTCTTCTGTTTAACAACCAACATAATCTAACTAAAATAATAATTCAACAAGTTTAAACAATGGTCCAACAAAAGAATAATTACAAGCAGCAAATCCAGCTAGAAATCTATGGCAAAGACTATTTGGACAGTTAGATTCTTTTTAGATTACTGCAGTTATGATTGTTATAACATCCATTTTAATAATTTGATTTATTAACTGATGGACTTAGGTGAACTACACCATCGTCTTTGCAAAAAGATTGCATAACTTACTAAAGTTATTTTCTTCTTAAATACAAAAAATGATGAATATGAAAGTAATCTCAAAGCTGTAGTACAAGCATATGAATAAGAAATGGATCTAATAGTAAAAGAGTAAAAATTCTTATTTATATCTAAGTGCTAATCAAATAGTTCTCACTTATAAATAAGCATTAGATAAATAAAGCAAGAATGATGATATTTAATAAGAACTCAAATAACTTTAAGAAAAAGTTTAGGTTGAAAAATAAACTGCATAAATTGAATATTCTTAATATAGAAAAAGAATGGAAGAAAAAGAATAAGGTCTTGTTACATAGTATGAAAAGAGAATTAGAGAAATTTAAAAGGAAACAGAAATTTAAAAATAAAAATTTGATGATCTTTCAAAATAAGTTGATAAAGTTATTATGAAATAAGAAGAATTAAGAAGAGGATCATAAAAATAATTAGAAGAAACTATTAAAGAATGGAAAGATAAATATGATTCTCTTATGAGAAAAAAACTTGAATTAGATGATTAAATTTCTGATAAAGATAGACGTCTATAAAAATAATAATTAGAAATTGATGATTTATTGAAAAAAATTGAAGAAGAAAAGAGGAAATCAAAAGAGGCTTAGGACAGGTTGTAAGATTTAATGAAGCAAAATTTCGATTAAAAACTTTAATCATTATAAAATGAAATTAATTCACTAAAATCAGAAATTAACAATCTTAAAAATTAGAAAGATGATCTAACAAAACATAATCATAATTTATCTGATGAAATTCATTAACTTAAAGATTAGATTGCTAAACTTACCCTTGATTTAAAAGATATTGGTTAAAAATATTAATAAACTTAATCAGATTTATTGTCATAAAAAAATGAAAATAATAAATTAAAATAAACTAATAACGAATTAGAAGATAAAATAAGATAACTTAATTAATAAATTGAAAATCTTAAATAATAATTACATGCTTATTAATAAGATGGATCAATGAAAGAAACATAATTAACTAAATAATTGAGTGATTTAGAATAATAACTAAAATCTAAAGATTTTGAAATTAGAGAACTTCATATGAAATTAAATGAATTATAAAAAAAAGCAGATATGCTTTAAATGGAGTTAAATGCTGTTAGAGATGCCAGTGACAGAAGTAATAGTGATAAATTAAAAGAAATTGAAGAATTAAAAAAAACTGTTAAAAAATTAGAAGATGAAATTGAAAAATTATAAACCTAAGCTAAAAATTAAATGGGCGAATTAGAAAAAAATTTATTGAATAAAATTGAACAAATTGAAGCAGAAAAAAGGGATTTAATTAAAAAATTTGAAGAAAAAATATAAAAAATTACATTCGAATTTGAATTAAAATTGAAAGAATTAAGAGAAGAATTAGAAGATAAGATAAAAAATTTAGAAATAAATCATAAATTAGAAATTGAATAAATTAAAAATGAATTTAATAAGAGATTAAAATAATTAGAATAATAATTAAATGATGAAAGAGCAAATGTTGAAAAATCTGCTGGTTAAGCAATAAATGATTTAAAAAATTAAATTAATTAAGCTAATGTTAAAATATCGGCTTTAGAAAGTGAAATTTAAAATTTGTTAAATAAAATTAAAGAGTTAGAGTAAACTATAATTTAAAATCTAAATTAAATAACAAGTAAAGAATAAGAAATAAAATAATTATTATAAAAAATTACAGAATTAGAAGATAAAATTAAATAAATACAAATAGAAGGATCATCTAATTAAGGATAATTATAAATTAGAATATAGGAATTAGAATAATAAATTAAATAATAAAGAATTGATCTTTTAAGGGAAAAAGATGAATAATTAAATTAATAAAAGCTTTCTTATGAATAATAGTTGGAAAGGTAATAAAAAATATATTATTATTTAGCTTGAGATAATAATTTGAAGCGGAAAAAAAATAAAGTAAAATAGATTTTGAAAGAAAATTGTAATTAAAAGAAGAAGAAATAGCTAAACTTTTATAATAAATTACTTCTTTGAAAAAAGATATGGAAACTGGATAAGGTGATTGGGCAAGAAGATTAAAACTTAAAGAAGAAGAATTTGAATAGATGCTAAAGGAAATTAATATAAAACACAATTATGAGATAGAAGTATAAAATTTATATTTTGAATTTAGTTGTTAGACAAAAAGAATATTTAAATGAAAGAATAAATGAAAATATATTATGAAAAAGAAATTTAATAAATAAAGGATGATCTAAACGTGGAAACATAAAATAAGTTAAATTAATAATCTAGAGATTTTGAAAATCAAAAGTAAGCTCTCATAAAAACCTATGAAAATTAATTATAGGAGGTTTAATAAAAGTATGAAAGGTAATTAAATGATAAGATTACAGAATTTGAAAATAAATTGAAATAATTGTAAAATAAATTAGAATAAGAGTAATCTGATCATAAAACAACGAAAGATATAATTTCTGATCTTAGAAGATAATTAGAAAACTCTCTAGAATAAAATAAGCATTCTTCTGAAAAATATGAATAATAAATTAAGATATTATAACAATAAATAAAAGATTTAAATATAAAATATCAATAAGCAGAAACAGAATTTTCAAAATAAATAAAAGAAAAGGACTAGTGGGTTTAAAATATGAAAGAAGAAGCTAAATAATTAGAATAACAACTACGATAATCCCTAAACTAGTAATTAAAAGATAGTTTAATAAAATAAAAAGAATTTGCTGACAATTTAAAAAATGAATATGAATAAGCTTAATAATTACTGATGTAAAAGTTTTAAATGCTTGAAGAGGAGTATTTATTATCAATATGATAGTTATAAAGAACTTACTCGTCTATATGAAGAAAGACCCAGTCGACCTGAAGATTTAGAATTAATTAAATAGTTATAATCATAAGTGAATTTAAAAGATGAAGAGATTAAGAAAGTAAATGAACAGATGAAATATTTTAAATTGGAATTAATTAATAGAGATAATAATTACAACAAAATGTTCAATGTGAACCCTACTATAGGAACACTTAATGTTTTGGAAAATAAATCTAAACCATAAACTGGTAAAATGCAATAAAAAAAATGATCTATCAAATTATTTTATTTTCAGTAAATTCTGCAATCTGAACAGCAGCCTCTATTTTTTTGTTTTTCTTCCTTTAAAGCAGAATGCAAAATCATTTGACTTGTTCTTGGAGTGTTTTCTAAAGAAAAAGTTGGTTAAACGCAACTACTAGAGTAGGCGAATTCATCCAAATTTTTATGTCGAATTGAAAAGTCTTATTAATAAGTTTAGGTAGATGCATCAATCTTTTACGTATCAATTTTTGGCTATTTAGCAATTTGATCTAAATCTTATTCAAGTTTTTATTTATAATCAGTGAGTTGAAGATATTAGATATAGTTTAAATCTTCTTCTAATTCTTAAGGTTGAATATCTGCAAATTAATTCATTTCTATTTTCTCTTCTTTAGAACCATCTTAAGGTATCACTATAGTATTCAATTACAGTTTTTATTGATAGTTTTATATAATATTTTGATTTTCTTTATTATGAATGTCTTACATCATGAATTATTCACTTAATTCTTTTAGTTATTACTGTCTTTCAAAAATTAATTTTTGTGTCATTTTTATATATTATTCATCTTAGTTATTTTCTTATTAGTATTGAGTAGTCAATTATTCCAACTCATGCAATTACTAATAGAAATAGGCATCATACTTTAAATAATTAATCAAAGTCATCCTATTATTTTTAACTTATTTCGTCAATGTCTTGCAATTCCTTTAACTACTATTGTTATATAGTTGAAATTATTTCTTGAAGATCTCCTTCTACTTCTTCTACTTAATTTTCATTGAAATTTTCCTTTTTTTTATTGAATTATTATTCATACATCATCTAATATCATTTCATGTTATTCCACTTTCTATTATAAGTCAATTATAACTTATAAAGCCCCATAAAGTTATTCTTCGTAGTAAGGAAGAGAATCTAGTGTGAGTTAATCAACAATTTCTTAATCCATTATATTTTTATTTATTTTAGTATATCAAATAATCATCAAGTATCCTTAATTACTCAATTCTAAAAAATCAAGATAAATATTATAGAAATATCTTTCTGAAATAAATGATTTATACATTATATGATAATAGCTTGTTATTTTTTATCTCAATTTAACTTATTTTAGGATTACTTCTAAAATGAATCAGTATTAAATAATGAGATTAGATTAAAGTAAGTAAAAATAATACAATTTATGATTTATTTAATTCAAAGTAATTTAGATTAATTAGTTTGTTTATTTATAATATCAAGATAAAAAATTGGACAATTAATAGTTTAAATCACTATCCTAATCAATGATTAGAATTAAAATTTTATTTTATTAAATACTCTGTATTTACTTTTTATTTGGGATTAGATCTTAATTATGCTGTTGGAGAACCTATATTTTATAATTTTATTTATGGAATTTTCATATTAGATAATTTTTACAAAACTTCTGGATTAACTTGAAATGGAACCGAGATTTCAATTTTTTGTGGTTATTATTATTATTATTATTATTGTTATTATTATTATTGTTATTATTATTTGATTAATTGAGATTATTGAATTTGTATTATTTACTAAGGTTTACTTTGAGGAATCAATTCTTAAGGCTTTATTAATGTAGGAGATTCATTTTATTTAATTTTTTGAGTAAGCATTTCAATTTTAGGCATATAATTTTATTTAACCTTCTAAATTTCTTCTTCCATTTATGCTTGCAAGAATGATAAAAACTTTTTTCTCTCATCTTAATTCATATTTTCCATTTATTATTCATCACTTAATTATTCATCTATAATTTCATTAATAATTTTTTCTTTTTTAGCATAAGCAACAAAATCTAACTCTTTTACATTTTTACTTTAAATCTTCTCATCCTCTTTAATAACAAGTGTTCCACATTCCACAACAGTTCCACACGATTATTCTTCATCTTCGCTATTTTCTTATTTAGAGACCAAAGTTTAATCTTTATCTAAATTACCTTAAATTTTTAATTATCTATATTCATCAATTTAGTTAAGAAAGTTATCTATTAGATTAACCAATTTCTTTTAATCTTATTTACCTTATTTAATAAATGGAGATTAAAGTAATTATTAAGCAGTAGGTCTTTCTGAGACTTGAACTTTTAAGCAAGATTTAACGAAATCGTTAAATTCCTTAGACCACCTTTCAGGATTAGTTAAACCTTAAGGTGGATTATTTTTAATTGCAAACATTGCTCTTACAGGATGAATATGAGAATATGGAGGTTTACCTTCTGCAAGTTCAATAGCAGTAACTCCTAAAGACCAAATATCAGTTAAATGATTATATCGATTTTTAGATATAACTTCAGGAGACATATAAACAGGAGTGCCTATTACTGTACCCTTTTTATTAGAATAACAATACTTTATCTGCATTTGTATATATTAATTATGCAGCCACTCCAAAATCAGCTATTTTAATTGTTCCTTTCTCATCCAACAAAATATTGCCTGCCTTAATATCTCGATGAATCTTTTTATTTGCATGTAAATATTCAATTCCAAGAAGTACATGATATAAAATTGCTGCAATTTCTGACTCAGTTAATGTCTTTTAAGTGATTTTCAATAAATCAATAATTGACCCTCCTACACAATATTCCATAACTAACCATAAATTTCCATCCTTATAAAAAGAACCATAATATTATACTATATGAGCATGTTAACATTCCTACTTACATCAATAATATTACTTTTAAGATCTAGATTTCCTTAATTAATGACTGTATTTCACCATTAGAGGGAACTATTTTTATAGCTACTATTTAGCCATTCTTATGTTTCCCTTTATAAACTTTAGCATAAGCTCCTTCACCAATCAATTCATTCAACTCGAATTAATCTTCAGGGTCTTAGTTAGAATACATACAATTAATTAATAATCATTTTTTAGAAAGTTTAATTTACATCTAACTGATCTCAACGACAATGATTTTTTAGTTTAATAGTGTAGAACAACAAATGTATAAATAATTACATAATCTGAATTACATATAAAATTTAATAGAATAAGATTAAATCCCAAAATATTATTAAATATATCGTAAATGCAATCTTCTAAACCATTTGAGTTTTACATGTATATTTAACATATTCTAAATCATTGTTGAAAACAAACATATTTGATTCCAAATTTTATTTCTAATTTAGATAGCAATTAAATCTAAATAAATAATTCAGTTATTAAATGATTTAGTTATCATATGAAAAATGAGAATAGATGAGAGTTGATAAAAACACTTGATAAAATATTAGGATTGTATGAGAAAATATTTTAGAAAATATAAATTATTAAGTTATTTAAAAATAGACTAATCCAATGAATGTTTAATAGGTTCCAATAACAAAACCTCCATCTCGTTCACCTATGTAAACCTACAACATAGCCAAAATAATAAAAACAGAACCATCCCAATCTGATAGATAATTTTCAGCTGGACATAGATGTGAAAGATCTATGCTTTCACCAAGTCTTCTTGATGAAGGATCAGTTTTAGTTCAAAAATTACCACCTAATAAATTAGTAATAAATTTAAATATCAAGGTAAAAGCTTCAGGTAAATATCCAGAATTTTGTATTCGGGATTAAGATACAGGCAAAGTTATCGATATTCGTTATTAAGACTGGAGAAATAATTGGTTTATAAATATTTAATTTATTAGGAATACTAAGAGTCCAAATAATGCCAAATTAATAAAAGCAGTGAAAAACAATACCTATAATGAGGCTAGAGAAATCCTCTTAAAAGATAAACCTGATGTAAATGCACGTGATACAGATGGAAATACAGTGTTACATTTAAGTGTAATGAGTGGAAACTCTAAACTAGTTGGATTACTATTATATCATGAAGCTTAGATAGATTCATTAAATTCAAAATTATAAACACCCTTAATGATTGCTTGTAGTTTAGGAGCTGAAGAAATTACTTAATAATTAATAACAGCAGGAGCTGATATCAATTCTTAAGATATTAATAAAAATACTTGTCTTCATTTAGCTACTATGAATGAAAGATAGAAAATAATAGATTTATTATTAAACAAACAAAGTTTGAATCTAAATTTAAAGTATATATACAAATTATTTTCATATTAGAAATAAAGAAAATAAAATTGCTATGGATTATTCTTCTAATTAATAGATATTTCTGTAAGCAATGTAAAAATAAAATAATAATTCAATTAAAATTTATGATGCAAGAACTGATTTTGGTAGTGAAAATTGCAATTCATTTAATGAAGATAAAGTAGGTCCTCATCATTTTAAAGTACATGCTTTAATTGGAAGAGGTAGTTTTGGAGAAGTTTATTTAGTTGAAAAACTTGATACGAATTAATTATTAGCTATGAAAGTACTTCATAAATCTAAAATTTAAAGTATTGACAATTTATATATAGAGTAAAATCTTACAAGATATGCATTAACAGAGAGAAATGTTTTATCATTAACCAAACATCCATTTATTGTTAGGTTAAGATATGCATTTTAAACAGCTGATAAATTATGCTTAATTATGGATTATTGTCCAGGAGGTGATTTAAGTTCTCATTTGAGAAGAGAATAAAGATTTCCAGAAGAAAGAGTGAAATTGTATCTAACTTAAATGATTCTTGCTTTGGAAGATTTACATAAGAGAGATATAATATTTCGAGATTTAAAACCTGATAATATTGTTCTTGATGCAGATGGCTTTGCTATGTTAACTGATTTTGGTTTATCAAAAGAGGGAGTATAAGAACATTATACAGGTGCAAGATCTTTTTGTGGATCTGTAGCTTATTTAGCACCTGAAATGCTAAAAAGATGTGGTCATGGAAAAGCTGTAGATTGGTACTTATTAGGAGTTGTAATGTATGAACTTTTAGTTGGATAACCTCCTTATTATGCTAATGATCGTGAAGAACTTTTTAATAATATTTAAAAAGCTGATCTTAAGCTACCTACCTATATATCTAATGATGGAATCAATCTATTAAAAGCTGTAAGATATTTATTTTATATTGTAGCTTTTATAAAGAAATCCAGCTAAACGGTTGGGATCAGGCAAAGGAGATGCTGAAGAAATAAAAGCTCATCCATATTTTAATGATATTGACTGGAGTAAAGTAAAAGAAAAATAAATTAATATGCCCATTTTGAGTAGAAAAACTAGGTTTATCAAAGTTGAACATAATGTCTTTGAAATTGGTAGTTTTTTAGAATAATCCCATTTGGCTGGCTGGTCATTTGCAGAACATAAAATATAGTGATTTTCGTTTATACTTAACACAAAATTTAAATATCATTATTCATAGCAATCATAATTATATTATTTATACGCTTAAATTAATTATATTCCTTGATAATATATAAAAATGGTTTAATTTATTTGATTAATTTGATAAAAAAAAAAACATGGGAAAAAATTAGCGGGAATCAATAAAAATGAGATTAAGATGTAATGAGCCTGGTTCTGAGAATAAAAGAATAAATTATTTTAAGCTAAACTAAGGATATGATGTTACTGAAGATGATTCAGAATATTTGGATGATTAAGATTCATACAAGGCATTTAAAAAAATTAGGAAATACAAAACTAAATCAAAAAAAGAAAAAATGTAAATTATATTAGTTAATTAGAACGTGTGACAATTTAGAAGTATTGATATAATGGAAAAAATAAATTAAGTGTCCATCTTATGAAACAGATCCAAAAAGGTAATATTGCATTTCTAATTTAAGAATTATTGTCCTAAAAAAGATTTTAGGTACAGATCTATCTCAATATGCTAAAGGAGTCTAAGGAATTTTCATTGATAATCTTTTTCGAAAGGATTTAGTAAATTTATCCTCAATATTTATAGAAAAATTTAGATCTATCTAAAAAGCTAATATCAAATGGAATTTTATTTATTTGGTCTGATAAAGGACTTATAAATGAGATTCTTGAAACTATGGATAATAAAGGTTTCACTTACATTGAAAATCTAGTTGTAGTTCAACTTAGTTTAGAAAAAGCTTTAGAAGAGTTGAATAAACATATGAAAATTGAATAAACTGAAGAAGCTGTCTTGGATAACTTAAATTTTTTATAATAAAAAGTTTAAGTAAAAGATTTAATTTTGAATCGTCCTTCAAAAGTCTTAAATCAATCAAAATAAGTTTTGATAATGTTTAGGAAATTTGATGAACAGAAATCTTAATTAGAACTTAGACATTAAAGAACTCCTGATGTATTGTTTGATCTAGTAAGCAATGGAAAATCTTCCTAAAAAACAAAAGAATATATTTATTAAACAATTGAAACTTTGCTTCCAAAATCTTAATTAATGGAGATTTTTGCATATAAAGAATAGCCAAGAAAAGGATGGATAAGTGTCTGTGAAAATAAATGATAAATATCTAGTTTCATTAGATTATTAATTTCAAATTTTAGTACTGATTTGCAAAAAGTTTTTCTAAATATTGTTCACCTTATTCCACATTTTTTGTTAAAATTTATTTCAATAGCTTTGTTTTAATAATTTATTGGCACACACAATATATTTATATTTAATCCTTCTAAATTTAATTTATTATTAATTTAACTAAGCATTCAGTATCAAAAATATGTAAACATTCAAGTTAATATTAATCATCTTCTATAATTTTTTTACAATTCTAACATTAAGCTTCTTATAGATTCATAGAAGAAAAAGAACTTGCATTGTCTTTTTCTTCATTATTTTCTAAAAATAATTTATTTTATTCATCTATTTCAATCAAAATCGAATCCATCTACTCAATTTAAGGTTTTTTTTAGATTTTTTTCAAACTTTAAAACTTTTCATAATAAAACATATTAATAGAATTATTAATTTTAGATATTTATCCCAAAGAACAACTTTTTTTTATTTTTAATTCATTTTTAGAACATTTATCCAAGTCATTTAATGATTTATATTTACGAAGATAATTCAGATTTTTTTTTTTTTTTTACATTAATTAATTTCTCCTAAACTTAAGTTATTCATCAAATAAATCGATTTCTTAATCATCACCAGAACTGTCAGTTAGTAAATAAGAGCAATTATCAATTATCAATTTTTATTAGCTCTAACGATTCGAACAATATTACTCTTTTCCAATTTTTTTTTTTTATATTTGTACTTAATTTTTTTCTTCTAGATTCTGATGAATTTCAGGTATCACGTGCAAACTTTTCCTTGATAATTTATGAAAGAGACAACCCATAAGATTTAATAAAAATAATAGAAAATTAACAAATAAATATCATTAAAAAGGCTTTGTTTAAATAGATAATTTTTCTTGCATTTCGTTTTCACAAAAACATATAAATTTTTTTTCTTCTTTTTATTTATTTTAATAACACTCTAAGTGATAAAGATGACCGCAAGTTATCAAAATAAGATTATCATTTTTCTCCACTTCACAACAATCTGCTCCAACTGAAATTGATTAATTTTACTACTTTTTTAAGTTTGATTTGTTAAAATCAATCCAAACTGTACTAATTGTGGTTCTGGATTCTGAAATTCCCATATAATATATAAATGAATTAATAATTATTTTTTGTAAAAAGTATAGATTCATTCTTCATTCATATTTGGCGATTATGGTATGAGAAAAATCTTAAGAAAATCCTTATAAATTAAGCTAAGGAAATTTATAGAACTATTAAAACTGATGAACAGAAAAATCTAATAGAATCTAAGTTATATTAACTATCCTATAAAATTCTACTTACTTTGTATAAAAAATTCTGGTACAATTTGTTGATCAAAATATATTGTCATTTCTTATTTAAATGAGCTCGATGATATTTTTTCAAATTTACAAAAGTATTGATCATCTTTAATAATTTCTTAGATTTCACTGAATAATAAGTCTTTCATCTCAATCATTTATTTATGGCTTTTCGTTCCTTGTTGCAGTGTTTCACTCTTATAAGCTAACTCCAAAAAGGAGAAAATTTTCTTTTCTACATCAGATCTGTTCTTTTCCAAATAGTTTTGAAATTATCTAAAATTTTGATTAATTAAACTTTGTAATGTTAGAATTCATCTATGCCATAAATTTGACAGATTTGAATTGAGCAGGAAGGCTTTTCAATTTTTCCAATTTTTGATAAGTACATTACTCAATTTTCTTATCGTAATCTAATAAGAGTTTCATTTCTTTCCACTTCATAATTTAATTATGCAATGAATACAACCTAAATATTCTTTAAGATTTCTACCTACCATCCATCAAAATCTGTTCTACTTTATGCTTTAATTTAAAAATTTTTTTAATCACACTTTATTGTGAATGTTAAATTTTTATCTGGTTGTTTTTCAATTAACATTGAATCGAGTGACATGCAGGTTTGTTTTTTTTGATTCTTATCATTCTTCTCATAAATTAAAGTATCTTTTTATAATTTAAATAATCTCTCTCTATATTATCCTGATTTATTTTTTTTCAATAATGTTCCTTATCTAAATGAATAATCCTTGGAATCTTTAAAATTAATATATTAATAATCCTTACTTAGATTACTATGATTCCAAATTTTTTAGCGATAAGATTGACTCTCTTGTAATTTAAAAAGCTTGATTTCTTAATAAACTATGTATAAATCTAGATTTTATGAGGCATTTTGTAAAATTTTTGCTATTTATTCTTATTTATTGATTATTCTTTATGAAATGCACTTTCCTTCTTTCTAACAAGTAAAAAGTAAGAGTACTTTTCTCACCTAATTATAAATAAATTAAAACTTCATCCCCAAGTTGATTTTGCAGTTCAATTTAATCTAAAATTTTTTAGCACTATGTATTATCTTCAATGTTTAAGTTTTGGAAATGAGTTTAACATTGTTCATCTTTATAGATCTAATATATAGTTATTTACATACTTTAATTTTGTATAATTTTGATTATTGTTTTTTGGATGATGTAAAGAAGCTCAAAAAATTCATCTACTCGATATTGGAATATTTTGTTTTAATTATTTAAGAAAATTATTTCAATGGATTAAATTGAAATAAAGGAAATGGATGCAATATATTTCGATAAATAATACGCAAGTTATCATCCTTCTCATAATGAAATATTGTTGAAGGACATACACGAATATCAACATTTTAAAAATGTGATTGCATGCTTTTATAATTATACAAATGATATGAAAGTGGAGCTGTAAAGAATTGAGACTCATTTTAAAACACTTAAACAGGAACAAAGGATCAACCTACTAATGAATTATCAAGAAAGAATTAAAAAATTAGATTATTGTATTAAAAAAAATGCGCAATTTTGTTTTTTAATAGTTGCTGCTTATGTGGATATGTTTCCAGAGATGAATTTGAGTCAAGTTAAATATATATCAGATTTACCATACTTTCATCATGTTTCACATGGAGATATTTCAAAACTTAGAATAACTTTAAAATAATTTTATCGAGGTATTAAAATAATAATCAATAACAGATTGGAGCCATTAAGGCTAAGGTGAAAGAGATTAATCTTATAAACTAATTATTGATTGTTTATAATAATATTATCCAGATGCAAGAACTAAAGATGTGAAATATTAGGTACTTTTACCTGGAGCAGGCTTAGGGAGACTAGTTTTCGAATTAGCAAGCAAAGGCTTTGCCGCTTAAGGAAATGAGTTCTCTTATTTTATGCTTTTGAGTTCTCATTTCATCATTAATCTTACTCAAAAAAAAAACTAATATGAATTATATCCATTCGCAAATAATTTTTGTAATCGATTAAGGTATTATAAAATTAACTTTAGTGAAAATGATTAATTTGAATAAGTATAAGTTCCTGATGTTGTTCCAGCAGAAGTTTTAACAGAAAATGATGAAATGTCTTTTGTAGCAGGAGAATTTATTGCTGTATATCATCAACCTAAATACTAAAATTTTTGGGATAGTATCATTACTTGCTTCTTTATTGACACAGCAAATAATGTATTAGATTATATAGATGCAATTTATTATATTCTAAAACCTAAAGGATGTTGGATAAATTTTGGACCTTTGGAATATCATTTTGCAAACTAATTCTCTGAAACAAGCATAGAATTAAGTTATGAGGATCTTAAACATTATATAAAATAAAAAGGATTTGAGATTTATTTTGAATAAATGAAAGAATCTACTTATAATCATTCGAAACTAGATTAAAAATACTTAATGTATAATTGTATATTTTTTATGGCTATAAAGAAGTGAGTATTAAAATGAATTTAAGATTTGTTTTCTTATAAAATACGATATTTAAGAATTTAAAAATAAAATCAGAAATTTGTAATATAAATAAATAATTAATTATATTAATTCCACATGGCCAGCAAGAAGAAGCAACTTTTTAAAATCATCATCTTAGGTGATTCAGGGTAATTTTCCATTGTAAATATCTTTTAGAGTAGGAAAAACATCATTGATGAATTAATATGTCAATGCAAGGTTCACATAATAATATAGAGCTACAGTAGGAGCAGATTTTATGGCAAAAGAAGTAATGATTGATGATAGAATGGTAACTCTTTAAGTATGTTGAAATTAAAATATTTTTATTAGATTTGGGACACTGCAGGCTAAGAGAGATTTCAATCATTAGGTGGTGCATTTTATAGAGGAGCTGATTGTTGTGTATTAGTTTACGATATTACTAATCCAAAATCATTTGATTCTTTGGATTCTTGGAGAGATGAATTTTTGATGTAAGGTTAACCAAAAGATCC